AATGTTACATGCAAGAGATCATGGAGTAAAAAAGATGAACCGGCTCAAAGAACTTCGAAAGCCGAAATTCATCAAAAAAGGTGATGGTATCTGTTTGGTGGGATTTCAAAGGAATCGTTTTTTTTGAGATTCTACCGAGCAACCCAACGATCAATTCTGAAGTGTACTGTCTCCAGCTGGACAAATTGAATGATTCACTTAAACAGAAGAGACCAGCATTGATCGATAGAAAAGGTGTAGTGTTTCACCAAGATAATGCGAGACCTCATACAAGTTTCTTAACTCGCCAAAAGCTTCTACAGCTTGGATGGGATATACTGCGATCCCCACCATATTCTCCAGATCTCGCACCTTCTGATTATTACTTGTTCCGGTCTCTACAACATTTTTTAGACGGTAAAACCTTTACTTCAAATGAGGAGGTCAAAATTCACCTGGATCAGTTTTTTGACAGCAAAAACCAAACACTTTATGAGCGTGGAATCATGCTACTGCCAGAAAGATGGCAAAAGGTATTGGATCAGAATGAACAATATATAATTGAATAAAATTCATTCGCTATAAAAAATCGTCTTTCATTTTCATAATAAAAAAACGAAATTACTTTCCGAGCAACCCAATAGCTACACCCAGTACTATTTTCATTTCGGGTGGTATCACTGTAGCATATATATATATAGGGGATAGGTTCCAAGGAAAACAATGTGTGTCACCAGTGTCGCATGTGCGGAGAGAGCAGTACACCGCCGATCCTCACGCGAGATGGATACGAGGTCCAAATTTAATGTATATTTCCTAGTCTCCATAATTACGTATTATATAACCTGTGCACCTTATGACTGTCTTCCATTCCGACCTTACGCCCCGCCGATTGAGCGGTACCGTGTCTCACATCACCTTGGGCATGGCGGTCTAACGTAAAAATATAAAAATCTATAAACGTTTTTTTACATATTTTACCAGTGAATTACGTCCGGCATGCAACGATATCAAGTGCTGTCGAAGAGCCACAATTGTAATTTTACTGCCCTCTCACGTCGTCGCCATATTTGACATTAACGTAAACGTAGAATTTAACCACTTGCGCTATAAATACGTGCCACGCACGTCCAGATGCTTTTGTTCCAAAACTGCCAGCGACATGTATACCACGTCGTTAGGCATTTGTCGCAGGAACTAAATCGACGTGTCCGGCACCTCGGCTAACAGTTGGATCGTTCATTATTCGAGCTACAGTTCCAGAGTGCACATCGCGTAGCGTCATCGATATCTTGGAAATATTTCAGAATCGATAGGGTATGTCGTACGGATGTTATACCGCATGTTATATTGTAGAGCGCGGCACGGCAACCGAAAAATAAATCGTAGCGCAAGTGGTTAAGAGAAAACTACGTATTGGCAGGGAAACGTTAATATCCATAATTTCGAATCGTAATCCAAAATCTCTCGCCGCGGCGGATTCCCAGCGATACCATCGCAAGCGCTTAAAGAGCAGTAAATCTCGTTAACGGCAAACAAAAACCCCGGGAGCAAAATGTTCCCCTCGCGGTAAATTCCTGCACTCGTTCCCCGAGCATGGCGGTCGGTTGAACGTTTCGGCCTTCGCGCTCTAAGCGCGCCTCCAGGAAGGTAAACCGATCGTCACCAGCGGGGCTTCCGCATCCCCATCCTCGTTCCCTGACCGCGAATCACCGTAGGGGTGCCGCGGACGCAAATAGCCGCGCGGGGACCCCTCGGCCAAATTGGCAACGGTTGGCAACGGTTGGCATCGGCCGACTCGCGCGGTGCACCGAAGATGCGAGACCACGGGAGAGGTGGCTAAAAGGAGAGACGCAAAAGAGAGTGGGAAACAAGGGGACCACGGCCGTGCCAACTGTTCCGCGTCGGGGACTCGCACGGGAGCGTCGACGCGGTCGGTGTGTCCGGGTGCGTCCGACGGGATTGGAACGCGCAACGCCACCGTCGACGGTCGCGCCCGCAATGGCACGGTCCCTCGAGTCGTGAGCGCGCCGTCCAGTCTCCCGACCCTGGGTCGCTCTGGCGGCGCGACGGGGAAGAGCGGAAGTGCCGACGCGTGGACGCAGCGCTTGCCGGAAGATGGCGCTATTTTCGGGCGGCAGCGGCGACCCCCCTCCGACCGGCGAGCCCGAGCCCTCCGGACCCTCCAGACAGCGCAGCCTCCGCGACCGACTGCGCGACGGCTTCTCCGGGGGATTCACATGGCCGTGAGTACCACGATGCTTGTCCGACGCGTGCTTTGTTTCCGGCGACGGCGAAGCTTTCGCAACCTTTCATAGGGATTTCCTGTAGCTTGGTCAAAATCTGCACCACCGTGGCGGTGAAAACAACGATTTTTACGTTTACTCCACGTGTTTAAGGTGAAGTGAAACACGTCGAGCAACTTGATCGGCGTCGATGAAGAAGATTTGTCTAAATGCCTACGTTGCCGACGTTGGTTTTCACATCGACGGCTGGGTCGAATTATATTGGGTATTGTACCAAATGGCATACTCCGTCTGTCGTTTTCGTACAATAATTATAAAGATATCGATATAAAATTCCAGAAATCCTCTGGATTCGTGCTTTCTGGCGCCCTAAGTGACTGCGGAGGAACCCCCTGCGCCATCTGTGATTTCCAGGTCAATTAAATTTGCACTCCGAGACCTCGTATTCCCATCGTTTTAGCATAGAAGCGCATACAACACTTTTTTTTTGCCTTTATCCCGTTCAAATGCGAGTTTATCGATTATCAGAGGGTTCTAAATTGTCGTAAAATTGTCCTGACCCTTTCGTTTCTCATATCCGATCCTACGATAATTGTATATTGATCGAAATATGAGAGCTCGACGCCATTTGTTCTTGTCTGGGCTAGTTAAAAAATTTTTTCCAATAATCCAAATTTTTAATCTGTCCGGACAATTCTTAGATGATCAGGAGTGATGTGTCAAAGTTTCGGGCAGTTTGGTATAATGCCCTTAAAAAAATGTGTTGTATTCTAATCGACTGATTTGAAAGGGGTTTCACTTCACCTTAATGGTGTGGACTTGTCTAATCATTTGTGTAGATTTAGTTGAATTCATTTTTTCTATGTGTTATATCCTAGACAATTTAACATAATAAGAATTTATTAGGAACGGCAAAAGCGAACACCTGGACGTGAGTAAGCGTCCGGGTAACTTAATATATCGCGGAAAAATCACGCGCCAAGTTCGAGCCGCGGAGCAATATGTCGATCCAAGAACACGGGTCAGCACCACGTGTAGATGGTCGCAATAAAATGACCATGAAAATCAGCAAAATCGACGCCCCTCCATGAGAGACATATTGCTCCCTTCCTCAACTAACGAGAGCGCAAAATTCTAATTCGAAAACGGACCGACACTTCGCAGTTAAATTTTAAACCAGACGGGTCAGGAAGAGTTCCAACAACGTACTAGTTGCCAAGACAGAAAAGATTTCTAAACGTATATTAGCCGGATTCAAGGTGCTTAAAGACTGTGCCCGAAGCTTCGGAATTTCCAAAGGGGAATTACCGGAAAACCATCGCCCAAAGGTTCAACGGGATAACCTTCCACGAAAGGGGCGTTGGAATCAAAGACTATTATCGAAAGGTGAGCGATTCAATAATTTTCCTCTATCTGCATTTACGCGACCGAATTTTGTATTGGAACACTGTTAATCATTTGTGCGATTCACGATTCGATAATTTTCCTTAATTATCACTTATCTTCATTTAAGTGATTGAATTTTGTTTTGAGCATTGTTAATCATTTGTGCGATTCACGATTCAATAGTTTTCCTTAATTATCACTTATCTTCATTTAAGTGATTGAATTTTGTTTTGAGCATTGTTAATCATTTGTGCGATTCACGTTTCAATAGTTTTCCTTAATTATCATTTATCCTCATTTAAGTGATTGAATTTTGTCTTGAGCATTGTTAATCATTTGTGCGATTCATGATTCGATGATTTTCCTTGATTATCAGTTATCCTCATTTTACGTGATTGAATTTTGCGTTTGAACATTGTTAATCATTTGCGCGACTCACGACCCAATAAACTCCTTCAACTATCGTTTAGCGGAATTTATGTTACCAAATTTTGTTTCGAATTTGTTCGACTTCGGGTCGTTCCCGAAATAAAGGGATTATTTTTATAATCAGGGTAGAAATTTATTGACCCCTCGTGTTCTATTCCCAATTCCATACGTTCCTGCGTGCACCTCCAGTCCTTGGCTACACGATTCGGTTCGTGGCCTAAAAGGGAGGAAAGGAAAGCAGAGTCGAGTCTACCTGACCGACTCGCAAATCAGGTTGGGACGTCTTGACGTAACAACTTATACACAATTAGTTTCGTACATTAATCAGTTATCTCATGATTGAAATGCAATATCGCACATATTAAGTCATTTATACTATCGTTGTTGAAAGTATGTTCACTATTTTTTCCAGAAGTTATTTAGTTAATAATTTTTTTTCACAAAAAATGAAATATTAGGCGTTGTGTATATCGAGTTTAGGTCGAATTCATACATCCCAAAAATATCATTCAATTTCTGCTTATTCTGTTCAGAAAAAGTAAATTATGACAAACGGTAAGGCATAGACCCTAACGAGCATCTGCCATGAAATGGTCCTGTTTTATAGAATAAAATGTGAAGGGATGAAGTAGGGGTAAACGATAACTAATAATATTGTTTTAGTCTTCTAAACGATATTTAATGTTTCATAAATGATTACTGACAAGATTTTTAAAAATATGGGATCAAATACTTTTTCATGTTACTGGCTTCCCTCTGTTTGATCAACATTTTTTTTTATCTTGTTACTCAAAATTCCCGTTAAGAAAGAGAACATAAATAAAGCTATTGACTAATTGAAAATAGTTCACGCAAGTTACTCATTCTGACTCCGTACAAAAATTGTCTTGGAACATATTTTTGGTTCATATAAAAATGTGGAGAGGAATTGAAGGAAGTAAGATAGCTAGACAGTAGACATAATCGTTTGCCTTATAATTATTTGAATCCCAGAGGTCATTGAAACAACATTGTCGAAAAATGCAGACAGTGCAATAGCGCTTGTCTTCATTGAGTACGAAAAGAACCAAGCGGCACGATAGCGCTCGCCTTTTTTGTGTCGAAAAATGTCAATCAGTACAATAGCGCTGGTCTTAGTTTATGTTTTTTGGTGTTAAGTAGAGAAGGAAGGAAGACCGTGCTATTTCGATAGATTCTTAGTGCACACCTTCAGTTGTCCATAGCGTTCAAATGTGCCTGGATTATTCGACATGAAATCTAAACAGCGCGATCGAGCTGCTTGGGACCCAAACGGTTAAGTTCGTATCGGAATCAGTTTATATGTTGCCGTAGCACGTTCTCACCGATACAACTACCGAATGAATGTCAAATAAACAACGCCATGCGACAGACTACGTATTATTTCGACTACAATTATACAAAAGTATTGTCGGTAAACGCAACTTTAAGCATATAATTTGGCGTTCGTTTATAGTTCTAAAGGTAAGGTCATAATTGGTAGAAAATATTCACGTAATTTATAATTATACTTTGTGTAACTGGACCACTGAAAAAGTACAAATTATTATACATAATGTGATACCCATCAATTTACGGTGATATATATATGTGTATGTATATGTATAACGTAATTCGATTAATACATATAATGTAATATTCATCTAAATGATTAAAGTTCCAGTGTAACATATACTATAATAGAAAGATACCCTTATTAGGTTTTACACACAACGGCCGGTTCTTAAATTACGCGTGTGAATTTTTTTGCAGTGCATATTATTTCTGCTAATTTGTATTATCACTGTATTAGGCAACACACTTTTATACCAGGCTTATACGTTTGTATATGTATAAATTGCCTTTCCTTTTATAAACGCCGTCCATTTCTTTTAAACACTTTCTGTTGGACTCTGGAATTCCGACAGCGCGTGTATAGGGTTTTGGACTTTCTTTTGCGAACCTTTTCGCACTTTCGCTCTAACTTCTTCTGGCCTCTCAGGGCGAACCAGTGGTTTCTTCTCCGGTGCTTTCATCTTCCAAACAACGATCGGAGACTGTTGGGAAAAAAGCATATTAGTTAAAATTTTACATCAATGTTGGTGCTATTAAAAACTAAACAAAACAAACTTAATACACTGTTACGTAAACACCCGTACCGTAACATAACTTAGGGAATCGTAATCCGTACCATAACTTAGGGAAAAACCCATTTTCCGATCACCGGAGCTAGCCATGGAAATCCGAATACGGAAACGCGACTAGGAAACTCTTGCGCAAGGATCCAAAACTAAATCACCTGACACAACATACTCATCGACCAAGACGACTCCAAAAGTCATCAACCGATCCGGGGCGAATAAACTGATGACTACGCAACGCGTCATCGCGACCCAGAAGCGCCACCCTCACCTGGGCCCTAGGATCTCCCACTAATCGGAACACCCTGCTAATAAAACCAGCCTTCAGATCGAGACAAGTCATACGTCTTTAGTCAATTGTCATATTCAAGTGTCATATCGTCGGTCACTGTCAACGTCGACAACCTCGAGTGGAGCTCCTGGTCCCCGGCCCTCCGTTCCTAGCGAGTCAGAGACCGAGACCACCGGACTCCCTGTCGAGGACCACTATCCTGCGAGCTGCAGTAGTGCCACCCGGTACTCAAGCGATCCAACCCCGGAGTCAAGACCAGACGGCGGCACTGCGACTTCCATTAGACGGGAGGCTTCTAGGAGACCTCCAACCCTAGAGCACGCCACGGGATGAAGGTGTTCACGCACAGTCATCCAGCTGGGTAGATCAATAGAAACTGTCACCGAATCCGGCCGCTGATCACGACAGGTAGAGGATCCTTCGCAAGCTCGGCTCATCCTCATTTCATTCTAGTTTATTTCTTAAACCCTCATCTCCGACCAAACCGAATTCTAACCATTATCGCGATTTCCATGCCTTGCTCCGGTCAACCGGATAGATTAAGAACCCATTAACTTCCGTCAAACAGCTGAGCTCGAAATCTCAGAATCGCAAGACAGACTAGAATCACGCGTAGACCGCCATTAACCAGCAAAGAATTCCCGCGTCAGCACTCCGGCGTCCAGTAACCTACCGCCGCTAAAGCGCATTATCGTGACACCCGAACCGCCGCGCCGCGAAAGTATAAAAACCCAGGGAAAATTAGATCAAGGCACCTCGGGTGCCCCTCCCAGCTGATTGTAATTTAGACCTCACGGACGAATAAATGCAGCCATCATAGTACACTAGCCATATTGCCATTTGTTCAAACCCCTTTTTTAATCCTCACTCCCCTAGATCCCAGCTGAGGAATTGATCTAGTCGCTCGGATCAATCTCTTCACAAGATTAGAATACTCGTTACGCGCAAGATTTGGATAATCTCTATCCGAATCATCCCGGTCTCGCATCCGCTCGACCGCCCCGTAACAAGACATTCAGTTTATTTAACAGTTCAGCAATGCTGCGCATCTAATGGGATATAGTAGACCACTTACAAACTGTATGCATGTGTATTTCTAATCATTGCATGCGGGTAAATGGCGCTAGGACAATAATTCGTCTGTCATACGTCATCAGTGGCAGCCACTGAAAGCCGCGACAAACTGAACACCCAATTAGCAAGTCGCGACATTTTATTCGGGGACCAGTGAATCCCACTGGACGCACGGAAGGTTAGACTGGCGGGTAATTTAACCATTTGCGGTCGTATTTACTCAAGATCAAGAGAACTTTGGTGGCTGAGAATAGGTATACGACTGCCAAGGATTAACTGAAGCATCCATAACTTTCGCATGCAATGAGCAGCCAAAATTAGCGGCTCGATAAACAAGACTCTCTTCATCTAATAACTCGGTCAATAATCGTTTTACCAAAAATGGTAAAGGAACTGTCGACTTCAAACACCGCCACCTCCCATCATTTTCGGAGATTACTACGAGTTCCGGGATATCCTGCATATGTTATAAGCAATGTGATAAATATGAATATTCTGCACAGTTTCTAAACATTTTGCACAATATCCTATTCTAATGTCTGTAACGGGGCGATTTGGGAGCACCTGCGTGGCTATACAATCGGCGACAATCGATGCGCGCGCGATCGAGCAATAATCAGACGGCGCGATAAGGCCAAGGAGTAGAGAGAGGCCGCGAGCCAAAAATGTTAAGACAATAGGTTTGAGTCCCAGTTCAGATAGTCACTCGATTGGAGACTTTCGTGAGATACCAAAACGAAAGTATACGCGAAGTTAGTTAGGAAGAAGGCTGGAGTAACCCGGAATCCGATTTCAATTTATATGAAATAAAATTGCAGATAGATAGCAGAACCCAATCAATTCCTAAGTACCTGCGGTCTCTGCCACCTTGGTAGACGTGGCATTCCTTACTAGAACTCCTCGAACTTTATCCTGGGACTGTATTATGGCAGCACATCCCACAAACGTACGTTAGAATGCAAAGGAAAGGAAAACGAAAAGAACTAGTGCACCGTATCTTCGATTGACGAAAGTCACTTGTCAATCGTAGCAGGCACATACAAAAAAAGATACGAAAAACGTGTGAATTCGTACCTTCGTCTTTGTCAGTACGACAACCCTAAAGTAGGAACAAACGCGATCAACAATTGCGGAAGACAGCTCGGGCTCTGTTACGGTGACCGCCCCCGATCTACCGAGCTTTTGAAGTTGCGATAATGAAATCGCGAACCAAATAAATGCAACAAGAACCCACTCCCAAAAAATCCTACCGAACCAAAAGACCCTACGCCAGCGGATATCCGAAGCTGGATAACCGAAAATAAGTTGGGACGAACACCTGTAGAGCAAAGCTCCAGGAACCAAATAAGATAATCCAAATTACTTCAAGAATCGAATTCTAATTAAAAAATTACGCGAATAACTGTATTCCGAAATATTACGGACCTAAGCCAACCCATTTTCACCCACACCTTGAATCCTTTCTATCCGGATTCGGTGAAGAACATTTTGCATATTATTGTGAGATCAACCGTCAGTCTGAGAGTTCATTTCCTATCCAGAAGTAAATCCTTTTCAGAAAAGCGAAAACGATTAGTTAATTGTCAATCAACGTTAATTAAGGAATCTCGACGCGTTCAAGGTATCGAAACACGAATTGGATTCGGAATCTCGGCCTCGACCAGCTGAGCGACCGAAGCCGAGACTCGCAAGAAACCGAAACATTGTCTGCGCAGCATGACACATCGCGATCCTTCTCTAATTCGTACGCCTGCCACTCTCTTACTCGGGTTTTTGCACCTCGGAATCCGGCGATTTAATATATTCTCGGAAAATTCTGACGCGGCTCGGACTTACGACGGTGTGGAAAAGACGGTGCATTTTGCACAGCCTAAACCGTACCATTACAAGTCCCATAAATTATACACGTAATAATATTATTGTAATAGGCTTACCGTAACTGTAGACTGCCTTGGATATTTAGTTGACGCGACATAAGATGCTTTAACAGTTAATACAACAGCATTCATTAAATTTTTAGCTGCCTGAATGAGAGATGTTGCGCTATCGAGGCCAGAAACAATGAGTTCCCCACTGATGTTCTGGACATCGGCTTTAACTTTACTAGTAATGTTCATTTGGTGACAGTACAAAGCTATGCGCTGCAAATATGCTAGCAAATCTTTTTTTGTGGAGCTTTCTGGGCATTGGTCGGCAATTTGCCTGGTCAATTTATCTAGCTTTGTTCCAGCCTCAGAAATTTTCTTAGCAGCATTGATAACATCCATTGTCGTCTTTAAAGGGCCTCGACCTCGAGTGAAGTCTGTCATTTCCATCATAATCATACACATATGTTTAGCCAGCACAATTATATCATTTCCTGCATCATCCCACTTAGCGACTTCTCTATCAAATTTGAGTTTTTCACTCTTGAAAAATTCTACTTGTTGTAGAATTTTTTGTTTATCCTCTTCTGGCATTTTTCGCATAGCTTCTCGAGCCGTAGTGATACCGCTTATTTCAGGATATTCATCAACCCCATGCTCGCCAGTCTGGGCACTGGATTTACTGCGAGTTTCCAGAGTATAGTGCTCATCTAATTCGACATCCTCTGGGTCCAAGTCTTCATCCGCCTGTAATATAATTCAGTAAATTGAATTCTTCAAAAACCAAATTAGCATTTGACTAGTACACTTAATCAAAATTATAACTAACTTTGCAGTATATACAATGTTGTGCTCAGTTTTAATTAGTTTTAAATTTCAAATTTAATTTCAAAGTAATCATAGATTTTCTGGCATTAGTTGCATTAGTAAAATAATATATCTTATAACGAATATTAATCAAGTGTCTGGGATCGATATTGTTGGTTGTATCATTTTATACAATTAGCATAACAGGCAAGTTTGTCTCTCCTTGAGTGGCGCCCTCTCTTATTGCATGATTAACCCAGAGGATACATTACGAGATATGTCTCGAGTTAAATGCCCCACCCGATATCAATATATTTGTATCTTAACATTTAAAAACCCTCTCATTTTCAGTATATTTTGGTTTGAAATGTTTAACAAATTTACAGAAGTAAGGTCATATGTATTCAACAGAACAGCAGTAAATCTTTAAACTTTGAACATGATTGATATAAAAATAATTCTGTATTCTCTATTTTATAGTGTAACACTATAAAAACAAATGTTGATAATAAATCAGTTTTATCACAACATTTTTTCTTTAACTGAGCATATTTATTCTGTTCTATTTCACCTATACAACGGTAATAAAATAGAATAGAGTCGTCAAAGGAGTAAAACAGAAATGAAATTGAATATCTTACCCTATTCATGAGTACGGCTCGCCTGATCTCCCGTACCCCATCGTAGACTAATCTAGAAGCATCTATGAAGTCATTTTCATCTACATCCTTTGGTGGATTACTGCCTAAAGCATCTACAGCCACTTCCACCCTTTGCGCAAATTTCGGCATAACTTGTTCCCTTAAAACCTTCACAGCTTCCAGCACTCTCTTAGTATAAATACATGGCTCGTAATTATCCATCTCTGCCTGCACAACGTTACACACTCTGGCAGACCGTCCTCTTATCGCTCCTGCTGTTCGATCCAAAGTGTCTGCATCTCCTTCTTGTAGAGCTAAGACACACTTGTTCACGTCTTCTAAAATATGGTTCTCTGATACCGCTAAAAAGTCATCGATGGTAGTGATGTCATCGACAGCTTCCGTAAGAACACGCACTTGATTTTCCCAAGCTTGTCGAAATACTTCCATGTTGTCAAGAGCCACTTTAGAGCGCGGACGTGCTGCCAAAACTCGAGCAGCGTTTATTACTTGAGGACAGAGATTCTCAATTTGAGCTGCTGCATAACGAACCATCTTAACCCCATCTTCGTTCCCGGACATGCTACATACCAGATTAGCTACCTAAAACAAATTACATATTACGTCCATTAAGCACATATATCGAGTTATTAATATTGTAAGTAATAACGACGAATATTACGGAATAACAACGTTTAAGAATTCCAAAAACAATTTAGAAGTTTCATTCAGAGAAATTTATAGTTATCGTTATTAAAAAAAATCAGTATAACCTAAAAATGTTGTTCTGGTAACTAAATATATTAACTATGTCGACTATTCCAACATGACCGTATTTTTTTAGTAAAAGGAACAATTGGTTTTGGGTGGAGGCAACTGAAAGTGTATGTTTCAATTACTGAAATGTCATAGTAGCCGTAGCGTAAGGAACGTAGTAAGGGCGGTTGCTTCACCTTAGTCAAGGTAATTGCAGGGCCCTTCCATTGTAACTATCACACCCAAAAATAGGTTAAAGTGCTATAAAAAGGTCATTCTACATATTAAAATGTTAAAATATTTAAAAATGTTTTTTCCAAACTGGGTGCACCGAATCATTTGAAACTTCGACCTGTGATTATGAAGGATCTAAGGAAGAACGCGATGAAATTTCAATTCTCGACAAAAAATTACATTTCTCTCGGACAAGAACCAAAAACACATTTTTTTTCGAAAAATGAAATTTCACGAGCATCACGTTCTTTCCTAGGGCCTCCGTAATCACTTATTCAAGTTTTAGATAATTTAATAAACCCAGTTTGGAGAAAAGCTTTATAAATATTTTGACGTTATGATACATACAGAATGACCCTTTAATATCACCTTAAGAGGATATGAAAGGCGCTAACGCGTCGCTAAGGCGTCAACCTGACAGTACGAAGGTTTTTCCGAACCTTAATACAGGAAAAACACTAAACTTGGATTGATTGGTTTCCAGTCGTTCAGGGCAGCTTAAATGAAGTACATCATGACACAACCAGATTCACGCCGTTGGAATCTCATCTCAACAAGAAACTAACGCGATTCTGGGAGGAATGGCCCCAACCAAGGGAAAAGGACAACGAACCAGGATATGGAAGAAAGCTTCAACTCGTCCGTGGAAACGTAGAAGTCAAGAGCAAGAAGCGTGCCGACAGATTTAATCAAGCACACAAACTATCTAACTTTGTCCCGGGGGACATGATTCTGGTCAAGGCGAACAACGTCTCAAACCCGGCGAATAAATTATTAGCCAAATTTCTCGTGATATACGAAGTTCCATACAAAATCAAGAAAGCCGTAGGACCAGCAACATGTATTCTCGCGCGCCCAGGAATGAAGAAAGAGCGCTGCATGTTTCGTAGCATAAATCTCAAGCGATATCTCACGCCAATCGACATCGGTAATTCGCAAGGATCGACTCTAACCAACGATTCAGTTCGAACGCCCGATGTCCCCTCATCGCAGAGCGATGAGTCCCCAAAATGACCAATCACACGTCAATAGTTGAAAAACCAAAATTGAATCTGATTGGAACCACACGAACCATGATATCGACCAATAAGGGGACATAATTACGCTAAGGATAAGGATTAGATTTATAAGCGGATCGAACTCAGAACGATTACCAGTTATCAAAGTGAGACAATAGAGAAAGGTCAACGACACAATAGCGAAGTCAAGAAGCCGAAGAGGCGAGTGCAAAACGACGAGGCTCAACGGTACAAGGCGACGACGATATTAAAGTAAGCGATCCAGCAACAAACATTAATCAATCGGAACATTTTAATTCGAATAGGAGTCACAGTATACCAGGGTACTACCCTGTGACGCATCCCCGTCGAGGAGATCGGGTAAGTGACCGTCCGGAAAGTAGGAATAATGAACCCGTACCGCATGTGAGCCCAGCTGGAGTTCCGACAGGCCGAACTATAACGAATAGAGCAGTGACTATAAGCCAAAATGAAACGGCGGCCAAACGAACAGGATCGAACCTTGACAGCATATGGCATTGACTACGGCGGAGTCACTAGAAACAGCTCGGACGACTTGCAGACTCTACCGCAGGACCGAGTAAACGAACGGCGAGACAGAGATAGTCAGGTTACTGCGGGACGGGGGATGGGATATGATGGCATAAGAGTGTATCATTAGCTCGAGTAGCACGTGGATCCAACAGTGGGGAGAGAATAACAAAAACGTGGTAGACTACATCCTAGGCAACGGTATGGCGCGCTCAGGGGAATAACCGAAGGAATCAATTTGTAGGATAAGCAACAATCAAAAGTTAAGAAATAAAATCTTGGTTCTCGAAAGGCAAGAGTGTACAATCACGACCTATCCCATGACTTTCCAAGCGGACTGTAGCGAGACAAAAAAAAATGTGCGAGGAGTAGGCGAAAAGGGGGGGAACACGCGTGTAAACTCAAGACAAAGTGAATGACGAATCAGGCACGCACAAGGTAATGAGCAACTTTGGGAGTCATTAGCATGTTAACTGCTAGCGAATATGGACAAATCCACACAGACAGGCAAACCGGTAACCGGGTGAGAAAGCAGGGTACGGGAGTACATCTGACGTCTGGGACTCAGGACCTCCAACCGCCCGCCTAGGAAGGGACTGAAGAAAAACAAACAGGCCCAAACAGAGGATGAGTATTTCCACTTGGCGAAGCAGGACCAGGACATTCGCCGAGTCCTGGAAGAAATCCTGACGGTCGGAAGGCATCCAGGGACGAAGGAGCATCCAACCCAGAAACCTACGGAGATACAACGCTTTCGATTTATTCCGAAAGCGCCGAACCCCCGAATCATCGAGGAGTGTAGGGGGCGATTCTTGGACCTGACGGCGTGGCGGGGCCAGGCCGCAACATGACGACGATCCGGCGACTCGAGGGCGACCCAAGAACAGCCAACCTGGGACCCAACCGTACGCAAGTACTCCCGGACATAGTTCACCATCACTCCCCTCTCCCCGCAAAGGATGCTGTATCGGGAAGATCCAAGAAACTAAGATTAATAAAATCATGATTAAGTATTGGTAACAGTGCAATTATTAAGTCCTGACTCTTAGGCGAAGGAGCCCGGAATATCCGTACCAACAGTTCCGAATTCCTTCGAGAGGGCAATTGTAACGGGTCAGTGGGATTGCGGACCATAGTATCCGAAATTAATTCGGGATTCAGAATACACTATGCGTGCACCTTAGGATAAGTAGGGGAACGCTAAGATAGGGAATCCGCGATCCGCGAGTTCAGCGAGCGCGAGAAGCGGCTCTCTTGGATTTTGGAAGCGAAGAAAGGCAGTCCGCGATATCTCTGCTAAATTTAAAGGATTAAGCACACCAGCGCCGAATTCGGCGCCATCGACCACGGGACACCGAGACATTGGAGCGACGAAGAGGAGCGGGCGCTTCGAAGGATGATTATGGAACAAAAATCGCAACTTTTGTTGCGCCCTCTTTTCCCAAAATGTCCAGCGGGTTGTGGAGTTGTGCCACGACCCGTCTGTTCCTTCTCCCACGGGTTCTGCCATTGCGCCGTCACCCGTCACTCCTATCACTCCCTGGGTTCTGGAATGGAACCGGTCACCTGGGTTGTGGAATTGCGCCATCACCGATCCTAGGTCCTAACCAAACCGTCCACTGCCAATGTCCGCAGCTGGTCTCCTATCCAATTAACAAAGAAGGCTGTTCTCGTGGAGTGTAGCTCCAAGAGAACAGTTCTTTCAGTTTAAGGAATGTCCGCGCACAGCAAGGCCGTACTTCCTATGCGTATAAATCACGCGACGCGTGCCTAGGACGAGATTAGAAAACTTTAGAAATAGTGCGAGAACCTTTCCAATCATCTCCTTTCCAACGTTCTCAGAAATAACTCGTTGATCAGAAAGGGCGCTTTCTGTAGATATTACATTGCGCGTAATTCCGAATTCTTGTCCTCTCGCCTGTCTCCTAATTAAATTTATTGTACGGACATATAAAGTAGCACGAACCCACGGGTAAGCAATTTTTGGGACGACAGTCGTTGACCAAGATTGCGACCGTTACAGTACATATCGTACATAGGCTCTACCTGAAATACCGAGAGTTCTAGCGTCTTTCCACCATGTGGTCAAATTCGTTCGGGGACGCTTACTTAGCCTCCGCCCATCTACTGATGAATGCGAAATCCAAACGCACTACTTTTTCCGGCGATATTTAAAAAAGAGGACATCGTCTTGACGAATAGAGCCCTTTCGGCCCATTGAAGGCGTATGTGAATCGAGCCAACTGCTGGACGAACCGGGCCTCCAAGAGGCAACGACGTGGGCTGGCAACTCACGCGCCCAAGGGCCATCCGTAAACCTCCTCGTGGTGGAGGCTGGATGCGGGCCTCCATGGGTCCGCAACGAAACGGCAAATGGCTACTGGGGAACCGTAAGAGATGCGAGCTCTGAGGAATTGATTCGCACTCTTGTTCCCGCTAGAGTTACCGGCGGCAGGTGGCCCCCATTGTTGGGAATATCTTCCGACCGGACGACTGGGTGTGCCGGGAAACCTTTCCCGTGTCCCGGATTTCCCGGTGCGGGTGGGGGGCTGGCATTCACCGGCCGTAATAAGAAGACAGACGAGCGGGTACTGGCCGATAGAGGAGGAAAACCGATCCGACTTTCCCCTGGAATCCTGGCCGATGGATGCGGGTTCTCATCTGGGAAATCTCGTAAACCCACGGTGAAGCATTGCGTCTCAGCTGGGGCTTTGCACGAATGCTCGCACCATGCGGGTGCAGGGAAAGGATCTCCACGGGGTTCAACGCGGGTAACGGGCGGCGTCCCTGATGCTCTCTCCTCTTCTTATGCTAATGACTTCTGCATTCCTCATCTGGTGTAGGAAACCAATATAAAGTCATCGACATAGGCACTAGAATTGATACGCACGCCATCGAGTTCGGAATCAGCAACCTCCGGAACAACTCGAAGAATATCGTCGACAATGAGGTAAAACTGTAGAAAAGAGAGCAGGTCCCCTTGTCGAACATCCCTCAGAACAGGATATACCTCCTACCTACATATCTTCCCGACCTTCGAACACAGTGAACCTCCGAAGGTACAGGCTAGCCACGTATTCAATAAAAGCTGCCGGTTATTCCATCTACGGCCAGACAAACAACAGCACCATAACTGACACTGCCATATGCCTTAGTAATGTCCAGAGAGGCAATGTGGACCTCATGCCGCACCGTCCGTGAGATTCAGAAGAACAACCGCAACAACGGCAATATTATCCAAACACCCATGAGCAAAACAGCGCTGACTGAGGTTGATAATACTGCACTCCCTCAGACGGACAGCAAGTTTCTTAAACAAGTGCTTGGCGATGACCGAAACCACACTGATCGGTCTGAAGTTCGCCGCTATCGGGTTTTGCCCAATCTTTAGTAGGAATATATTGTGAGTCTTGGGCACAGACTCCGGGAAGCTACGTTATTGGACAATACTACATTAAAAGACAGGGTGTTCACAGACACTGGCACAGAGCGCCACACGTGAGGACTAATTCCGTCCAACCCCGTTAATGCGAAGGGCACGGAGATAGTCACCACCTCCTCACATGCCACCGGTTCCTAGACAGAAGCCAAAACCTCCACAGGAGTCCCATACAATTTGTGAACTGTCTGCGTAAGTGGCGGCTGGCCTACAAATGGTCCTTAATGTAAGGCCATAGTATCGACATCGGGTATCTCCGGATCGACCCAATCTCCATCTACGATGTTTATATACAACACAGGACATGTCCTTGCAGAACATTCTATGCGTGTATGTGTACTACAAGCGCCAATTATGCGTGCAACTTCTGGGCTATCGACGAAGGCGAGGGGGCGCCGGAGGACGTGGAGCGACATGAAATGTATTGGTAGCCCACGCAGCAATCGCCGCCGAAATGTCATTACCCGCCAGATGATAATTCGCGGGCCCAATTAAGTCTATGACACTATATTCGCCGACGTTCTCCATCACCGGTATCAGCAGTCGAATGGCTGATGGGATGCCGTGGAATAGCGCTGACTACCGTCCATACCAACGGTTAACCGCGGGCGAATCCGGGGATAGGAGGGCTAAATGCGTCATCTCGGGGATGGATTCATACTCGCTCACCGTAGATGATGGTGATACAGCCCGAAGGTCATCAATGGCAGCATAATTAACAATAGTCACCGCGCTAACACACACTCTTAATGGTACCCAACCAAGGTGCATTCAAGTACAACGGCTAGCAGATGTTAGTTAATGAACCGTATGTTGCAATGAAGCACTAACTCCTTCTCCGCGCCATTATTGTACGGAAAGAAGCAGTAAAAAGCATATTAGCAAAATGGGGCAAAACAATATCGCTAGTATCGCCATCTGTAGGAATCGCCAGCATATTTTCATACACTGTTACGCAAATGGTGCAGGTCATTTACGATTTTCTAGCTGCGGATACTAAGGTCTTCTTAAATATCAGCAGTTATTAGTATAATCTTATCGAAAAATGCCAAGTAGCGCGATCGCGCTTCTCTAATTCCGTGTCGACTACCTGCGCGATTGAGCAATTTTTGCTTACAGGCACTTTTGTACAATCTCGATAATGTAACAATAAAGACACGCATTGAAAAGATACAAGCATGCAGTTAGTTCGATTCTACGAATTTATAAGGCGACACATTTAGGCATTGAATAAGAGAAGCGCGATCACGCCATCTGGCACTGAAATAGTTAATAGTGAAATATAGTTAACTGTTAAAATATTTTTGGTTGAATTTTATGATGCATTACAAATAAAACACAACACTGGAAATAAACTGTGTGGGATAATCATGAAATATTCAATTTATCGAGATATACTTGTCCAATATCTGAATATCATTATTCCTAAATTAAAACTTTGATAATATGTAACGGGGCGAATTGGGAGCGTCTGCGCGAGACCGAAATCGACGGCAATCGACGCGTGCGCAATAACCGCAGAATTAGGCGGTGCGAAAAGGCCGAGAGGTAGGAGGAAGCCGAGGAGTAGGGAGAGGCCGCGAGACTCCAGGAGACCCCAAGTAAAATTCTAAAAGACAGAACAGATTTAGATACCGAGCAGAATAGAATCAGATATCGATGGGGATAGACACCCAATTCTCACTAGCATTAGGATAAATTCAGGTCCCAATTGGACAAAGGTTTAGGAAGTTAGAATAGCCAGAAGAGAAACCGGAGTCAACCGGAATTTAGGAAGATTTATGAAATAAAATTTATAGGGAAGAATTCTAAATTAAATCCCAACCCCAGCGATCTCTGCCATCGAGGTAGCCGTCGCATCCCTAAGTCTAAATCCTTTGAACCCTATTCTGGGATTGTGCTATGGCTGCATCTCCCAAAAACACGAACATTAGATCGTGAAAAGAAACAGAAAAGAGAAAGAAAAAGAGCCATACCTTCGACTGACAGAAGTCAATCGAAGCAGGTTCACATAAAAAGAATACAAAGGAAGTGTAGATCCGTACCTTCGGCCTTGTCAATGTGACAGCTCTGAAACAGGAACTGACACTATTTTCAATTGTGAAAGACAGCTCGGACTCTATCATTGTGATTGCCTTCGATCTGCCGAACTTTCACAGTTGCTTAGAAGAATTGGAGCACGAAGAAGTGCAAAAAGAACCTACAACAAAATATCCTCTCAAACCTCAACACCCTAAAACCAGTAGATATCCGAAGCTGGATAATCTAAATTAGAATTGACACTAACACCTGTAGAGCAGTACTCCAGGGACCCAATCAATTAATTCAAGTCAAATTCGAGAATTGTTTGAAATCAGAAATTAATCAAAATAATAGGATTCCGAAATACTTAGGAAGCCAACCTATTTGCACCCACACCTTGAATCCATTTTATCAGGATTCGATGATGAACAGTTGGCGTACTCTCATGAGATAAATCGTCAATCTGAGAGTTCAATTCCTATCCAAATTCAATTCATTACAATAAGGTGAAGACAATTAGATAATCATCAGTTAAAGTTGTTTAGGAATCTCGAAGCGTTCGAGATATCGAAACACGAGTTCGATTCGGAATTTCGGCCTCGATCAGCTGAGCGAGCGACGCCTAGACGTATAAGAAACCGAAACATTGTCTGCGCGGCACGAGACATTGCGATCCTTCTCTAATTCGCACGCCTGCCTCTCTCTTACTCGGGTCTTCGCACCTCGGAAATCAGTGATTTAATTTTCCCGGAAAATTCTGACGCGGCTCGGACTTACGACAGTGGAAAAGACGGTGCATATTGAACGGCCTAATCCGTACTATTACAAATAATACAATTTTTTATACTAAATTCCCATATACGTATCTGTGAACTTACCTCAACCAACTTGTTAGCGTGCTCGGTAAAAACTAACGCATATTCTTCTACTTCTTTGTCCCTTCCATTACGAGCTGCTTCGATTAAAACTAATAATGGAACACTCGTTTCCAAGAAACTATCAGAAACGTGATCAACGACAGCTTTACGTAACTGCCGTCGTAAATCTCGAGTCTTCCTACACATGTGATCAATGGCTCGTTCCAAGCTTTCGGATTGTTCCTTCACACCCATCTGCAAACGTAATATTAGTATTGTTATTTTGTTATTCGTGATAAGAAAACATACAACATTAACAAAAGAACTCAGTAAGTGCCGTACAGGTTTCATAAGAAATAAATTATATTTTTCTTATTCCTTGATTTAAGTAAGTACTCTTAATGTACACACTTAGTACGCATGGATTTTATTAGATCAAGATACTCGGCAGAGTTTCGCGCCAAATTCTAACACATGCATGCACATGCACATATGGTCGTACGTATGCGCAGCTATATGCATGTGCGAGCGCTATCTAGTCTTTACCGCAAGTTTGGTACTCCGATATCTATTAATATTAATATCTTAGATGTATGAATTTGTAATGAATTCACGTTTTCCATAATTAAAAAGTATTATTATCTGCAGTCACTGTAATTTTTTTCAGATTTTTTTACATGCACTCTATTACACGCTTAAAGTTTGTAATTATTCGTAAGGTCATGCTTGACTCAAACTACGTAATCAGACATCGTTTATTGCTCGCCATCTCAACCTTTGATACAGAAAATACATGAGAATGGCAAAACCACCTCTATTTAGAGTTAATTTCTTTCCTACTCAACTACGTCCAGGTGGCGCGTCGAAAGTTACACACCGTGTCTGGAATGCGATCAGTTGACAGTTTTAGATTAGGATATATAATAAAATAAGGAACAACTATAATTAAAATGTAACTGTTTATTTATTATGTATTTATAATATATACATTGTGACGATGCACCCGGTGGGCGATCGCCCCAGGGCTCCAAATATTGAAACCTCCATCCTGCAATGCATTAAAATCCTTTCCGAAGGCAGTGGTATACAATTTTAATTGTATCATTTCATCCATGTCTTATTTCAGCACGCTCGGCGCTCAAGGCCGAGGAGGAGAGGAGCTAGAATATTCGTCGCGTTACCTGTAACTCTTTTTTTCATATCATAAGTTGTGCATAGCTTAGACGTTAGGACATCCTCGCGATGAGGCGAGTGCGGGCAAGAAGTCAACAGCGATCGCGGGACAAGGGCGCCCTCGAGAGACCGCAGAAGAGGAAGACAACGGTGGCAGAGAGGTCTCGCCCCGCCGCCGCCCATGGGTGCCGGGGCCGCGCGGAGTAGGACGGAATAGAACCACCCGTGACCCCGCGCTTGACGGCAAGGGCCGACCCATGGCAGCGTCGCTGGGTCACCGCGTCCGTACCCGTATTTCCGGCCCCTCACTGATGGCGAGAGGAGGGCGCATTGCCGGCGGCCGTGGACCCCCCGCCGTGACCTTTGACTCAAGGGAGTCCATAAAAGAGCGGTAAGGGGGGGATCTCAATTGAGTCGCCCTCCTACGCCAAGGCCAGGCCGCGGTGACCCCAGGGCGGAAGGGCCCACTGATCCCCTCATCCGGGAGCCGTTGCATCGAGGGATGTCGGCACCCCCGGGCAAAATCGCGAGGAATCTTGGCTCAATGGAGCCCAGGACCGGCGCCACCGAGTCTCTGAGGAGCTGCGTCCCTGGACCTGCGGATGACGTCACGCGCCGGCCGCGCGCCCCGATTGGACAGCAGGATCCGCTTCAAATCCGGCGCGCGAACCTGCGCCGCGGCTGTCATCATCCCGAAATCGTCGAAACTCCGAACGCGACCGCTGTCAATTGGCCGACGCAATTTGGCAGCCGACGGCGGCCAATCAACAAGAACTTTGAGCCGCCGAAAAGGAGCCGTCGACCCTTCCCGGAGGACCGCGGCGAAGACCCGGCCTTCTTGGTCCGTGAGCGTCAAGCCGTGACGACGAGTTCCGCTGCCTTCCTGCCTTCTCATCTCTCTGCACCGCTCCCTCGACTTAATACCGCTGCCTGGGGAGCATCGCCGCCGCCGGTGGACCTCCAGGGCACCGAGGGACCGCCGTCACACTCGCCGAGCCCGAGGTTTCAGCGTACAGTAACATTTTGTATAGATGTTTGATAGTTTCCCGGTTTCGCGTTTTCCCCTGGTAACCCGTCATCGGGCCGCGCGCCACGCGGTCGGCCCTTCCGCGTCTAACCGGCCAAAGTCTCGTGTGAGCGGCCCCTTTTATATTTTTGCGGCCAAAGTCTCGTGTGAGCGGCCCCTTTTATATTTTTGCGGCCAAAGTCTCGTGTGAGCGGCCCCTTTTATATTTTTGCGGCCAAAGTCTCGTGTGAGCGGCCTTTTTGAAGTAAAATATCTTCTTGCTGCCTCTCTCCTCGGTCGGATCAAGAAGCCGTGTCGACCCGAACTCGAGAATGATCTTGAGCGGTCGACACGTTAATTTCCTTTTTGTTTCGCGAAGTGCGAACTTCAGTTAATTTCTTTTTGTTCTCGCGATGTGCGAACTTTGTTAAATAATTACCGTTTTCGCGAAAGAAGACGAACTTAGGACTTTAACCTCCGCGTAACGGATCAGTCACAGCACACAGAACAGCGCCTGTTCACAGAAAGAAGCGCATTGTTCTCGCACAATCTGCGTTGAAAATCGGAGTGATGATCAGTGTTGTATCAATTGCTGAGTATTTTTACGATTTCTACAGTTTTCTTAAATTCAGATTTCTTAATTTGTGCTTTACTTGTAATATTATAAATTTCAACATGTTGGAAAATGCTCACCTTCAAGATTCATCCAAGAGTGACGCAGATATTTAAAATAACTGCCCTACACATGTTTACATAATAATAAATCCGTACTATTACAAATAATACAATTTTTTATACTAAATTNCATTAAAATATCAAGAATTCCCGCGTCAGCACTCCGGCGTCCAGTAACCTGCCGCCGCTAAAGCGCGCTATCGCGACACCCGAACCTCCGCGACGCGGAAGTATACTATTCCAGAGAAGTTAGGTCAAGGCGCCTCGTGTGCTCCTCACAGCTGACTGTAGTTCAGACCTCGCGTACGAATAAATATAACTCTTATCGCCACATAGCCTTTTGTTCGCACCCCCTTTTTATCCTTCACTCTCCTAGATCCCACCAGAGGAATTGATCTAGCCGCTCGGATCAATCTCCTCACAAACGCAAAATAAACGTTACGCGCAAGATTTGGGTAATCTCCATCCGAATTACCCCGGCCTCGCATCCGCTCGGCCGCCCCGTAACAAACTTGTTCTTTCTGAAGAAATGAAAACGTAATTTCATTGATTTTGAAAGTGGCGTAAGTCCATTTATATCCATCAAAAACATATTATTTCTTAAATAATGTTAATTATGCTAATTGGGATGATAAATTTGACACCCTTAGAAACCCAGAAACGTTATTCTACTGTTATCTGTTACCCATATTTTTGAATTTAATCCAACGCAAACCCTTCAATATCTCGATTCGAACATAAATGAACTTACGCCACTTTCAAAATAAACGGCTCATATAGCGGCGCCCAAATGGCGAAAACGGCAGAAGCTCCGGAAACGTGATTCCACGCACTGCCGATGGGAAGAAACCCAACTCAGCAGATCCGAAGCTTCTCAAACAGAACCGCAGGATGAGACCTCGGTTCAGGACAGTCGCGAATTCGAGTCACGACAAGACGAGACGACAAAGCAAGACAGACCTTTTGATCGAATCATAGGATAGAAATCGTAAGCATATATATAATAGATCGAGTTGCACCCCATTTGAAAACGTCATCCCGCTTGGGGAAGGCGAACCAATACTGAAGTACGAATTTATCTTTTCTTTTGTAGTTCCACAACGGAGATTCCAGCAGCAGAGCCGCCCAGGGCACAGCCCCTTCAATAAAACTTGCTACTGTTACGCACCGACTAAGTTACTTCACCCAGACCCTAGCCGCGAACGCCATCGCTCCAAACAGCTACTGTCTCGGGAAGAGAACCGAACATAGACCGTGGCGTACAGGGCGCCACCTAACTTGTGGCGTCACCGGACTACCGTTACATACTATTTTTTAGATTTCATGTCAATTTGGTTCTGATCTGCGCTAAATCAAACAATTTTGTATGGAAATGCAAATTTCGAAATTATCAGAATGTTCCTTAAGTGCTCACGAATCATGTGCTAAAATTTCAGGTAATTCGGTGGAATACCCTTAACCACTTGCGCTATAAAGACGTGCCACGCACGTCGAGAAGCTTTTGTTCCAAAACTGCCAGCGACATGTATACCACGTCGTTAGGCATTTGTCGTGGAAACAAAATCGACGTGTCCGGCACGTCGACTAACAGTTGGATCGTTCATTATTCGAGCTACAGTTCCAGCGTCATCGATATCTTGGAAATATTTCAGAATCGATAGGGTATGTTGTACGGATGTTATACCGCATGTTATATTGTAGAGCGCGGCACGGCAACCGAAAATTAAATCGTAGCGCAAGTGGTTAACACGTTCGCGACGGGGCCTGAATTTACTGGCCGCACCGTAGAGCAGACCTGTTTTTGTGCTCGATCCCATCGGGCGGGCTTAGTTCCCGGTGGTACATGAACCATTGCCGGTGTACCTCCGGTGGCTCATCCCGCCCGATGGGACATTTCTGTACGTACCACCGGTGGCTCATCCCGTCCCATGGGACAGACAAGAATGTACCACCGGTGGTACACCCCGTCGCGAACGTGTTAAACAAAAAGTGTTATCTGAATCGATTGGTTTGAGGGACGTTTGATTTCACCATGTTAAGATGATATGAAAGCCGCTGAGAAATTTAATCGAGGTCGATAAATTAAAAGTCATCTATACCCTTTTTGGTGGTAACGTCATTTCGAATACTCAAGTGATAACATAAGCTGACGCGTTCCGTTACCGACATTTATATTTATGTTGGTATTTTACAGTCTACGTTGAGAATTATACGAACTGAAGCGTTCCATATGTCATTTCAGTAAAGTAATGATAAAGAGATCGATGTAAAACGGTCGAAATCCCGTAAATTCATGACGGTTTATATTCTAATGGACCAACCTTTGGAGCCATTTGTGACCTTTGACTCCAACTAAATTTTTGCTCTAAAAACACGCGTTAGCCATGGGACACACCAGCATTCTTTTGCAATCGTTGGTGAAAGTATTTTCCATATTTTTTCATCTGACTCTATAATCTTCCATTTCTATGGTATTCTAAATTATTCGAACTACGTCCCGAAACTCTTCATTTTCGATTCTAAACCTTCAAGATATGTAAAACATTGAAAATGTGCACGGTCCACACCATGTTGGTACCAGTCCATGATAAATTAATAAATTGTTGATAAAAAATGAAATTTCGTGAGTTTCAGGACCTACTTTAAGGCCTCCATATTCCCGTGGTAAAATCTGAATCGAATCGGTACACTCAATTCGGAGAATAGTTTCACCAACGATTTGACTTCTCAGATATATATAGGAAGACTCTTTCGTATCACCTTAACAGCTTCAAATTAATTTACTGAATCCTTCATGATTTCTAAAATGATATTAACAAAGATGATTTGCAACTTACATTATTCATGTACTCGCTTAGTAAGTCTTGAAGAGCTTGTCTGACTGCGTTACATTCAGCAACAATACGTTCTCTGCGTTCATCTCTTGTACACGAAGAGTCAGCCATAAGCGCAGCTCCACTAATGATGCTTTCTAATCTTTCTTCTAGACTGGGACGTGTGCGTACTTCATTGTATGCTAAAGGTGACATAACCATCCTTTCGTCAAAATCATCTAATGCAGCAGCCAATTCTCCAGGCCCATCGTAAGGATGTTGACTATCCGTGGGAGTTTTTCCTTGAGCGACGTCATTGATAGTATTAACAGCTTCACATACTTGTTTTAACACGTAATCTCGATTCGCTTTCGCTGCTGCCAACTCTGGATGTCGAACGTATACTTTGGAAGCAGTAAGTAACATCGTAGAATGCTTTTTCAGAACAGCTCGAGCTGCTGCCAAGTCGTCTCGTAATTGTGGGTCTTTCAGCTCTTGCTGACGTTTAGCCGCTTGATTCATGAGCTCTGAGGCATTTCTACCAAATTGTTTAATATTTTCCAAAAGTTCACCTTGTGACGAAGCATTTTGCAATTTCTTCAAATCATCCTCGACCACATGCAATGACTTTAGAAGAAGATGTACATCCACCATGTCTGCTAAGATCAGCAACCTTGTGACAGCAGATAACAAGTTTCTAGCTGCACGGACCATGTTTCCACGCTTTAACGATGAACAAGGATCCTCCGAGAATTCTCTATAATACATTAATTAAATCTTATGAGTTGTTTTATATTTACTCAAAACATTAACAGTTACAATAAAATGTCACCTTTTATAAAATATCACGTATATAGTTCAAATCTGTTTTTGTTTATGTAAAGATATTTGAAATATAATAGAGAACGAATATGATCGAAAAATGTGTATCTTATTATCTTTTGAGAATAAAAATTTTCAATATATTTAAATTCTATTAGAACATATCGTACTAAGCACTTCATATGAAGAACGAGTTGAACTTAATATTTTTTACTTTGACTGATAATGAAGTATTAAAAGTGTAGTAAATTATTTCTACTTTGTACTGTAAAAAATACATATTTAATACATACTGATATTGAATGTATATATAGTTTCATAATGCATGATAAACAATTTCATCCTAATTTGTTTAAGGTTCCATATAATGAATGACATATTGTGAACTCTGAATGTATATGTAGGATAAATACCGAAGAAATTAACGATTTTTATAGAAGCCCAAATCCTACGTTGATGCTCACTAGTTGTAACGGTTTGTGGCCACGTGCAAGTAACTTGCGCCATTTCTTGCTAGAGCAACTCGCATTTGCGGATACACTATCAATAAACTTGTAGCAAATTTCTTGCCACGAGTCGCTCTGGCAAATTCTTGCAAGGCGACTTGCGAGAGTGATTTGCTTTGGCGTGTTCGCGGGAGTCACAAACTTGTTGCAATTTTTGTTGAGTGTGAGATATTGGATGACCTATCTTACATTATGGGAAACATGTATAAGAAGGCAGATGCTGTAAGCAAAACAAAAAACGCATATAACACTGCACTCTGACGTGTCAGTGGACCTGACGCGACACCTATGAGTCACCCTTAAAATTTTGTCTCGACGAAGACTTAGATTACGCGATACCGACTCTGCGAGGAGCATAAAAACAACCGCTTGCTTGTGTTCCGTGGCGGCCAAGCGGATGCGAGGCCGGGGTGATTCGGGTAGAGATTACCCGAATTTTGCGCGTAACAGGTATTCTAATCTTGCGAGAAGATTGATCCGAGCGGCTAGATCAATTCCTCTGGTGGGATCTAGGGAAATGAGAACTGAAAAGGAGGTTTGAACGAAAGGCAATGTGGGCTAGTGTGCTATACTGGTTGCATTTATTCGTCCGTGAGGCTTAATTTACAATCAGCTGGGAGGGGTACCCGAGGTGCCTTGACCCAATTTTGGCCGTTCGGCGTGACGTCATAGCGACGTTCCCTGGGTGTCCGGTCACTCGAGAAGACTCGCATCCACGCGCAAATCGCTCTCAGACTCAAAGACGGTCTCGCATTCGTGCACCTACCCTCCCGCCTGACAGCAACGCGACGTTCCCCGGGTGTTCAGCTGCCGAGGTGATTCCGTGTCTGACGTTCGTATGGTATCGTTCGGCACCACGCCCCCACGAAGGAAGGAGGACTGAGCATCCGCTCTCTCAGATGAATAGCCCCTTCCATGCGGCTCCGATGACTCCAAAGATACCTCCCACAACGAAAGTCTGGCGTTGCTCCGGATGATAACTACTTGACGGCGGAGGTCCTTCGATGTATCCGCCGGCTTACCCATCAAGGAAGACTCCTCACCTCCACAACTTACTTCGACGCGATGTGGGTCAATCTCCTCCACGCGTCCGTGGATGGTAGGACACTACGAGTGTCAGCGCTGTCCACCAGCAACATGGATGGGTTGCCGACAGGATACGTCTTTTGACTTGGAGGGACTTCGCCTCCACCATCAAGACGAGGATTGGAGCCGTCCCTACTCTGGCAAGAGCAACGCGTGGCAGAAGACGGGAGAGGCTATGCCGTGGGGGATGTCTTCACTCAGAAACATTCAATCAGATGGTGCAGCATTGCCACCACACACGGGCCTCCAAAAGGCAACGACGTGGGGGAGGGGCAGCTCCCACGCGACCAAGAGCCATCCGTAAACCTCCTCGTGGTGGGGCTGGATGCGGATCCCTACGGATCCGTAACGAAACGGCAAATGGCTACTGGGGAACCATGAGAGATGCTCGCTCTGCGGAGTTTTACCGCACTCTTGTTCCCCCTAGAGTTACCGGCGAAAGGTGGCCCTCGTCATGGGAATACTTCTCGACCGGACGGCTAGAGGTGCTCCGGGTAACCCGTCCCGTGTCCTTGGTTTATCCGGGTGCGGGTTGGGGGCCAGCCCTACCGGCCGTAATAAGAAGGCCGGCGAGCTAGTACGGGCCGATAGGTGGGATAACCGATCCCATATTTGCCGGGTCAACTCGGCCGATGGATCGGGTTCCCACCCGACCTAGCCTGGAAAGCTCGCCAAACCACGCTGGAGCATTACGTCTCAGCTGGCGCCTTGCACGAATGCTCGCACCACGCGGGTGCAGGGGAGGGACCTCCTCCAGGTTCCCCGCGGGCAACGGGTGGGGTCAAGCGGCCTCCCTTCGGGGAGTGCGTCGCGGAGGCCCTGTCCCGGCAAGCGCCTCCCCGGGGTTTGAACGATCGGTCCGGAGCATTAGGGTTTTTCCGGCCCGTCCTGGGCCTTCGGGCCCCTTTGGCGGTGGGGTTGCCGGGTGGTGTAGGGAGTGCAACCCCCCAACAATGGGGGGACCGATAAGGAGGCTCACCCTCCAGGTGCGGTCGACCGAAAGGCCGATACGAAGTCATGCCACCACACACGCACTGCTAGGATCCGGCGCCACAATGCGTCCTGGCATCACACAACGCCAGGAACCTCCGCCGTCAGGATTATGCCGTCAACAAGGAGCCCCGCCTCCGAACCCCCTCCGGACTCAGAAACCCTGACATCGGGGCGGCTCTGGGAAGACAAGCAGTAGTCAGCGACGCCCAGGTTATCAACGAACAGGCCCTACTTTACGTTGGAAACAGAATCAAGGGGTCCGACGCCTGACCGGAGTAGTCACGATATGCCACCTCCCGGCCACTCGACATGGAGTGGGATTTGTAGTAAGAAGTCGCCCCAGAAGCTCCGCCGACTTGAGATTATCAGCGCTCGAGACCCAGCTGTCATCCCCGCCAGGGTTCTCGTGGGAACCTTCGCTGCCTTTCGGATATTCTCCAACACGACCTCGATCGTCAGAAGGCCGTGCGCACCGGAGCCCGCAGGGATTGGTTAGGAGAGGAGGGAGGAGCGACCCCCTCCTAACGGGTGCTACCCAGCCCCATAATAGGTATAAGATATCCTTCCTCCTAACGGGTCCGCTTGTATATGTGTCGCGCGAATCCCCCTAAGTTAAATCAAGCATGTCTACAGGCGCAATAATGGAGTCCGAAGGAGTTTTTTTTTTTGCAACGTTCATCCACACCTGCACTCCGAGGGCGTGACGGCATGGTGCCGTTCCCCCTTAGTTAAGGGTCACAGGTAACACATTGCACAAAGTGTGACCCTGAAGACCGTCCTCGCAGATACGGCATAGCTAAAGACAAAACGTAGTCAGAGTTAAAATGTTACAGGACGCGACAGGCAGACACGTCAAGACCTCTAACACCTTCCAGTCCACGACAAAACCGTCCTCAGACGAGAAATACATTTAAACCCTGTATTCCTTTTCACACGGCTCTCACTAATGAAAATTGCTTAGAGGCTGAGGCTCCACGCCATTGAAAGACTGCGCTGGTCTGAGATTGCTGAAAGGAAATCCAGGGTAGGCCGGAAAGGCAAAAGTAAAAACACTTCTTCGCGACCGCCTGAGCACGTGAAAAGGCGCGACCGACCAAGGAAAGGAACAGGGACGCGACAGTATATAGGATACCATAGAGTTAAGAGAGGTAAAGAGATAATTATACTACTGCCATTAATTAGGTAATACTCTAGTTGTTCAACATCAAACTTCCGTATTATTTGGGCTTCTATGAGGGCCTTTAGATTCTTAGTTAAAGCACTGAAAAAGTTAAGCCATATATGCACTTCGCAAGGAAAAGAAAAGAACTATAACAAAAATTACACGATTTACAGAATCAACCTTCATCTTCAACCATTGTTATTTTTTTTACAATATGAAGTATAAACATAAAACCAACATTGACACTATCGGCAAACAAATTTTCAACACGGCGTCATCTTTAACAGAAATATTTGTTCAGTACATAAAAGTATATCTTTGTTAAGAGGATGTAAAAATAGTATTTGAGGAGTCAATCGTTCATAAAACTTTCTTTCGAACTGGGTCTACCGAATCGTTTCAAACTTTACAACGAGGACAAACTTTACATGGAGGCTATAAGAAAGATTCTGACACCGATGAAATTTCATGTTTTGTAAAAAAAAAATGTTTTAAATATCGTGAACAAATTAAAAAAGAAATTGAATATGATATAGGTGCAAGGACTTTGCTTATGGCTTCCATAGTCACATTGTAAAGTTTGAAATGATTCGGTACACCCAGTTTGCCTAAACATACCTGTACTCGTGCACAAACCTAATAAGGTTTATTAACACGTGTCAATATTATCAATAAAAATGAGTTTCTTTGAAGAATAAATAACAACGATAAGTAATTAGTAATTTTAAATACCTTGCGGCAATGCTCATAGCTGCGCCAGTCTTCCGAACTTCTTCTACAGCACTCAGCATTTCGGCTGTAATATCAGGATTTTCATACGCTATTTGTTCTCCCTTTTCGATAAAGTTACTTGTTGCTTTTTCCACAGTTCCAACTAAAGCACTCGCTCTTTTCGATTTGCCCTTCTTTTTCTTACTTGGTCCTTTTGTGTTCACTAACGTTGTAACTTGTAAAACCAATGGTTCCAAAGTTTTCTCCACCGACATCGTGCGGATCTCTAGATTCTTGGGATCCCACTTTAATGTTATTGGCCCAAAGTGGTCTGACATGTTCAATCAATATGTAGGAAATTGTTCTGCAAACATAAAGTAATCTCACATAATTTCACCTCGCATAAGTTAAATATACAGCAAAAGACGCAGTAGCGACTCGGACAAGCTTATGACCCTCAATTGGGCAATACGTCTCTTTACTTTGAACATGGCTTTAATGGGTATTTAATTTTTTTTAGGCTACCAATAGAGCTACTAGAAGGTGCTATACACTTATTAACATTCATTAGCTGCTTTATAATATTTTTCTCTTCCATTTCAGACCAAAAATATAGTAATCAGGGAAGAGATTTACGAGTCATGTCGAATTTCAGTAACATCACTTTAACTATATCTCCACAAAAAAACACACATATAAACAAATATCACAGAGTACAGAATTGTCGTTAATCTGACATCGTAATAAACCAATATGTATATCTTTTATTATGCTTTTGCATACAAAAAGGACCAAAATCATATCAAAAATACACGATCATAAGTAAAAAAAATTAAAACCGTAAGCCAGTTGTAGACCATATGAGCAGATACCTGGGAATATTACGGACTTGGATTTCTGACATGATTTCGGTGCCTTTTATATATAAAAGCATAATATAGGATATAAATAGAGGTTTATTAAGTAGACAAATTCACGATTATCCCGTACGTGACGAGTTTTTTTTTACACATAAGGGTTTCTTAGTGTTCTGTTTTCAATAGATTCCCATAATTTTTATTTTTTCATAAGATAATTTGAACCAGCCGCTTGGGTCATCTCCTCATTAAAACAATAAATCGGTTACGCAGGGATTCGAGGTAAAAATCACCTAAGTTATACCCAAATTTCCTCGGCCTTGCTATCCCTTCGGCTGCCACATAACACACACTGGACTGAGATAAGGAATCTGTTAGCGGTTAACATATTAGTAAGTGATAAATAAATGATAAGTAATTGCTGTTGAAGTAATAACGCAAAGAAGCAGTGAATCTGTAAAGTATAAAATCTAGTATTGCATCATAAAAAAAAAGGTATTTTATATTAGAAGAAAAGGTAGTAAGTGACGTACATGCTTCGCCGTTCGACATGATTTCAGCAATGTTTCTTGGAAGAAACTTCATGTAGGATAGAGATAGTGTAACGGGGCGATTCGGGAGCGCCTGCGCGGTACCGAAATCGACGGCAATCGACGCGTGCGCGATAAGAGAATAATTAGGCGACGCGAAGAGGCCGCGAGACTCCGGGAGACCCCGAGTCAAAATCAAAAAGGCAGATTAGATTCAATTCTTGATGGGGACAGTCGCCCAAGTAGATATTATTAGAATAAATTCGAGTCCATAATTGGACAAATCTTAGAAGTGCGAGGAAATAGAAACAAAACCGGAATAAGCAGAAATCGTAAAGTCAGTTATGAAATAAAAATTGTAACGAGCCGTATGCCTCGGACCAGGGCGCCCGATGACGAGCTGCACGACTCGCACAGCACTGCGGCCGGCCCCGCAGCCCGGCGACCGTTTCCCACAAGCCCGGCAACCCACGACCCACAACTTAATTATTTATTTATTATTAGTTTTTTGGTCTATGTTAGGAAGATAGAATACATTAGATTAAGGTTAAGTATTCATTTCAAAATAACGTACCATTTTGTAACATTTTATGCATTTCTGCACTCTCTACTACATCGTACCGAAGACCGTTTACTTCATACATTTCACTGTAATAATTGATTTCATTTGCCATCCTTGTTTCTTTAACTTGAATCTACACGGTTTGAATTTGAATTTGATCTACCCAACACGTTAAGCGTAGGTAGCGTAGAAAATTTGTGATACATTTTATGTTACCATCATCGATTAAATTTCTCCACACTTATTTCATATTGTCTTAATCAAACGTTTTAAATCTCCACCCTGATCCAGAAGTAACTTGTTTTTACTTAACAATGTACAACTAAAAATACGATAGCCTTGTTCTCAGGGATCTTTACAGACAAATTTCGTAAATTCTTTACATTGAATTTGTTTCAGTCAAATTGTTACTTTTAAGACACAAAAAAAAATAGTATGATCGATAGATGGGATTAGCAATTGAAGAAATAATTGAAGTTTGGACTAAATTAATGCATAAATTCTATGCGTAGACAAACAGTTTAAATCTTCCCCTTCAAACAACAGATTTATATTTATTTCTTCTGCCACTTATTTACACGAGGATATGGCGTAGCGTCAAATTACATGGTTCAATTAGAAAATAGAACAGCTGAATTACATTACGGGTTATTAAGGTGAAGTGAAACACGTCGAGGAACTTGACCGACGTCGATTAAAACAGTTTTTCTAAATACTTACGTTGCCGACGTTCGTTTTTATATTGACAGCTGTGTCAAATTATATTGAGTTATTTACTAAATGGTGTACTCCATCTATCGTTTTCGTACAATAATTAAGAAATATTATTATAAGAAATCGAAGTAAAACTTCAGAAATCCCTTGGATTCGTGGTTTTTGAGGCCCTAATTGACTGCAGAGTGATGCCCTACGCCATCTGTGATTTCCGTGTCAACTAATTTTTCACTCGGAGACATCGTATTACCATCGTTTTAGTATAAAAGCGTATACGACACTTTTTTGCCTTTATTCCGTTCAAATACGAGTTTCTCGATTACTAGTGTTCCGAATTGTCGTACAATTGTCCTGCTACTTTTGTTTCTCATATCAGATTCTTCAATCATTGCATATCGATCGAAATATGTGAGCTCAAAGCCATTTTGGTTCTGATCTGGGCTAAGTTAAACATTTTTTGTCAAAAATTTAAATTTTGAAAGTGTCAGGATAAATCTTAGATGCTCACGAGTCATGTGCCAAAGTTCCGAACAATTCTATTCAATATTCTTAAAAAAAGTGTCCTATTCGAATCGACTGATTTGAGGGGAGTTTCACTTCCCCTTAAGATTAATTTGAACATTCTGAGGGGATATTTAGTCAGGAAATTATGGATTTTAAGGTGATGTGAAAGTGGCATCAAAGAGGTTTTGTTTATAAGACTTTTTTCCCAACTCGATTTACTGAATAGTTTGAAACTTTACAATGTGAATAGGGAGCCTATAAGGAAGGTCCTGAAACTCATGAAATTTAAATTCTTTTTAAATTTGTTTATAGGTATTTTAAAAAGGCTGACAGTTTCGTACCACCTGAAAGGTGATGTGAAAGTGGCGTCGGAGAGGTTTTGTTTATAAAACTTTTCTCCCAACTCGGTTTACTGAATAGTTTGAAACTTTACAATGTGAATAGGGAGCCTATAAGGAAGGTCCTGAAACTCATGAAATTTAAATTCTTTTTAAATTTGTTTATAGGTATTTTAGAAATAGTTTTAAAAAAATGAAATTTCACGAGTTTCAGGACCTACTTTGGGGTCTCCATATACACATTTTAGAGTATGAAACAATTTGAGACACCCAGTTCGTAGAAAAGTTTTATGAACGATTGAGCTTTTGGATACCACTTTCACATCCCCTTAAGGTGACATCTAGGGTTATTCTATATATATGACGTCAAAATATTTATAAAACTTTTCACCAAAGTAAGTGCGCCAAATCATTTCATACTTCAACACATGATTCTGGAGGTCCTAATGAAGAACGCGATGCTCATGGAATTTCATTTTTTAAGAAAGATATATATTCTTGGTTCTAGTCTGGGCTAAATAAAAAAATTTCTTTAACAAAAATGAAATTTCATGACCACCACGTTCTTCCTTCGGGATTCTATAATCACATGCTAAAGTTTCCACCGATTCGATGCATCCAGATTGGAAAAAAGTTTTATCAATATTTTGACGTTTTATATATATGAGGATCCTTTCATATCGAAATCACGTCGAAATCAGCGGAGAACCGCAATCAGAAATCACTAGAAATCGTTGGAAATCACCAACACATTCCCACAATTTTAAGGTCAAACGTCACTTGTTACCGAATCTCATTGTTATTTATCATATGAATTCAAAGGCAATCAGTTCTGAAAAAAGGAAATCGTTTTCACTGATTTCCGAGTGAATAGCCCATCTGAACATTCGCTTGTACAAGGTAACAAAATTTGCTCACCAATATATTCTGTTAATGAAAAAAGCTTTTTGAATTCAAGATGTGATAAATCTTGTTCTTCGATTCATATTATCAGTAAGCAATTTTTCACAATGAAACGCTCCAAATACTTTCGCCAAAGAAAATAATAAAGTCCATTAGTCTTGCCAACAATGTTAGGGATCCTTAGGAAGTCAGAAAGGTAAACTCAATTCGTCTCTTCCATAATAAGATAATAAAAATTAACAATTATAATCAAATCAAAACCACGTACAAAATATTAAATCTAAATAAGAGAGATGAGTGGTACATATCTCTCCATGAAAGTAATGAAATCGACCCCTTTTATCACATTTATGCACCGCCTCTTAGGTGCAAAAATTAAATACAAATTAAAAAGTTTGTACAAGTCCCATTACATGGTTGTGGCGGTCATACAATATATGTATTAGAAATTCTCACTTTTCCACGGGCTTTCGATAGCCCAGCGGTACGCGAAGTCTCTCGGGTTCGAATCCCGCTCAGGAATGATTTTCCAGTGTCTAAGGCCTGATAAGCCTTACCGACGAGTCCACAGGCAGACCCGGGACGAGACACAAAAACTGTGGGAACACGTACTCCCGTTCCCATAACTGGTGACCGTGATGAGATGTAAACACGCACACACAAACCTACCTTTCGTCCTACTCCAGCCTTAACATCGACAATCGGCCTCTCTCCCTCTCTACTCTGGCAACTAGCCTCGTGCGCACGCATGCGCCCTCCCTAGTCTCGTACGCAATGACGCAATCAGCCACGCACACGCACACGCATGCGCACAACACTAGCCATGTGCGCACTCTAGCCTCGTACGCAACAGCGTACCTAGCCTCATACACAGTCCCAGCGCTAACTGGGGTGCCTTAAATTCGTATGGAAAAATACATATGGACAGCGATACTAAATAAATAACGAGTGCGCATGTGCAAAAGTTTTGAACCGTCAATCTGTCAATTGCGGCAATGACAAACATTGAACTGTCGCGAAGGTAAACGTTTAAGGTATAAATGACAGAAGAGATAATTTACGTGTATAATGGTGTGTAGGACATATTGTAAGAAAACTTCGACTAAAACAAAATGGTGATCTTTTTTTTCGTAAGTGTTTCGTAAGTATTATAAAAATGGCAATTGCTTTTTTTCAGTAAATTAATTTGACCCCTCTTATACTATCTACGGTTGAATGACGCGTTGTTTTGACGCATGCGCAAGTACTACGGTAGTTGTTTATGACCTTTGGTCGCTTAAAAACGTCACGCCATTTTGTAGGATATCAGCTATCCAGGTAGTGTACATGGTGTAACGGAACTCGGAATCACGGTTTATACAGCATTATCCTTGTTGAAAAAGGAGTCGAAAAGTCCTGTACTATTTTTTCCTACTGTGCTTAAATTTCCTGTAAAAACTAAGTAAAGCACAGCCAAACAATCACGTTCCCGAACGGAGAGACAGCGGAAAGGACACCGGTAAGGTTGCGTTCGGCTCTCTGCGGCATAGCGTCTTCACCGCTATGCATTCCGTTCGGAAATGTATAGCAATAAAAATTGATTGAAAAAATTGCAATTTATCGGCTATGCTTCAATTAGTTATTACAAAAAAATTATGCACTGTAGGAAAAAAATAATATAGGACTTGTTGACTCCTTTTTCAACAAGGATAACGCTGTAAAAACCATGACTACGAATTTAATTATACCCTGTGTAAATCAGTGCATAAAGGGAACCAATTTCATTGTTTTCATGGAGGAATAAATACTACTGATTTGTTTTATTCAAATTCAGTAATACGTGCATGATATTAATTTGATTACTTTTGTGAAGTTAATCATTATGTTATTTAGAAACAAACTGAAATGAATTTACCTTTCTGCCTTAGTAAGAATCAATGTACGTATATGGCAAGAGTAATTGATTTCATTGTTTTCTTTGGCAAATGTGTTCGGCTCAAGGTTTTTTAACACATTTTGAAAAGGGTTTTTAGGAGTACATTTTATATGAACTAATAAAGGCTATGTGAAAGTGGTGTCAAAGAGGTCTCGTTTATGAAACTTTTCTCCGAACTGGATGAGCCGAACTGTTTCAAACTTCACTAAGGGAATATGGAAGCTATAAAGATGATCCCGATCCCCATGAAATTTGAACTGTTTAAAAATTTGTTTATAGGTATTTAAACATTTTTCATTAAAAATGAAATTTCATGGGTGTCAGGACCTTTCTTATAGCCTCCACATTCACTTTGTTAAGTTTCAAATGATTTGGTACAGTCATTTCGCAGAAAAGTTTCATGAACAAACAACCCCTCGAATGTCACTTTCACACCTGCTTAAGTACAATATTTAAACAGTAAGTAATGTTAGATTCTCTTAATGTTGGACTGCTTTGGTAAGCAATGAAATTATTTAAACAACATGAATATAAGAACAAAAATTAATTCCAGAATATCAAACAAAATCTGTCTCACTTTTTTTTATGTAATGTAGAAATATAACAGTCTCTGGTTATGAGATACTATATAAAACATATTAACAAAAATGCTTCCTTAGGTATAAAAAAAAATATAATGTAATCAAATTTTATAGCATAGACTCTTTGACAAACTGGTAACCTTACCTAGAAAAAGAGAAACAGAAAAACTTATACTTTGAACATTTCTATGTTTTTGATATAATTTTAGACCAATGGGAATGAAGGGGATTATTTAAACAATAAACAGATCTATACACGTTCAAATGCTTGCAAAATATAGTACAGATGGTCAAAAAAAAGGGTAAAAATATGATAATATTCATATAATATATATGCATACATATGTGTGTAAAAGATGTGCAGATTATGGTCAAAGCTGACAGTTGTTTGTCTATTAAATACAAATGCTTAGCAAGATTACTCATCACGGTACATTTCTACTTACACTTTCAATAGAGGAATAAAATAAAATTAGTAAATTGTTTACTATTTAAATGCCTGTTTACTCTCACCTAAAACTGCTTAAACGATTACTATTTTTTTAGGTATATTCTTTAACCCTAGCACTTTTTTTTCCTTGTTAAAAATTTCAAATAATTTAAGTGAATAATACAGGGATGACATTCCAAAAAGCACATACCTCAGATTAATTTGAAACTTCGTATATCCATATACTTTGATCCACTGAGTACAAATATGGAACTGAAAATTGGCGCCAATTTTATTTTCAAGGTGAAAATAATTGTTAATAATTTTTGCAAATTTTCATATTATTTCGATTAGTACAGGTTTAAGAGAAAGAAGTTTCAGATAAAAATTGTAGCTTTTGACAAAATACATCTTTTATGTTAAATACACTTGTTTTCTAAAACCATTACTTTTTGAGAAAAATGAGATACATCTCTGAAATACAAACTAATTCATGTAACTAACCTAATCTAACCTAAAAAGTAACTGTTTTGGAGAAAAAAAGTACTTTTTTCAAGGGCCACAACTTTTATTTAAAGCTTTTTTTCTCTTGAACCTATAATAATCAAAATAATGTAAAACTTCGCAAAAATGATTAACAATCATTTTTACTTTGAATATAACATTTGCGCCGATTTTCATTGTCATATTTATCATCAATGCGACGAAATACATAGGTATACAAAGTTTCAAATTAATCAGAGGTATACGTTGTTTGAAGTTTCATCCCTTTATCCTAATATGACGCCCAATATAATACATAAAATATATACAAATTCTTATTCTTATACTTAACCCTTTAACTACGGCGGAGTCGGACATGGAGATGTACTACCTATATGGAGAGCTTGGTCCCAGAGTGCTCATATTTTGTATGAATGCAATATTCATTTATCACCTTGAGAACATGGGAATAAATTGGGCTGCTATAGTGGTGCTTCGTAAAAAATCATCGGTCAGGTGGAAGTCACTATAGCAGCGTTTTGTAATTAAAAGATCAAATAAAATAACAAAACATTACGGTAATTACTGTAATAGGAACAAGTATACAAGATGTTTAAATAACCTGTCCTACAAAATAATACTATTCAAAGATAAACTTAATCATCGTAACAGTGCCGTAACCTTTTGATAATTACAGGTGTCAATGAAGTTCACAAAGGCAAAATTTAAATTTCGAACAATAATTCAATGCATTGACTTCTACTCCCGATTCATGAGACTAATCTTCGCATTATCACATGACACTAAACCCAAATCCATAAAAATAAGAATTTTATACATTCCACCAAAGATATAAAAATACACCAACTGTTCTGGTGTTAGTCACATCAAAATGAATCATCATACCAAGAACTAAAATTATAATATTGCTAGATAAGTAATTTATAGTGTATCGTACGAAAAAGAAAAGAATGTTTGTTAGACTCCTGACACGTTTTAATATATAACCGAATCAAATAAACAATACAAATTTAAATACCAAATCATCTATGCATTGCAGCATAGTAAATTAACTTACCTTCATGAAAGATTTGCTCTCTCAAGCTCCTTAAAGTAAAAAATGTACCAACGACCACTTCTCAAATCCGTTTAAAAGATCCGTAATAACAAGGTCAAAATGTTCGAAAGCATTTGCTGTCAAATTTTCTGCACTCCTCCCTTTCATAACATCATTATCACTAATTTGCAAAACTGAAAGTTCTAAGGAACTACTCATCGGTCTACGCCCGAACTTTACGTGGTCAGAGAGTAACATAGAGTGCCCACGTCTGGCATTTCGCGGCTACCGGTGCGCCGTTGTTGCTTAGCGGCTGTGTACTGAAATCAGAGATGAGTTGGGAGATTGCTCACGAGCAGGACCGCGCGATCGGTTCTGTGCTGCCATCTGGTGGTTGGTGCGGGCGGCTAACGTACTTGCCACCTGTTACCCCTCAATAGTGGCGCAACTTATATCTGCCAGAAATGAGTTACCCCGATATATCGCGACCCCTGGCCGCGATCCAGCTCCCGGAATTTTATTGGAGCCATGAAATCTCTTGAACAAGAAACTTCTGGATTGCTACGAGTAATTAATTTTAGTCTGGAAAGTAAATTATTCGCACAGAGTCCTCCCAGATGCCCGCGATTACAAAAATGTTCTATCAGGAATGAAATTAATTAGACCACGCTTGGGAATCCGGATAAATGTACAATACACCGGGACTGCGCGCATCCTCGGATTGTAGGTCGCCGTTTTCCTAGCTTTTGGGTCTGCTCGCGGAGTGATCTTTTCTAATACGAAAAATCGGGGGATTGCCAAGAGTTTGAGGCGTAAGGGGCTCTGTCCGAAGGGATTGCAAGAGTCGAAGAAGCTATACGTAGAAGCGGTCCCGTAAGAAGAAGGCAACTACAATGGCCTTCCATTCCCGGTAAAAAGGCTTGAATAGAACAGGATTCAATGTCTCACAGGTTCAACGTAAAAGTGATGATTTTTCTATTCTATGTAATACCTAACTTTTCTCTCCAAGTCCAATTTCTGCAACAGGAATATATTTTCTGTGAATCAGTTATATTCTATTCCCCTTGTGTACTCTGATTTTTGTTCAATTCCGAAAAGAGGAATGTATTTCTACTTTGTTTAATTCCTCCTAGTCCGGCAAAAAATATCGGTATTAAAATGTTTTGTATTCCGTTCAGAGGAATACATTATAGGAACGCTCGATTCCTTCCAGTTCATTAAAAAAATGTACATTCAATTGCCTGAATCCTTTTTTGGAATATAAGTTTGTAACTTCTAATTTAAATCAATTCCACTTTATACGCCCGAGAGATTAAGTAGTTGAATTCCAGTATTTGAGATTTGTTTCATGTGTCTTGTGTTCTCTTGAATTCCAAATATAAATTTGATTTAGCCTCATGCATTTTAAAAAGTAATAATTGAATAAACATAAAATTTCACATTTTTTATATGTGAAAGTGAGGAGAAGGTATCATTGGAAAGAATTGTAAAATAATAATATAACTCTTAACTAGAAGTGAAACGAACCGAACTGAAAGATATCTTCTAGATATCTTCCGGATAATTTTGTCGGGAACTTATCCGTAGGTGAAAAAATCGAGCATTAGAATCGAAAATGAAGAGTTTCAGGACCGAACTCGGACAATTTAGAATACTATAAAATTGGAATATTATAAAGTCAGATGGGAAAATATGGAAAATACTTTCACAAACGTTTGCAAGAGAATGCTAGCTTATTCCGTGGGTAACACATTTTGTAAAGCAAAAATTTAGTTTTAGCTGAACGTCACAGATGGCACTGTTGGTCCATTAGAATATCAAAAACCATGAATCCGTGGGATTTCGACAATTGTATATCGATCTCTTTATCATTACCTTACCGAAATGTCTTACCGTATGTGGAATACTCCATTTCGTATAATTCTCAATGTAGAGTGTAACAGACCAACATAAATATAAATGTCAGTAATGTGATGCGCCAATTTATCTTACCACTTGAGTATTAAAAATGGCATTACCACCAAAAGGGTATGAATGAATTTTATTTTATCGACGTCGATTAAAGTTCTCAATGCCTTTTATATCACCTTAACTGTGTATTTTAGGAATGCAAATATGACGTTCCATCCCACCAAGCACTTTATGTTACCATATCTGCCAATATTAATATCAACAAAACATATTTCATGATACCGTACGTTAAGTGTACATATGTCACATTATTAGCTTTATAACAGTATTATATAGCTGCGTAGGAAATAGCAATATGTATTGTACGTACATGTAACACATATGTTATATTACATATTACAAAGATAGGACCTGTTTTTGGTGGGTTCTGTATAAAATAGGCCAAGGTTCATTTTTATTATGAAATACGATACGATATTGCGAAATGACTGCGATAATAATAATTATCATACGACTTCTTCACTTCAATCGTGATTTCGTTAGGTGATACGGTGTGTAACATAAATATACGATCATTTAATGTAAATTCGACTTATAAATACACCTTTAATTTCTATTAGAATTTCATTTCATTGAAACTCGATCCACCTCGCATTTTAACTACAGATCTACCCACGTCAAGACAGGAATAAAAACATCTACATAATTTTAGAAATTAAACTTATATAAAAGAAAAATTTTCGAGTGCTTTTTTAATGATTTTATAAAGTGAGGTACTTTCAAAGATAACGACCAATAACATCCACGATGTCCAGAACTTACTTACGAGCCAGAGGATTAAACAGATCTAGAGCATCACTAAGGTCCAAGGGATCAATGAGAACGAGACAGTTTAGAAAGTATGTTCATTATTTTCAAATTAAAGTTGGGGATCTATCGGGCCAATGTAACGTATTGTGCACTATATCCCGCAACGTGGCACAGTTATAAATGTATTATTTCCTATATATTTCAATCTTATGGTCGGCTGGTGAAAGATTTTCTTGATATGATCTTCTATAAGGTATGTAACTGAATTCTGCTTTCGACATACAAAAGTATATATGCAAGTGCTCTTTATCGACATCATATTCTGTTACGAGTCGATGAAATTCCCTACAATTTTCTCGTTTTCCGTTGGTATCTTGTACTCAGTATTTGTGCCCCTGTTCTCTTTCTATACGAATTGCTACTGCAATTTCTTTTTCCGATTCACTACAACTCAGACGTTCTTATCAATGAGCATCTTGGCACAAATTAAACTTTCTAAGGAAGAACATATGTCTAATAGACTTGGTGTGCATGCAGTAACTACATAAAAAATTAATAAATTACTAACGGGCCGATTAATTGTCCTATTCATTCATACATTCATTCATTGAGAAATCAATAGGTCAATCGGTAATTTATTGATTTATTACATACTCAAATAATGATTTTTAAATTACTTATTTGATGAATTTATATCTGTTTTTATTCTTAATTATTCATTTATTCATTAATTCATAAAATACTTTAATATTAAACTTAAATGTTTCCTGAAGAAACGTAAGGTATGAGCGACCCAGTGAACACTGTTATATAACTGTTGGGTAAATGTTACTTTTTCGAAAGTAACACATTATGTAGCATAAAAGTAACATGGAAGTTATATGTTGGATATTATGTCCCACTCACTAAGGTAACATGTTATGTAACATGTTATATCAATGTTACATTAATGTTATAATTTCAGTTACCTTAAAATAATATTAATTTTTCATCCATTTAATAAAAAAGATCACGCAATTTTATCCAAAATTATATAATCTTTTATTTTTAATTATTTCTTGGTACTTGACGATAGTTAGATATTAAATGTCAAATCAGACTTTCAATGAAATTATGTAATGATAAACTATCTGATTTTACTTAAAGACAATTAGGATTTGATTCGACTAGCAAACAATGACTCATAATGTATATGCGCGTACGAATTAAAGTCACATTTTTTCATACGAGTAGTAAATAAAACATGACATATTAATCTTATGACATTTGACGATGAATTATGACAATGACGATGACGATGATGTAATAAAATAAATGACAGTTAGCACCAATGTAGTTCTGTTTTGTTAGAAATATGTGCTGCATATACACAGTAATATCAGGACAGTAACATAATATAAGATGAGAGTAACAAAGTTATGCTACATTTATATAGATATGATAGTAACAAATATTATTTAACCTGTTAGCTCCATGTTACATAATTGTTAAGTTACTGCATTGTAACAAATGTCATGTAACTAGTTAGCTCTATGTTAAGTAACTGTTAGGTTGTTACATTGAAAGGAACTTCTAGTTCAAAATTCCACTTACTTTTACCCCTTCAATGATTAATTATCTATTATAGGACACCCTGTATATGACACTGTTATGACACCTTAAATAGCTCAAATCGTTTTTGTCCCATAAATAATACAACTCTACCATTTTTGACAAACAGAATAAAAATATAATGAGATTACAAATTAAAACTACATATTTTTTTCAAATATCAATACATATTTCTTTTGTCACGTAGAATACGTACACGGCTATTAAAAAATTTACGAAACTCTGTAAAGTTCCATGTCAAATTACATACATGCTACATGAATCTAACATGACATGTACTGGAACTAATGCCGAAAATTAGGGGAGAGATTTTTCTTTCCCGCGTTTGAGGCTAAAAGGCTTATCGACGGATGTTGTAACACAGTTTGCTGCATTAAGGTGATATGAAAGAGTCAGCCTGTATATATCTAGGAGGTACAATCGTTGGTGACAGTATTCTCAGAATTGGGTGTACCGATTCGTTTCAAATTTTTCCACGTGAATATGGACGCCCTAAAGTAGGTCCTAAAACTCACGAAATTTCAGTTTTCATTAAAAATTTATTTATTTATCACGGACTAGAACCAACATGGCACGGTCTGTCCACGTTTTCGATGTTTTACGTTTCTTGGAGGCTTAGCATCGAAAATGAAGAGTTTCAGGACCTAGCTCGAACAATTTAGAATAACGTAGAAATGGACGATTATAGAGTCAGAAGGGAAAATATTGAAAATACTTTTACCAACGATAAAAAGAGAGGCTTGTCTCGTGGCTAACACATGTTTTTAGAGCAAAACTTTAGTTGCAGCTAAACACCACAGATGGCGACGTTGTCCAAAAGATATGGGATATTGCGTCACCCAAATGGTGAATTTATGCATATGTTCGTGAACCGGTAGGGGTAGCGAACACTTGGGTTAACAACGAAATAAGGCTTTTTATTTTACAACCAAGTACACGCGTACCGGAGATGAGCAGGGAGATGTTCCAAGCCTTTGTTAGAAAGTGAGGCACGGCTCACTGGCGCCCTCTTCGCTCATGTAAGAGTTGGAACTGCTTTCAAAGGGGCGAAATATTCGTGACCGGTAAAACAGTACGGTTGACATAAAATGCCATCCCGCGGCGAAAATATGAACTCCTTTCAAAAGGGCGAGAACTTTTACCGTTGATAAAAGAGTATGGTCCGAATTAAGTGCCACCTAGCGATCAGAAATCAAACTGGTTTCAAAGGGGCGAAAACTTACATTATCGGTAAGGATATCCGAATGTAAGAAATTCAAACATGTGATTATCCTACATTGAATGATTATAGAAGCAGATATTTCAAAATAGACTCTCTTTATTGAGAAATCGATAAAATTAGCAGGCATGATCTGTCAATCTCTTCTTTATCACCTCGACATCCTAAAATTCCTCGAAGTCCTTAATTGCACGGGATGTTTCACGAGCTCCGACACTAAATGAGAAAAAAATTAAAATCAATTATTTTTTGTAAATTAATATCGAGACTCATTCGGAAGGTTGATGCGTCACTTACATTTGAGAGCAGGAAACTCGACCCGACGAGGTCCTGATTGATCTCCCCCTGTGTGTTGTGATACTAAACAGAAAGCACATAAATTATTTTAGTTTTATTAACATGCTCTGACATGGACTTAACCGGTGATAATTTATAAATATTTGTTGCTTTTTTTTTCTTACCACTGTATTCCATTTATTCCTCAGGTTGTGACGCCAATGCCCTCTTACAGGTTGGAAATATTTTGCAACTTTCTGCACTTCTTCCGCATTTGTATACTTCTTGCTTTTGCTGCAGCATTATTGAGCCGGGTTCGTGCATATATTTTCACCTTGAGCAGGAATCGTAGAGCAGCTATGCGGTGTTCCTACCTCCAATAGTAACCAGTTATAAACTGAACAGGGCATAGAGCTCTGCCAGAAAATAAGTTCGCATCAATAGAGTCTGCGCGATAAAGACTCTGAAGCCATAAGCAATAACTAACTTACAAGTCCTTAATTACAATTAACTAGCACCTTATGCGCTCCTCGCGGGGGACGCGAGAGTTTTCGGTGAAGCTACTTTTTTCGATGATCGCGACGCCCTTGGTAGCGGTGGCAAAGCAGCCCCAAACAGTCATTAGAACAATTAATTCACGGTATTTCGACAGTTTTACATCGATCTCTTCATCATTACTTTACTAAAATGACATATGGAACACTTCAGTTCGTGCAATTCTCAACGTAAACTGTAAGACTTCAACGTAAATATAAATGTCGGTAACGTGACCCGCCAGCTTATGTTACCACTTGAATATTCAAATTGACGTTACCACTAAAAAAGGTAATACTGAATTTTAATTTATCAACGTCGATTAAATTTCTCAGCGCCTTTCATATCATCTTAAACGATCTCTTGATTATGAAGTTTCTTCATTTCCACAAATGTTATTAATGACAGTGAGTATTGCAATTTTTTACAGGAAAAGAATGGAAGAAATGGCGCAGCTTTATGGCCTGAAACCTTATGGTTTTTGCTGCTCGACGACTGACTTTGATTCCGCCATGAAATATAACGAGCAAAAACCTCCGTTTAAGTCCTCTCTTACGGCAATTCAGTCTATACATGATAGTCCGACATTAAAATTGAGAACTTCATACGTAATCCCAAAGTCATCACAATCGAAGAAAAAAGCAGTCAAATCCAGAAGAGGATCTACCGACGGTGAACGCGATCACCGAATTTCGAAATTTCACTATCCAACTTTGGCATTGCGCAGACAATTGTTATGGTACATAGAGGACGAAGTAGATTTAGCTCAAAATATGATTTGGCATCAAAGACAGAAGACGTACAATGAAGAAGCAGATAAAGCTGCTCTTCTTGGAGAGAAGAAAGGTAAACCTGAACATTGCACGATTAAATAAAATAAAATATATCAACTGAAATGAAAAATATGTTTTTCGGCGGCTTTATAATGCCAGACAAACGTATCCTAAAATTTCGATGACTGGAATCTCGAGGGAAATAAAAAATACTTCGAGTATCGCAGATTCGTTGTTTCGCGGTTTTTTAGTTACAAAGGTTAACATTCAAATATTCTACTTATACGGATTAGAATGAGAGAGGGTGAGCGGGGACAAGAGAAGGTGAGAAAGGACAACAAAATGGCGGGAGGGCGAGCGGGGAAGAGGGAAGACGGGAGAGGGTAAGAAAGGGCGAGAAAGAACGAAATAGGACGATAAATGGTGAGAAAGGGTATGAGAGCGAGAGGGGACAAGAGAAAATAAAAACTATAAAAATAAAAACTAAATGTAACCAAATAAAGAGAAGGTTAGAAACTCAATTTGAAAGCAACATTATATTTGGCGAGCAGTGAAAGTATGCTCATGAGACCTATCGTCAGTAATTTCGGCCTAGTCCCTATAACCAATTCTAGCCCGAGCTCGATTGGGAACAAAAACTCAATAGTAACCTTGACCGTTTGGTCAAGGTTGTTTCGTTTCTTAATTTTTGCCTGGGATATAAGTGATATATATTTTGTATAAATGTTCGTAGTTTTAAGATGAACAATTCATGTATCTGTTTAACCGAAATAAAATATCTTATACATTTTTTATCATGTCTAGTAAAAGAGAGGATGAACAAGCTGAAGGATATCGGTAAACCCCGATGGTATCAGGATTTTTCCATTACTCAGGTGTGATCATCATTTAGAGAAGAATAAATATCATAAGAATATGAATAGTGATATGGGTACATTAATGTTCAGATGCAAAACTTGATGGAATTAGAAAACGCAATTCGTGCCGACAACGAAGAGAAAATAACTACTCGGACGCAAAAAGTTCTTGCGGCAATTGGAGTTACGTCTAGTTCTTTTAAATTATCGCCCTGTGTTATAAGAACGTTGCAAAAAACATCAAACCTGCAGTCAATTGGTTTCTTCCGAGAGGTTTACAAAAAGCACACAGGAACTTATTTCGAGGAAGAAGAATATAGTTGGTTTATAAAAGAGAATAAACAACGAAGGCACGTCTAATCTATTTATGCACTCACTACATCATTATTCATTTCAGAAAAAGAGTATGACTGCAACGAGAGAATAATCTTGTCTGCAATTGCTTTCTTAACACTGCCGGAAGCTGTTACGGAGTTGGACAAACGATTGCCACCTGTTGAATTACCACAAATTCCACCGAAACGTAAATATTGTTTCCATATGTTATGTAGTGTCACGTGGCAGAATCCTGTCGTTAAAGTTAGGGGCGGGATTGTGGCGGTAAACGTAAATTGGGTATTTAATTTAGAAAATATTATATTGGCCAGTGGCATTCGGAGGCACTAGCAAAAATTGCGTAGTTATAAGGTTTTCTGTAGTGTATATCTAGTCTTGTTTAAATTTCGAAATTAGACATGACATTTATTATGATTACACCCGTACCAGGATTATCGCGGTTAAAATTTATTGATGGTTAAGATGGTATGAAAGGGTCAGCGTATATAGGATGTAACAGAACTCCCAGTAACAGTTTATATTGTACGGTTTTTGTTGAAAAATGAATCGAAAAGTCATGTATGATTTTTTCCTACAGTGCATAAATTTTCTGTAATAACTAATAGAAACAAGATCCCTCAATAACTTTCCGGAACGGAACGCATAGCGGGCAGGACGCCGATAAGATTGCTACGCCGCAGCAACCGAACGCAGCCAAGGTTCGTACAATATATGGACTACTCATTGGGCGCCGCTCATAAAACGGAGAGAGAACAAGAATTGGCACGGTCGGGTGTACGCTTATCTGTGCAGGTCGAATGCGCAGTAATTTCTTGACAGTTGGTTGACAGCAATATACATATACACATATGCAAATTACTTTACTGCGCATTCCTGTTGTGCAGACAAGCGTAGACCTGATTGTGCTAGTTCTCGTTCATTCACCGTTCTGTTAGACCCACTCAGAGCCATATTCAAGCATAGGGAGTGAGCGGTCCATGTATTATAACCATGAACGCAGCCCTACCGGCGTTCCCTCCGTTATACGTTCTGTTAGCGAACGCGATTGATAGGCTGTACTGCAATAGGTATTACAGGAAATTTATGCACTGTAGGAAATGTAGGTATTGTGACGTGACCGTCCCAAGTCGGTGCGGAGCGGGAGCGGTGAGTACCGAAATCATTAGTAAATTATTTCCAATATCGGATGGCGACGCTCGGGGTATCCAGAAACAGTCACTAATTGTAAGTAACGTGTTTATTATGTAACCTGTAAAATGTATAAGTAATGTTAAGTAGGCCGCGTCGAGGAGGATTTTCAAGGGTGACGTTGGTCTATCGCGAAATTGACGGTCTTCGGGAGTCGGGACTGTACGGAGAGCGGCACGAGACGGGCCCTGACATCTTACGTAGGCCTAGTTAATCATCTAGCGCCAAACGGTTTCGCGTATGCGGGAAGAATCTAGTAAGGGGTTTCCGAATTTCCGTCGGTCCTGCCGGCTCTCGGACCCTCATTGTCCTGGATACTCCGAGCGCCGACGGCACGCGTGTACCCACGAGCCGCTACCGTCTACCGTACCGTCACCGCCAAAAGACAAAAAAGGAACCGCTACCGTCTCCCATGCCGCTGGTTACCGTCAAGGGTGATCAAACACACAAGGGATTTCAGTAGAGTCCGTTTCCGTTTTGTCCGCATTGTAGTTTTCGTGTGATCCTCCTCGGCGCGTACCTCCCGGCCATTCGATAATGGCGTCCGACCGCGTGCGCCGGATGCGCCGATCAGCAATGTCCCGCGGTGCGAATCGGCGAACTCCCGTGTGTCTCGCGTGTGTTAGAGTGTCCCGTGAAGTGATCCCGCGGCGTTGGAAATAGGCGATTTATGATATACGATATATTACGATTATTAATAGGCCAAATATGGCGATTCCGCGATGTAGAGACAAGTAATTCCGCGGATGATCCCGAAATTCTCGCTGCTCCCGGAGTCGCGTTGATAGGCCGCGGACCGAGCGAGGTCAAGTAGGGCGTTGTGCTCTGGGAGGTAGGCCTAGCCGCCGTCCCGTGGAGCCCGGTAGCTCCCGTTATTTCGCATTAGGCCGGCGGGATCCCGAAGTCGTTGTCTGAGTGTATTAGAGCAATCCCGCCCTTGTGAGACATGGGGGAAATAAAATTGCTATCGCCTTGCGTATCCGGACTTCCGCTGTTTTATTTTTGGTTTAACCCTTTCTCTTTCGGCTTGGTATTCGGCCCCTTTTTTTTTTAGTTCCCGTGGATTTCGAAAACCGGCACATTCCGCATACTTTTGTATACATCTATTACACATCTGAATGTTTTAGCCAGATATCCTATGTACGTATACCATATCTAGTTGTCCGTGTGGGATAGAAGCGACAAGATGAGCACGTGTTGAAGCACAGCTTGCTATAATGTTGTACCGTTAATAAGTACTTACATATCAACAATTACGTACTTTATAAATGCGATGTCACGACTCAGACTTTCAAAACAGTAATGTCTTGTCCTCCAGATCTCCAGGTTTTTCAGGGCCTCCGGACTACGAGTAGGGGTTTGGGACCTCGCAATGGTGGGGTTTATATTTTGCAGTGTTTTCGGATTCCTGGAACTCGGTAGCGGTTCCCGGTCTTGCACCCGGTGCTGACGCGGGATTCTGCCCGCGGAGACTTGTCGTAATTGCGGTGCCCTCGACCTTCGCGAGACCGCGCATATCCTTGGAATGCCAGCTCTGCACCCAACTTCCGCCCCGCGCAAGGCTGGTCTTCCAAGGTCGTCGACTTTCACCCTATGTTTTATTTAACTATGCTAATTTATTAGGACGTAACAGATACATAGAATATTTATTTTCTATTGAAGTATGCTCTAACCATATTTATTTATTTACTTCTGTTTAATATTTGGTATGTGGAATTTAAAGGGACTTAATTTTCGAGGAAGATACATTTTTAGATATGAAAAATAGAATGGAGGCAGGTAACACTAAATTTGTCACATTTTTTATTTTTTCAGATGTAATGGCTGGTATCTTAAGAACTAGTACCAAATTCTTTAGTTATTACATTGATAACGAATACTTTTTTTGTTATATTTCAGCAACAACACAATTCAGTGTAACACATTCCTTGTAAAAAACATACAGACTTATAATAATTCTCTAGTTGAAAAACTAAAAGAGGACTCAAATCATAATTATACGTTCCTAATTTTTTTCAGCACAACCCGTAAAAATAATGTTTAAAAAAAGTAAGGTATCTCCATACAAAGACTCCCTATTTCTTCCTCCGGATTGGGCCGCGTACAGAACGAGTTTAGAACAATGGCGAAAACAATGTAAACTGACACCAATACCAAAAGTCATTTTACCCCTAATGGAACAGAATTCTTCAGAACAGCAAAAGCACACGGAAGCTAATACAAAAATTGATACAAATAGCGCCGTTAAAAGAGAAGATGTAAACCTGAAAGGAAATAAACAAATGGAAAAAATACATGGACAGTTAGAACTGAGTAAACGAAATTCAGATGGAAATAAAAAAAATACCACTGCTGATATAGTTACCGATAAGACTAATGACGCGTTTGATTTTATGATATCTGGTATTGGACAGGATGCCGGACATATAGATTACAAAATAAATGGCACATTAAGACCACGTTCTCGTACAAAGTCATGGCTTGGTGAAAAAGATCCATATTATGTCATTTCTGGTATACACGAGAATGAAGAACCCCCAAATTGTCCCATTAATTACGAATTAACAGGTGTTGTGAACGTCACTCCGGTTAACAGTAATACGACATTTTTTTCCGAACTAAAACTCGGAAATGGTCCTAAGAAGATTTACCCTTCAGGAAGGAAAAATTTGTCAAAGAACTGGCAAGAGTGGCTGCAAAGTGTGGACGAGGAATTCTTCAAAGTTGAGGCGGAGGCCAATAGAATAATTAAAAGTGTAGAAGCCACAATGAAATTGGTTATGCCAGGACCCATGTGCGATAGCTGTTGTGCTTGTAGGCAAACTAGGAAATCTAATATAAAATACCATACTACCAAGACGCCATTTATGGTAATTGAGTCCGTGGCAGGAGATGACAATGAAAACAAGTAAAGAAATTTTTGGATTATCATTTAAGATGAAGTGAAACCCCCCTCAAATCAATCGATTCGAATAAGACACTTTTTTTAAGGGTGCTGAATAGAACTGTCTGAAACTATGACACATCACTCGTGAACACTTAAGAATTATCTCGACACTTTCAAAATCTGAATTTTTGAAAAAAATTGTTTAACTTAGACCAGACCAGAACCAAATTGGCGTCGAGCTCTCATATTTCGATTGACATACATTTATTGAAGGCTCTAATATGAGAAACAAAAGTGTCAGGACAATTATACCACAGTTTAGAACACTCTGATAATCGAGAAACCCGAATTTGAACGGGATAAAGGCAGAGAAAATGTTTTATGTGCTTCTATGTCAAAACGACGGTAATATGAGGTTTCGGAGTGAAAATTTAGTTGACATGGAAATCACAGATGGTGCAAGGTGTCGCGGAAGTAGAGCAAACCCGTAGAAATTAGGTCAAGACACTTTGATCGCCCCCCTCAGCTAATTGTAGTAAACCTCTACCGACAGATAAATACAGTTACAAGTTGTCATATTCAATCACATTGCCATTCTTTGAGATCTTCCTCAGGTCTTCACTCTCGCAGAGCCCACCTAAGGAGTTGACCTAGCCGCTCAGGTCATCTCATATAAATAATAAATCTCTTACGCGAGAATCCAAAGTAAAGCTGCATAAATTTGATCCGAATTTCCCTGGCCTCGTGTCCACTCGGCCGTCATGTAACAAATTGTACAACAATTGAAGTAAAGCTCTATAAATCTTTTGCATTCATGATTTTTGATGTATCAATGGATCAGTGGCGCCATCTGTGTAGTTCAGCAGCAGCTAAAGTTTTGCTCTATGAGCACGTTCTCTTTACGGGATATCTAAGAAATTCACCGCATACATTTATCAAACTTTTCTTAATGTTTCCAATGTGAATCTGTAATATTCTATTATTATAGTGTTGTAAATTGTTGTGCCTAGGTCCTGAAAGAAACGTGTTCGATTTATAGCTTTTAAAAGGCGTAGTATATCAAAAATTTGTGTTGCCATCATCTTGGTTCTAGTGCGGGATAAATGATGTATTTTTTTTCTGAAAAATGAAATTTCATGAGTTTCGGGACGTTCCTTACGGTCTCCATAATCACGTGCTGAAGTTTCAAATGATTCGGTGCATTTAGTCCGTAAAAAAGTGTTATGGATATTCTGACGCCTCAGAGGCCAGTTTCATATCACTTTACCGACCATAAGCCTATTAATCGGTTTTGCGATACCCGTAATCGCCATTTACTTCCAAATTCGCCGGTCGGTAAAGTGTTAATAAAACCTTTATAAAGACTAGTAGTTACTTGATGTGTTAAAAAGGTGTTCATTGGGAAGGCCATTTATTACATTCAACGGCAACAAATTTTTGGTTCTGAGAACGCTTATAGTTCATAGGTTTCGTATATGGTGTAACTCCAATTTGCAAATAAACTTTTACTCCCATCTTTGAGTTCAATTATATAACTTTCTGAGACCATGATATTTCAAATGAATTAGCATGATCCTGACACTGTTGTGTCTGATATGTTATTAGGCTACCCGATTTTCCTCAAAATAGAAAGGCACGCATTACATGAAGTATGAATCAGTTGCCGGAAGATAAATATCGAATCCAAAGCAACGATAATATCATCTGATTAAACCGGAAAAATAACGAGTGGAGCAATTATCAAGGAATGTTTTGGCTTATTCGCACGCCTTCCGCACCGAACTGCACTTTGGACCAAAACACGGGGCCTACTCATCCGTTAACATAGTGACTACCTCAGCACGTCCGATCAAGCTCCTAACAACAAAATCCAAAAACAAGGAAATTGGACCGTGCCCTCACGGGCATCTCAAGGGTAAGATCTCGTATAAAAACGGCACCAAAAAAGAGCACGTCGCTAGTCTGAGGGGCTAGTCTAAGGCGGTCTGTCAACCACTCTTCTACCAAGACCGACCTTTCAGTCAGTCAGTCCACACTTTGTGTGGCTGGGGTTCTCTGAAGAGCTGACCGTACTGTAGTAGCAGTTGTGCGGTTCGGTACGTCGACATACACGAGCCAATAGCGAGAAGAACGACGGCGCTGCGAATTCCGGACCAGCGGGAGAATCTTAGGAAGCTCCGACCCTAGGGCACGCCCCGGTTTGACGACATTCACGTGCTGTTCTTCACAGCCGGCAGGACGTAGGAGAGACGTCACCGGAAATAAAGGCCTCTGAGAAGCCAAGGTACAGGTCCTCTTCAAAGAGCTTCAATCTTTCACTCTTTCACACTGTAATGGTATGCAGTTTTGTCAGTGCCTGTGCACTAAGAAACTGCATCCGTCGAGGATTCGAGCCTCACGACTCCTGAGACCGAAATTAATTAAAAATTCTAATATATGAAATAGAAAGAGACTGGTGAGAGAGCGAGGAGAGCGTTTACGAACGATCAGCTGAGCGCGTCAATATTGTGGCTTTCGGAAGGCCTGTCCGCGAGAACCGGTTCGAGCGAGTTTTTCTAAGGATAATCGCTCCGGCGCCGTCCCGTCTAAGTGAAATTTGGCGATTTAAGTTTCCGGGAAAATGCTCGGATTTTCGGCACCTTTAATTTACAGTCGATGCAGTCCTAATTGGATTAAAGGTGTTTTCCCTGACTCATGCGTTGAAATACGAGAAGGAAAGGATAGGAAAGGAAATGATCCTCAGTGAGAACGACTTATTCCATTATCGGTGCGTACTGTTCGTTCATCATAGAATCCACATGGGATGTAAAGGTTATGTGGGACGGGTGGTTTGGGGTAGAATTCAAATAGGAATTAACAACCGTTTACGCGACCTCCGCGCACCCCTTCCCCACGTGTCGAATTCTTACCGACGCGTTTGAATTAAATTCTAACCATTGGTGGGATTGGAAGGCGATGTTGTTAATTAACACCGCGTATGAGAAACTAACACCTAATTCGGGTAGCTGATCAGCTCTACTTCAAAGAAGACACTCAAAAATGGGTTTCGCGGATTAGAGTCGACCACGGATTTATGTTTCATCCGGAGTTAATTCCTCCGGGTTTTAGTATCACTTAAATTATGTTATCCAGCCGCGGATATTGGCTGGGTTAAGGCTTTGAGGATTAGGACTTCTGCTATCAATCGCAACATGCGATTTTGAGGATAAAATGTAGGATTGTAATAGACAGGGATTTTAGAAAATAGGATGTGGGTGTGGTCGCTATACCAGACCCACTGGAACACGGACCTGCAAATAAACAAATCAAGCGCATTCACTCTTATTGAGAGTCTCTTCCGTAATCGAATCGTGAGCGGCAATGCTCGGTCATCGAATTTGGGATGAAACTCTAACGAGCGACTTCTCGTCAGAGCACTGTCCGGCTCGGATCGAGAGCGGCAATACTCGGTCACCGAGGAACGAACAGCTTCTTAACGAGGTGATTCTCAAGTACTCCGAGTTCTTCAATTCAAAATCTGTTTCGACGCGATCGCGTGTATCCGATTTACTCCCACAATTTAGGGACTTATAAGTTCTCGATGCGCACGATCTCGGAGTCCCGATCCAAGAGAGAAAAGTCTTTGATTGATATGCAATCGATATCCCAGACTTAGTGACTTCTCTCGCGATGCTCTGCGCTTGCGAGCCGCGCTTCCCTCTCCCGAGGCCTCCCTACTCTTACGCCATACTAATTGCGCATGTCGAATAGCGCCGAATTAATGGTCCCAACGTACAGTGGCTCATGTTAGCCGCTTGACCCGTTACAACACTTTATCACTCGATTTCGAACCCTATTCCAAATTAATAATCCGCAACAGAATTCGGTATTCACCTTCCGGTAATGACTACCAAATTTTAACTCCTCACAATATAAATCGCAATTCATTAGCTGCCCTTGTTGAGTAAAGCAAAGCGCATCTTGAAAGCAGAGAATCTCGTGCCAGCATTCCAGAATTGATACGCGGACATATATCGTTACACATCCGCGAGTCGTTAGTGCGCGGCCTCCAACGTCCTTGTCTCATCTCGCGATGATCCGCTTAGTACAGTATATCTTTTGCACACCTCACCCTCCATGGACATTGTACCCCTTGCATCACAAATAGAACTGTTTGATTCAATATAAAACGGCAACTTCATTCTCACGAAACCTTAAAACCCTCCTGAGTCCTCATTGCAACTTTCCAACCACCCTTTGAGGACCAAAAACCTATCGATCCCACTAAAGAGGTTGACCTAGTCGCTCGGGTTATCCTCTCCATATTTCTTAAATCATATACTGGTTACGCGTGCGTACGAGTTAAATCCTCTACAAACCATATACCGTTCCGAGGAATCTGCAAAATTCCCCTGACCTCGCTAGCCACTCGGCCGCCACGTAATCGACAAATAAAAAAAAAATGTTAAATACATTTCTCGTAGTGTCAGAAACAGTCTCAGTACCCCCATAATCACATTTTTATATTTCAGACGAATTTGTCCATCTACCTTTAAAGAAAGTGTTTCCGTGCAACTGATTGTTTAAAGCCATTTTTCATGTCACCTTAATGGAAATGATTACAATCGAACATTCGTCATTTATTAATGTTTATTAATGCAGGTACATCGTAGGATCCATAGCGATGCACTCACCTGCACCGAGTCCTCCAGAATCGACTGTTAATTTGCTGGAAGTTGTGGCCTCCGAAGATAAAATAACGAAAAATCTTCTAATAAATGGGATCACAGATGAGAACGGCAAAACGACATATTATATAGCAGGTGTTTCACAAGAAGTAGAGCACATTCCTAAAAAAATCATTGCAGAGCCGCATACTTCAAAAATCTCTCGTAATGTTCCTTCATGTTCATGTGCCATTGAACGTATTTTCAATAAGGGTTTAAAACCTGAAGCAAGTAACGATGATATTCCATGGACAAAGAAAGAAGATGTATGCCCTGGGAAGAAATTTCGACCCGTTGAAAATTCTGCGTATTCCTGTAAAGAGGCACCAAACGATAAATCGTGTCGAAGAAGCCCTTTCAAAAGGGAACTGAAAAAAATGATAGAGGGAGAAAATACGGTAAAATCTATTTATCCATCAGAAGAAAGAAAGATGTACAGTCTTGCTAAGTTTCAACCGTGTGGAGATGATGATGGAATGGCAATTTGCAGAGGTCCTTGGGGAGCTACTAATATCCCTGATCCTGATGAAATAGCTAGAAGAGAAGCAAAAGCTAAAGAGATTCTAAAAGTATTATTTTGAGTTTCACTAGTGCCTAATATCTAGCTTAATCACTTGCTTATTGGCGTTTTATCATTTTGAATTATTTTTATGAATGAGAATAATTTTAATGAAATGATTTGTTATTATGTATAAATTATCAATTTCAAATATGAGCCGTTTATTTTGAACGGAACGCGGCAGGAGCATGAGTCCTTCGCTGGTTGTTCCCGAGCCGCTATTAGAGGTGTACGACGTCCGAAATGTTAACAGCCTTGACCCCCGGGACTTTGATATTAAAACGGAGCGGGACGGTAGTACGTGGAACTCCAAACTCACCCTGGAGTTCCCTGGAACAGACGGGAACGGTACCTCGATATCTCCATGGAGCACTGGACCGACACCTCGACTTCGGTCCTCTTCTTCTTCCAACCACTCACGACACGAACCCGAATCAAACTCTCGTTTCCAACTCTTCCAAAATCCTACGCTATCCGACATTTCGAGAATAATTCTCCCCCCCCGGATTATCCGGCGAGTGATGGAAGGGCGATGCGGAGGCCGCGGGGGTTGTCACTGGGTCCCCGGAGAATGGTAGGGGAATAAAGGCCGACGGGCTTCCCCTTGGGACCGACGTTGGTGGCGGAGTACGACCCATTCCAAAATTCCACGTCTTCCTCGGCGGTGGCTGTGGCCTGTCCACCGCGCGAGGTCTACCACCCGTATATCTCGGCACCTCCGGACCTCACTAGGACGATCCTTTCTGAATCGGGGTGCTGGGATTACCAGACCGGTCGCCCTTGCCGGCGAACCTCCTCGGGCGGAGCGCACCACCCGGTTGAGAAACTGTAATTAGGTCCAGGTACCGCTTTCCGGGTGGGTGTCCTCCCGGTGACCCCGCAGGACTCCCCCCGTGGGACGAGGGGTCCCACTCCCCGGATGTCTTGGGGAGCTAGGGTCCCGATCTCAACCTCCTCACATCCCCCGTCTCGCACGATCCCGTGGGTCCGAGGGGTCCTGGAGCGCAACTGCACTAATTCGAACCTCCTCGTGTCACCCTTAAAGCTTCCCGGGGATTCCTAATCGTCTCTTGTGATGGTGGTCCTGGGACGAGCGGAAATCCGTCACAGTGTGCATTGCGTGAATTTTTTTCACTGCATTAATTAAACGTACCGATTATTCAACTGAAGCAACTGTCCAAAAAGTAAGGTGCACTTTTTAAATTCTAATTAATTAAAATTACCTTCATCCCTGCCCTCGGACATTTGAAAATCCGCACTTTCGGACATTATCAACAATGGATTGGACTTTAGGACACTCTCAAAGTAATGTTTTTAATTATTGAAATAACTGCGAAAATTTATGTGTCCAAAATTATCGTATACTCTGAATATACTTAACCGCAAAATGTTGTTTGTGACAGCTAACATCAAATTGTACACGTTACTACAGTCAACAAAAAATAACTGACAAATGGACTTAGGCCACTTTCAAAATAAACGGCTCATATAATCTACATATCATATGTGTATTTCTATGTATACTGGCGGGCAAGAATGCTTTCCCATCATACACCGGCCTCGCCATATCCACAAGGAAGGCATTCATATCTGTCCAATATATGTACAACATTTACTAATCGACATTATTCAAAAAATATAAATGTGCAAGAGTCTAATGGATTTCCAGACGAAACACACGATTCACAATTTTGATATAATTGAAAAAAAACTAATATTTTTATTGAGTACTTTTTCTAAGTGTACCAGTTATTTGTTTATGCATGTATGTTTCTATGAAAATGTAACGGCACACTGATTAAATTAAGACGAAAAATATTAAACAATAAGGAAAGTTAATAAAGCAAACATTGTGCAGGGTCCCCCTTGCGGAGAGAAGCCAGGTCGAGCAGTTTGTGGAGGACAATGGGGAATGAGAATACCAATTCCTAAAAAGAAGAAATCAGGTGACGAAGACGAGGACGAAGAGGAGGCGGTAGAAGAAGAGGAAGTAGGGAATGAAAATGAGAGAAGAAGAAAAGAAGAGGAACTAAATGAAGAAATGAGAAGAAAAACAAAAAAAAATGCAAAAAGGGACAATAACTGCCACGCAAGTCCCAATAACATTCGAGAAAGTCAAGAATCACTTAAAAAGAAACAAGCTACAACAAATCAGGGACAAACATGTAGTTATGATGAACCTTGGAATATGGCTCGTACTGCTCCTACAATTGAGCGAACATGTGTAGATAATGCCTATTCGGAAACATTGAAATTATCCAAAGCATTTCCTCAACCTTCGAAACCGTTAAAAAAGATAAAAGAAATGCGAGCTGTAAAGGAAACCGCTAAGCAAATGAAACTAGCTGAAAAATTAGCAAAGCAGGATATTGTAGGAGAAAAAGAAAATGCTACAACGCAGCAGAAAATAAGAAAGGAAACGAGACGATTTATTAACAAAAGAATGAACAATGCAAATGAAAAATCAATGGTTAAAAATCAATCGTCACAACCAAGACAAAATGTTATTAATAAAAAAAAAGGGAACAGCATGAGTAGATCTGCTAACAGAGAAGAAGAAAAACTGAAAGTAGAAAACATAGTTGAAAGAAGAGGAAAAAGAGGAACAGAAATCAACAGTGAACACCACAGAGAAAGGAGAACATCTAATTTTAAAAAACTTCAAGGCAAAAAGGATCTTAAATCTCCAATCAACTATAAAAATGAAATAACCGAAAAATCTAAAAAACAATACAGAATTAGAGATAAATCTGCTAAGGAGAGTTCTAACAAAGAAGAAAAAATAAGAGAGATCAAAGAGCGGTTTAAGAATATGTCCACCTTGAATCGAAATCACAATATTGACCCGGTTCATATACCGGAGAAACCGAAGTTCTGTAAAGTTGAATCTACTTCCGTTCACGAATTATTTCCAACTAATGAGGAAAAGGTTTTACCTTTGGAAAAATATAGCAAAAGCAGACTGAATGATAAATTAAAGCAAGGACCTTTCGGTTGGAAAACAAAATCCCAACAAGGGTTACCGACAGAAAAAACATTAATATTTTTAACTGAGCCTACATATCCCATGGAAATGGTTCCGGTACACCCAGGAGGAAAGCCTTGTAAATGTCGAGAAAGTAGAAATAATCGGAGGATTCTACTTTACAATATTGGTGGTACAATAAATCAAGGAAAATCAAAAGGGCAGGAAATCGCTCACGTTGTAGAAGGCGTTACATATATTACACCTCCACCCAGTCCTCGGATCAGCGATGAGTATGTCCCAGAATATGATCTTCTCGATGTTCCGGACGACACATGTGTTAGAGAGGTGCAGCAAGAAAAACAGTTTAAATATACCGAACAATACTTGGGTCCCAAAAGTCTACATCCAAGAAAAGCAAAAAACCGACCGATGTGCAAATGTGGCTTTGGTAGTTCGAACGATAAAAATAAAATAAATCAATTAAAACTGGCCTCCGATTTGGCAGATTTGGTCAACGATGGGGAGGGAATTGATACTTTCGCCAAATGTAGAGGCACGGGTCCATGTTGGCAAACCACATCAAATTTTGAACAAAATAAACCTGTAATGCGGAAACTTCAAGTAAAGCGACCTGTTTGTGAATGTAAATACGAAAGAAAGATATTGAGAAGAGAGGAAGAAAGAACCAAATGGACGGAACGTCAGAAAAGGTTAAAATCTTACAAGAAAACTCCATTTGTTCACATAGGTGGGACGTTGAGGCCAATGGAAAAAAATACCAAGTTTATTATATCAGGAGTGAAAAGAATTCCGAAAGAAAACCCAGAAAATGGGTCTAATGTGAAGTATATCATATCAGGAGTAGCGGATCATTATAAAATGGCACCACTTAGACATTTGATTTCGGGTGTGACAATGCATACCCCAACAGTAACACCTGAACCGAGTAAACCAAATATACCATGTGTATGTAATCATAAACACTGGTCACTCTCGAATATTCCATCGGGACCGACATCAACTAAGCGTTCCAAAGAAACTGAAAAGGAAAGTGATAAAATGTTAATCCCACAATGTAGAGAAAAAACGCTGCAAATTAGCTGCGGGAGGCTAGCTCCTTGTGAAAGAGACCAAAACTCTAAATTGGACTTACAGAAGTTATTTAATCAGTCAGACAAATACGACAAACAAAATAGTAAATTGGAAAACATACAAAAATGTATAAAAGAAACTGGAAGCAGCATTGAATGCAGTGCCGGAGTAAAAACTCAAACTAAAATTGAAAAAGATAAACCAAGGTTGAATGAGAACGCTAGAGTAGAGAGTCCCACAGCAAAAACAGGAAAGGAAATGGTGAAAGATAAGATGAATATAAAAGACAATGATTTGACAAGGCGCTTACAAAACGATTTACGGAGGTTTCACAAAACTACACAAGAACGACAGGACGATGAAGTTATAAAAGAAAATATGCATGAAATTAACGAAGACAGCGATTTACTAACTATGGTGAAGGTATAATTTTCATTTAATATAAATATTAAGTTACTTCAAATACATTTCTTTATTTCTAAGACTTGGATTTGGTTGGTAGGTGACGCGATGTGTAGACGTGTAGAGTGTTCAGAGCGAAATTGCAATGCAATTGCTATCGAATATATTATGAGGGAACGAATAGTAGGTAGAGGAAATTGTAGAGTTTAAAACGAAAGATAAGGTACAAAGGGAGAAGTACGGGGCAGGTGGAGGATTGTAAACGTAAAAATCAGAAAGCTTTGAGATTGGGAAGCGGCGGATACTGTTAGGCCGGGGATCGTTTGCTCAGGAGCTGCGATGACGGTTGCCTGACGATATCGATCGGACCGGGCCTCGTGGGTTGTTTTTGGAACTTGCTTCCAGATGGTTGAAACCAGCCAAAAACTCGTCGAGTAATGCAATAAAGATACTTTATTTTCGGGTGCCTTGTGCTTTACGGGAATGACTCGTAGACTCGTCGACTGAAGGGGGCTGGTATTCGCCCAGAGTTACAGGTGCCTCGCACGCAGGTTACAGAGTGGAGGCAGTTCAAACTTTGCTGGTCAGAGAGCTCGAGCCCTTCGTAGCGGGCCTTTTTATACTAATCCGGGGTATTCCTAGATGCAGAGAAGGATGCTTATTGGTGGGTTTTTAAGATTGAGAAGGATAATGTCTCGTGTGATTGGTTTGGGGACAGGTTGAAGGGAAAACAGGTGGAAAGCCGTCTTTTCCACAGAATCCGAATGTTTACCTCTCCCAGGGCTGTTATCTGGTTTGGGGTGCGGAAGTACGCAGAAAAACAAGGGGAGATAAAGAACGAGGGAGAGCGTGTCTCTAGAAGCATTTTGGAACACGAGACACGCTGCTTAGAGTTTCTTTCTTAATATTACTTAAAATAAAATGTTAGGTAGGGACCTAACAACTCATGGTGTCACGTAGACGAGAAGTTCGAAAAGTAAGCCGGAATGTTACTGTTGTTAAGGTTGATTACAAAGCGAGTAAAGTTAAAACTTAGGAAATAGAATCGAAGTCAAGCAAAACAGGCACACGGACGAATGCGAAGAGTTTTGAGTAGGATGAAAAGAGGGAGGCGAATGAACTGAAAAGCTTCTTAAAAAATGACAACAGAAAATATGAAAGCATGAGCGGAGCAAAGGAAAGCGAGATAGAAACTACAAAACAGAAACTAGAATAGCTAATAATGCATACGAGGGCGCATATTAAAGAAATAAAGGTAAAGAGAGAGGAAGTGAAAGACAAGATGAGATCACTATGCCACCAACTGACACCGCTACCTTCGCCCTTTTGGCGGTCCCTCCTTCGATTACTAGTAAGGAAAACACGGTTATACCGCAGCTGATAAGAGGTGCGGAGACGGCGCAGCCACAACTGATCTTAAATCAGATGGTTGGAAAAGAATGAGCGAGAGAAGACAGTGGCCGACTAGTTCAGAAAAAGCCCATGTGGGATACAGAGAAGGGATGGGTCAAAGATTTTACTCTCAGCGGCTATAGTCAACCAAAATTTAGGTTTATTCGAAGACGTCCTCCCGACAGGAAAGGCACAGTCACAGATGACGTAGAAATATACAACGACGGACTTAACGGATAGAATTTAAACGATCTTAACGGACCCGACGGACTCAACTAATAAATTTGAATCAATTAAAATGTACTCAGCAAACGGAAGTGCACCAACGGAATTGTACTCGACTAACGGAATTTAAACCAACTCCTACGCACTCGATAAACGGAACTTGAAATAACGCAGACGTACTCAACGAACCAACCTAGAAAACGACGCAGACGTACTCAACGAACAAATTTGGAACTCGGCATGGATGTATACCATAAAGTGGAATTTGAAATCAACCACGAAACTTGCACGGCGATGTTACTTTTTCGTGATTCGCGTGATTTCGGACCATGACTTCCTCTTTCCGTGCCCCAAGTCACAATTTCTACAGGTTTTTACGCTTTGGGAAAACATGGATCTGCCTAGGGAGTCGCAAAAGGGTTACAACCCAGCCGGGGCCTTCTCTTCTGCCTCTTTCAGAATTACGCCGGGCGATTTAACCATCACAAATAGGACATGAAACGGGTTCGGGGCAGTCTCTTACGCGACAGGGGAGAGCAAGTCGTCCGTGCGACACACAAGAAAGGGTTTCATCACGGTCTCGATATAAAACGAAGAGCGAAAGTCTACGCGATACGAAAAGAAAAGTGGAAGTCGCCTACGCGACACAGCGTACGGCTGCTTACGCAGCGCGGAAACGAGGAGGAGTCTCGGTCCCGGTTATCTTAAGGGGTTACACCACTTTGACCCACCCAAAAATTACAGTTTTTCAAGAATTTTTTTTTTAAGAATTAAAACGTTTTTATCTAAATTAAAGTACAGTAAGGTATTATACTACTATTAAACAATACAATATTTTTTTGTATTTTTTTATTTACAAAAATGGCGGCTTGAAAGCCGATTTACCGAAGCGCTGCGAAAATCGATGATCGTGCGGTGGGCACGATAACTCAGTCCAGGTTTAAGCTAGATCAATGAACGAAAAAGAATTAGTTTCTGTAGCCCAAAAGCTAGCGAAATACGTAGCTGTTTTCAAAAATATGCATTTTTCACAAAATAGCATCGATTTGGAAGGAAAGATACGTATTTTGCCTTAAATTTCGTTAATTAATGTTGCATAAAAAAATGCGAATATCAATACATTGAAAAACCCATACGTATTTCGCTAGATAAACATATCACGAATAAAATAAAAAAAGAATCAAGACGATTGATTGAAAATTGGTGGAGCTAGAGTGCCCACCGATTTTTAAAATGCAGTTTTAAGAAAAACGCGTTTAAAGTATAAACGCGTAAAATAAACGCGTAAACATTTTTTTGATTTTTTGAAAATTTCAAAGTGGTATAACCCCTTAACGCTGCAAAAAGGGCCTGCTTGGCTCGGCTTGTCTTCATGATGCTGCTTCACATTGAGACGACACTGAGACTTCCCACTGAACACCAAACCTAACAGTTACGTAAGTTAAAACTAACAAATAACAACGTTTGTTATAATGTAATAACGTAACAGTTACGTAACATGAAGCTAACTAGTTACATGTTATTTGTTACATTGCAGTAACTTAATAGTTATGTAACATGGAGCTAACTAGGTACATGGCATTTGTTACAATGCAGTAACTTAACAGTTATGTAACATGGAGCTAACTAGTTACATAACATTTGTTACTATCATATCTATATAAATGTAGTGTAACTTTGTTACTCTCATCTTACATTATGTTACTGTTCTGATATTACTGTGTATATGCAGCACATATTTGTAACAAAACAGAACTATATTGGTTCTAACTGTCATCTATTTTATTACATCAGCGTAATCGTCATTGTCATAATTCATCGTCAAATGTCATAAGATTAATATATGTCATATTTTGTTTACTACTCGTATGAAAAAATGTGATTTTAATTCGTACTCGCATACACATTATCAGTTGTTTACTAGTCGAATGAAATCGTAGTCTTTAAATAAAATCGGATAGTTTATCGTTCACATAATTTCATTTAAAGTCTGATTTATTATATAATACCTAACCATTTACAAGTGCTACAAAATAATACAAAATAAAAAATTACATCATTTTTATAAAATTGCATTATTTTTTATTAAATGTTTGAAAAATGAATATTATTTGAAGGTAACTGAACTTATAACATTAATATAACATGTTACATAACATGTTACCTTATTGAGTGGGAAATAATAACAAACATCTAACTTCCAGTTACTTTTATGCTACATAACACGTTAACTTCGAAAACATAACATTTACCTAACAATTGTATAACAGTGTTCAATGGGTTGTTGTTTGTTTTGGATTTCGGCCCTTTTATTAATGGCCAAGTATCATTGTTTGTTTTCGCCAGCGCTGCGCGATGTCTCTCTTTGATGATCACCCATCCAAGGAGCGACCGCGCTCGACGTCGCTTAATTGAAAAGTGACGTGATATTACGAAAACAGGTGTATTGACACGGCTTGAGCGTGGTACACTGAGACTTGAACTCGGTTTGAGGTCAAGAAGAAGAAGAAAGTGTTACTCCAGGGTTCCCCTCAAATATGTTAGGGTGCCGGTCAATTTGGCATTAGTTGGTTGGGTCGTCCCGGAAGGAGGTAGATCCGCGACTGAAATAGGTTTGCGCATTTAGTCGGACAACGGCGCTCCGGTGCGATCTCCTTCGAAGAGGACAGTGGTGGGAAAGGTCGTCAGCGCGCGTCTAACAATACGTGACGCGGTCAGGGTGGCTGTCTGGGATAGGGGTGTTGAACCTCTGGGCGGTATCCATGTAGGAATTTTTTGGTCCCTTGCTCTAAAATGGTACGAAGCCGTCATAACACCCCGGTCGTTCCGAGGCCCGATCGAGTAGCAGTCACTTCGAGCATCTCATGCTATGCGACGTCCGATATTTGCATTGGAAACGGAAGAGGAGCTGAAGGAATGTTAAGCAGGAGGAGGAGTTGTATTCGGGAAAGAGAAACTCTGGTCTCTGACATACGTCGACGACGTAGCGCTGATAAGAGAGCCTGCGAAGAAGGGTAACAGCCGGGCAAGTCTGGGGTATAGGCGAAAAGCTGTTAGGCCGGGCTAATTCCTTAAAGAGTTCATTCGATAGCCTGGCGTATGTGTTTTCTCACTTGTTTATTACAAATATTGTTACAAACCCGTTAAAATTAAATGATGTAATGTTAATGCAAGCCAATCGGTGACCGTTTATGAAGCACTCAGTCTAACAATCTGACTATGATGTTCCATAGAACATTAACATGATGCAATGAGATTTAAGCTTTTCAGACAGAATTGACACGTTTTGAATTAAATTTTTGTACTGACATTTCCATGTAAATGGCACCAACTTATATTTAATCATTTTCAGAGAGCGTTATGTGACATGGCTAATGAGGGATTTCTTTTCGCTAAGTTGCATGCTAGTTTCAGGATGCCTCAACTGCAATACTGGATTAATTATCGAAAAGGTTTTGTTATTTCGGACAATGACAAAGGTTCGTCAGATTTTCCCATGCTCCAGTAAATCAATAATTTAATATCAGTTATAATTTATTATTCATGTAAATTTATGACGCTAGATCTACTGTTGCGCAATTCTGTTGCTGTTTGGAATGCAATGCAAGTGACCAAAATGTCAAACTTTTCACCTCCTTCGATGGATATGTCAAAGAATCTTTTAAAAACTCTTACATATGACAGGGCTGTGGAATTAAAAAATAAGGTGACAAATAGATGAACATACGAAAATATGTAAAGTATAAATCAATTAACACAGATATTAGAAATGGAAGTTCTCATGGTATTTAATATTTAGGTTGAAGAGAAGAAAGCTGTATTTCTAAGTCAAGTTCGAAAATCTAGAGTTTCGGCAGCTCGGGGATTATGGGACTCGATGGAATTTGGGAAATATCCATCTACGTCTTTCAAACAAGCTTACTTCACCTATTTACCTGGTAAAGCAGAAGATGGACACGTTTTTCGACCATGGAAACGGTCAGACAGTAACAAAGAACGATAATTACTATTCCTTACAGGAGCCGGACTTAAATCAGATTTTAGTGAAACCATTCGCTTCAAATTATTCCCAAATTCTGCACATATGTTAAAACACTCAAAATTGTACACATCAGTGATTAATATGAATTTATCTCCACTTGTTGTCGTGTAAAAAAATGAATCAACACGTTATTAGTAAGTTACCCCATTGTTCAGCTGGGCCCATTTTTTTTGCATTCTTAGCACATTCATCTAAGTCTTATGTGTTTCATATGGAATATTCATAAGTTTTTTTTAAATTTCTGTAGTTTATTAAAATTGTATATAAAGTATAACTCATACTCTCGAGCACATACGTTGTAATTTTGCCGGCATCATTTGCGGAAAAAAAAAATAAGGTAAGTGAAGGGTGAAGTCAAAGAGGGCGCCACGAGTGTTCTTCTCTTACCTTCAAATGCGACCTGCGTCGATAAGCGTAGGTAGGGCACCAACGTCAATTGCCACGTGGTATTACTATAGATGAGTTGGGAGATTGCTCACGGGCAGGGTCGCGCGATCGCGTCCTGTGCTGCTCCCCGGTGGAGGATGCGGATGGCTAACGCACTTGTCACCCGTTACCCCTCAGTGGTGGTGCAATACATTTCTGGTGGGGGCTCGCGCAATCGCGATGGCAGATACAGGGTTTTAAGCTTTTTTGAAGAGTCCATAACGTTTTGAGCCAGTTTTCAGGCTGCCCAGTCGCCGGTAAATTTTTTTTGGCATCTTTGACCACAGTAGTTCGACAGGGAAGGTTGTTCTCTTTAAATTGATTTCTCAAGCGAGGGGTTGCGATTTTTTCTAAAGGAGATACAGAGTTTGAACCTTTTGTGAGGGGTCCGTGACTTTTTCAGTCGATTTTCGGGTTGCCCAGCCACCGGTGAATTTTTTCCGCAACTGTGACAACAGTAGCTCGACGGGGAAGGTTGTTCTCTTCAAATTAATCTTTCGAGCGAGTGGCTGCAATTTTTTTTAAAGGAGATACGCGTTTTTAGGCGTTTTAAGACGTTTTTAGGCGTTTCCAGGTGCTTTTAAGTCTACTTAGGCGTTTTTAAGCGTTTTCAGGCACCGGGGGTTCCATAGAACGTGAAGGCGCGATCTGCCCGTGAGCAATCTCCCAACTCATCTCTGGTATTATCATCACGAGTGCACGAGCCGCCAGCGACGACTGTTAGACGGTCGGCCATCGCTAGTGCACGAGCCGCTAATATTCTCCACCGAGGGCAGCACAGGACGCGATCGCGCAACCCTGCCCGTGGGCAATCTCCTAACTCATCTGTGCTATATTTTTGGATGCGTGTGACAGGTCGGTGGGTGTTGTCAGTTTTTAAAAAGGCTGTTTTTAAACGCGTGACAAGAAAATGCAGCCTAATCGAAGTTTGATCCTTTTAATCATCACGAGCTTATACAACCCTTTGATCGGTAATTATCATTTACTCCGTTTTGAAACGCAGGTGCTTGTGCGGTGTTGGGGTGTTACGCATTTTCTGTGTAGGGCGTGCCTAAAATCGAAACACTTTCATGTATCGTGAGAGAAAAAATGACCGAAAATTAGAAAATGAGAAAAAATGCCGAATTGTATCATGAGCAATTTATTCCCGTGAATGAAATTTAGGTTATTTAAAAAACAATAATCAGATGTTTTGCAACTTAAAAGTTGCATGACAAGTGTAGGACTTTAAAAATGTTTCCGGCATATTTTGGATATTGATGTACTTTTTTGTCACTTAGACCGATTGTATAAATTCAGGGATAGTACTGGCAACTTCTAAGTTTCATACAGCTGTGATTAATGTATTTTTGGTAGGTGCTTTTGTACGATTTTTCAAGCATTGTAGCGACTCGCGCAGTAACTCGGGCGTGAGTGCGGCATGTCCGTACGATTTTTAAGAATGATTCATTAATGATCTGGTTAATTAATTTCAACATAACCTCCTAGGACGAGAAACTCATTGAACCTTAAGTAAGGGTTATCTAACGGTTACTAAAATTTTAGGTCCTTACTCATATCTCACTTTTAGCGTTAAAAGACGTATTTTAGAGCACTGTTAAAGGCGACCCTACTCGTGTTTCGTTTTTAAACCACTTTTATAGAAAATCCTTAAAAGAAGTCATAAAAGGCATATTTTAGCAGCAATACCTCCTCATACTCCCTTTTAAGTTTCTTTTCGATCACTTATAGCATAAAAGTGGTATAATGAGATTCCCTCAAAGTGGGTAGGAGGACTTTTCAACCGCTTTTAGCTGTCAAAATCGTACATCAAATTTTGACAGTTTTTAGTTGTCAAAATCATACATGAAAAATGAAATGCAATAATGAAATTTTTCACAAAGTAAAAGGTCGCGAAATCGATACAGGGCATCAAATAAATACCAGGGACTTTTGTAGTCGAATTTATGTTATTCTCGGCTAACCAAGATGAGCTTTGGTTACGGCTTTATTCTGTCAAACTTGCTTTCCATTTTTGCGGTAAAGTTCTGCAGACTTAACTTTTGGTATACAAAAAATGCACGTGCCGGGCACACGGAGCACATGCGAGTAACACAGTCGTCATATTTTTCCAACGTTGGTATATTACATTTTGTAAACGCGGCCTGTTAACTAAAAGTGTTCATAATAAAAGGTATTTTATCAGCAGTCCATCATCTTTCACTAAAAAACATTTAAAAGTGCTGCCAAAAGTGAGATATGAGTAAGGGCCTTAGTGTATCGGGAAACTTGGTAGAGTTTCGCACTAAATACATTGAAAAGCATGCACTAATGACACTGAATACTTAACGCCAAAGTCCGGCACTTCAATTTTTTAAATCTATTTTTTATCCAAGGATTTTATGTTTCCATAGTCTGAGTTGTTCCTTAAGCACGGAACCAATTTTGCTCAGCTTTCCGTTCAGACGGCACAAAATTTTTATATATAGGATTCTTGATGCTGTGTCAGTCCCTAGGGACTGACACCGCCTAGATGAAAAGTTCACTGTCAGTCCTCAGGGACTGTGGTAGCTTGCGTTAATGACCCGCATTCATTGCTAACGTTTTACAAACATTATGGTTCACTTCATCAAGGCAGACACTGATGAAAAATTTCTTATTTGTATTTCTTGTAGTTCATAAAACTAAAACTATTTAGCATGCTATAATTATTTTTGTTCGCATTTCATCTGTTTAATTTATCATTTGAATTCATCGTTGCATGAATATTTCTTCTAAATGTCTTTAAGATAATTTTATCCTAACTTTTGTGAAGAGACAAAAATGTATTTCATCATGATTTGTACCAAACTCATTAATTATTTTCAATGAGAAGTTGATGATTTCTTTTTGTAATTATGCAAAATACTCTGTTATATGTGATTTTATTATCAGCAACTTAAAGATATTTGGTATGTTTTTATCTACTTTATTATTTGTGACATAAGATATATTAACATTTGCATACATAATTACAGTACAATTTTCAAAGTGTTTAAACCTATTAATTTTAATCATTCCAAAGTATGAGTATCAATTCTATAGTTAACATTTACTTTGTTCTTTGTACTAATGGCTTTTGATGTGTAATTTCTGTAATGTATACAATTTATAATGAACTATTTATTTTTTTACATTGTTCTAGGACAAAATTTAAATAACACGGCGACATGGTGTACAGTGTCCGAAGGGGAACAAAACAAGTGTGAAGCATTTTCCAGAGCAGTTGATCGAGAAATCGGACATTTTGGACACGATTATATATCTATACACTGCAAGCAGGCTTTCGATAAAGAAGAATGTATGACATTACTCGATCAGGAGAAGGTACAATTGACGACCCTAGATGCAGGAGAAGTTTTTATAGCTGGAAGATATCACAGTTTAATACCTATAATGCAAGAAATTTATGAGAGTGGTGTAAACTACCAATATGCTGTTGCTGTGATAAAGAAAGGATCGCTAAAAGATGTGGAAAGTTTATATGATCTTAGGGGAAGGAAAGCATGTTTTGCAGGCGTCGGGACTCTTGCTGGATGGGTCCTTCCAATTCATATGGTAAGCGTAATGAAACATGTATATACATATATGTACACACATACATAAATTACAGCTATTATACTAACTTATAATTTAATTTAGAGATACATCAGAAATTTTTGTTAAACAATTGTACCCAGGTCGTGGCTGCTTTCTCGAGTCAAACTTAAGCAAAGAAAATATTTTACTGTACTACATTATTTAATTATCATTAAAATGGGTAGATGTATGTTAACTTTATAAATTTTATGCACATCAACATTTTTATACACGAAAATGTTGCTAACAATTGCTGGGTATTTAGTGTACATTCAGTTATTTTAATATACGTAATATGTTTATTTTACAATATTTAACGTGTTGGTATAAATCATTGAGAAGTCTCGTTTTATACTATACCATGTAATGATGATGGAGATACGAAGAAAATAATTATAGTTTAATGAAAATAATTATAAATATACATTCAGCAATCATCATCGCTTTGATAATAATGTTATTTTTTAATGCATGTATGTTTTAATAAGATTAATAGTAAAGGTAACTTCCGTCAATTAAAAAGAGATATTCTAATGGATTATTTAAGAACTCATATACGGTATAATAACTAGGAAAACGAATTTATATAGTATTTATCATGATTCTTTCATACGCGAGGTGTTACTCAATGTTTTTGATGGATGCGTGTCAAACTGATTAACTGTTGTAATTCATTCCCTGCATATATAAATTTTTTCTAAGTAATATTATTTATTTTACCATAATTAAAATTATGTTAATCAAGAAATATTACTATTTCTCATGTCACAGTATACTATTAATTCGTAAAATAATAATTTTGCTCATATTTTCCTCCGAGCAGAATTTAATGATGATGGAATATATTTAAAGTCGCATAATAATTAATTAAACCGAAACTGAACTATTAAATAGTTGTTTAATATTTCAAAATTTTTGAACAATTTTAGTTGATGCGTGATGGTGGAATGGAAGTCATCGATTGTAATAACCATGTGAAATCTACAATTAATTTCTTTGGACCTAGCTGCGCAGTAAATTCGTTAATTGACAAATATAATCCCTTAGGTAAGTCGATAAAAATAAATTCTACATTGTTGAGTAAATTTAATTGCCCTGGGTGAATTTACCTCAACTTATTATTAATGATTTTTAGGTGATAATTCGGATCAGCTCTGTAAACTTTGTATTGGAAAAATACCTGGTGGTAAATGTACAAACGTCGATCCATATTCTGGATATGAAGGAGCTTTTCGCTGTTTATTGGAAGCTGGTGAAATTGCCTTTCTGGTACATACTACAGTGACTGAAATGACTTCAACAAATTTTGACCTAAGTATGTTTTAAACAAAATATAATTGTCTTTGATTAAAAAATTGTGCTACGAATATCGAACTTAACACATTGTTGATCGATTGAATAGTGCTTGACTGTGGTGGTCATTTCATACTTTTTTGTGAGGGAAATAAAATAAGGAGATCTCCACGTTCGGTCATTATGTGGCAGATTCTTAAATGAGCTCTCATCGATAGATCAGAAATGTGATGGTCTCTATAGTGTTAAAGTGAATTAAAACCCCCCTCAGATCAGTCGATTTGAATAAGACACTTTTTTTAAGGGTATTGGACCGAACTGTTTGAAACTTTGGCACATTATTTGGGAGTACTTAAGAATTATCCTGGCACTTTCGAAATTTGTATTTGTAAAAAAATGTTTGGCTTACTGTTAGTCTAGATCAGAACCAAAATACCGTCGAGGTCTCATATTTCGAACGATATCCAATTATTGAAGGCTCTAATATGAGAGACGAAAGTGTTGGAACAATTGTACATCAATTTGGAACACTCTAGTAATCAAGAAACTCGTATTCGAACGGGATAAAGGCAAAAATGTGTCTTATGCGCTTCTATGCTAAAACGATATTAATACGAGGAGAGGAAATTTAGTTGCTATTGACCAAATTTTTCGCCGTGTTTCACTTCACCTTAATGGTTAACAAATAAGATGATTCTTGGGAATAAAAAAAATAAATATACGTCTTATTAGTTTGATATTTCTTAGGCATATTTAATTGTATTTTAATATCATTTTTTTTCAGAGAACTTCTGAGTAGTTTCAGAGTTTACGTAATTTACTGTTTGCAGAAATGTACTCGTACATTGATGAGAGTAAGAATACGAGTAATTAAAAAGTAATGTGATATACAAGATTGACTAGGGCTGTACACGAGATACCAGAGCTATACATTCGTCGACGAACCATGGTTTATTCCTAGTTCTCTTTTTATATCCTAACACAGTCTGCGCAGGACTCGTAATATTTTCGCTAATAACTTCCCACGAGTCATTCGGTTCCTCTTCCCGTTTGCTTTGCAAGAATGTCGAACCTATCAGGGATCTCAACTGCGTATTTGTCCTATTTTCTTCCGATACTAATTGATCTACATCCATCTTGTGTGCTATCTGCCTCTTGAACCTAGCCATGGAAAGCCGTTCTCTAAAGTTTCTCATAACTAGGAAATTATCGGAGTTACAGTCGGCTCCCCCATATGACATGACGTCATAATGTTCGCGTGACGTCATTTATCTATGAGTAGGTGGTCGATTTGATTATGCGTTTGTCCATCCGGAGACGTCTATGTCTGTTTGTGTATGTTTTTGTGTTTGAAATATGTGCTTTTAATTAGTAAGTCAGTTGTTGCTGGCCTAAAAATACCTTCTTTTCCTGTTTTTACATTGAAATCTCCTAGCACTATTTCTAAATGAAATATGAAAAAAATTTCAAATTATTCAGTCAGTTTATTTTGAGTAGTTTTATAAATGAATGATTCAAGTAATTTCATTTAATTAATTAATACCTTAACATTCCTACGTTAAATTCAACTCTTCCTTTAACACCTGGTTTTCTGCATTACTTTTTATGTGGAGTTAAAACGTAATAAAATATATTCTTGTATACAATTAAATATAAAGTTATAGAGTAAGTTTTATTAAACGATGCATTGTTTCTCCACAGTTTTGTTGTTTCTTAAAGTAATTTGATTGTTTTCAGATTCAGTTACCAAGGATCAGTTTGAATTGCTCTGCCGAGATGGATCTCGAAAGTCTGTAGATGATTACAGGAATTGTAACTGGGGTAATGTTCCGTCTGTTGCGGTTGTTACATCTTCGGCCACTATTGTGGAAACCCGTAGACTGTACCAAAAGTTTTTAGACAAGGCAGTACGCTTATTTGGTAAAAATATTTTGGATAACTCAACGAGATCAGGTGATCGATTCAATTCTGGCGTAGCAGATTATGAAAATAGGCCAGGCTACGAAAACCAGTTTGGAACAAATGAGTACAGTAATTCTAATGCTCATTATAATGAATATGATAACAGAAATGGCTACGACCGTAATCACGGCAATAATAATGAGCAGAACGGGTGGGATAACTCTGGCCTAAATGAAACATACAGATACTTTAATAGAGATGGATTTTCAACTGAGTCATCCGATTCATCGTCTATACACACGATAGAGAATTTCCATTTATTCGAGTCAGCCCCCAAATTTGGAATCCACCATAATTTGTTGTTCTCAGTATGTATGCATGTATATTACTTATTATTGTATATGCAGTTAACAATTGTATTGCTGATGAAGTACTAGTTTCGCGTAGATATTTTGAATGTATACTTTTTGTCATTAGGATTCAGCTAAAGACTTTGTTCAATTACCTGAAAAAGAGCAAACATATAAAGGTTATTTAGGACGAGCGTTAGATTCCATTTTGGCAGTGAGGCATTGTCCTGTAAATAGAATGACTCTCTGCGTTACATCAGATCCTGAATTGGAAAAATGTGTGAAAATGAGGGTACGTATTGAAATAAAATGTGTGTATGATATGTAAGATATTTTATGTACTTTACTGAAGAAAAACAGATTGGGTTAAGATTAATGATATGTTTTCATTTACAGATTGCCCTGAAAGCTCAATTGCTGAAACCAGAACTTGTTTGCTACAAAGGTCACAGTCAGATTCACTGCATGCAAGCCATACAGAATGGGTAATAAAGCATCTCTAATAATCTAGGAAACAGTACATTTTAAACAGCATGTAAACATACCTTACAATTGCAACAACTACGAAACATTTCAATGTAGTTTATATTGTAGGACAGTTTATACGGGATGTAATAGAACTCGTAGTCACGGTTTAAACAATGCTATCCTTGTTGAAAAAGGAGTTGAAGAGTTCTGTACTATTTTTTCCTGCAGTGCATACATTTTTTTGTAATTTATAAAACTATATAACAGAATCTATAACATAAAAAATATGTACAATTTTTAAAACGTTTTTGGCGAGCCGCTTAATAATATTTATAATTTCTGAGAGCATTTTAGGCTTTATGCTATTACAGTACATTGAAAGAAGCGGGCAGACAATGATATGAACGCTAGTAATGTAGACATTGACGTAATAATAAAGACTCAGTACCTTTGAGGCGATTTATTGGTATATTATTACGCGGCTCGCCAAAAATGTTTTAAAAATTGTACATATTGTTTGTGTTATAGATTCTGTTATATAGTTTTATAAATTCTGTGTATTCATTCTTTAGCTAATGAAAGAACTGAATGAACCCGAGAAGAAAGATTATTCGTATTTGGTGCATTATAATTGATTTCAGTTGTTTCGTGACCGTATGAACATAATGTAACCGAGATTGTAACAGAAAGGACTAGTGACGGGGACATATATATATTTGGCGAAGTTTTTTACACCTGAAGAAGGTGTTTTTGATTTGATAAATTTTTCTGTAATAACTGAGTGAAGCCAATCAATCGCGTTCCCGAACGGAAGGCATAGCGGAGAGGACGCCGGTAAGGCTGCTACGCTGCAGACAGCCGAATGCAGTCGTACCGACATTCTCTTCGCTATGCCTTCTGTTCATGAACACGATTGATTGGCTGAGCTTCACTTAGTTATTACAGAAAATTTATACATTGTAGGAAAAAATAGTACAGACCTTTTTGACTCCAGTTTCAACAAGGATAACGCTATATAAATCGTAACTACGAGTTCTGTTATACCCTGTATATTTTTAAAGTGATATGAATGGCGCTGAGAAATTGAATCCAGGTCGATAAAAAGAAAATCGTCTATATCCTTTCTGATGGCAACGCCATTTTGGATGTTCAAGTGGTAACATAAGCTGGCACATTACCGATATTTATATTTATGATAAAGTCTGTTACAATATACGTTGAGAGTTATACAAATTGAAACGTTCCGTATGTCGTTTTGGTGGAATAATTATAAAGACATCGAAGTAAAACTGTCGAAATCCCGCAGATTCATGATTTTTCATACTCTAATGGATTAACGGCGCTATCTGAGACGTTTAGTTGCAACTAAATTTTTGCTCTAAAATCCCGTGTTACTCACGGGACAAACCAGCCATCGTTCGTGAAAGTATTTTTCATATTTTTCCATCTGATTTCGTAATATTCCATTTCTATAGTATCGAGCTAGATCCTGCAATTCTGAATTTTTGTTTCTGAGCCTTCAGAAAGCGTAAAACATCAAAAACGTGCACGGACGACATCAAGTAGTCCATGATTAATACAAAAAATTGTTATAAAAATCAAATTTCATGAGTTTTAGGATTTACTTTAGGGCCTCCATATTCACGTGGTAAAATTTGAATCGAATCGGTACATTTAATTCGGAGAATACTTTCACGAACGATTGGACTTCTCAATATATATAGACTGACCTTATCATAACATCTTAATACGGTACAAGTTGTATTTCAAAATGTTTTGTAATTGTAAGTAATAGTTCCGTTAATCTCCTATAGAATGCTGCATTTATTGAATATCGTTTTAAAGATACTAAACAATTTTACTGATCATAGAAACATTATTAGAATTACATAGATGCGTTTAATGAATAAATATTTTTATGATGCTATAATCCTCATTATAAGAAAAGCAAGACAATTTGATAAGATTCCAACAGAGTACCGTAATGTTAATAACGTCGCACGGTTTCATTCGTAGATCATTAGTGGAATGTTTCGGGTTGTATAAGCAGCTACATTTTATGAACACTTTGCTTTTGGAATAAAAATTTAATTTAAATATTTTACTTTTCAGACATGCCGATGTGACTGTATTGGATGCCAGTGATGTCTATACTGCAGGACTCCGTTTCGAGCTCATTCCTTTCATTTCAGAAGTGTACAATCTTGGAACACCCGACTATTATGTCGTCGCCGTTGCTAAAGAATCCGACCCTAGTACAGACTTAACGTATTTGAAAAATAAATACACTTGCCATACAGGAATAAATACAGCAGCAGGTTGGGTATATCCGCTTGCATTTTTGCTGTCCAATACATGGATAAGAGGGTATGGATGTGATTCTGTACGTGCAGCCGCGGAGTACTTCACCAAATCATGCGTTCCAGGAGCCATGAGTACCGAGTACAATACGGGTAAGGAGCAAAGGAATAAAAGAAGAAAAAAAAAACCTTTAAGGGGTTATATGCAGTAGTCATAGGCAAAATTTTAGATTTTTGTTTTTCATAAGTAAAAGGCATTTTTTATTCGATAACAGAGCGTGATTTCATGGTACAATTATTGAACTTTATATATCATGTTTTTTGTCAAAATATATTTAAAAGTTAGCGAGGTACAGCAATTTTCTGAAATAGTTTTTTTTTGCGGTGACCATGATATCTTAAAAAGTATTTCACCGATCAGCTTCAAATTTGTAGGGCTCATTCTACATATGGAGGACTGCTGAATGAACGGAGGATTTTTCGACATTCCGATTTTTTACCAAAATGGCAGGGGTTTTCCTGAAAAATCACTTTTTTCGTCTTATAACATTTTCGTTTTTCCTTAATAAAACAGCAAGTTTTCATAGAAAAAAAGAATCCTTCGTTCATTTCGCAGTCCTCTATGTGTAGAATGAGCTCTAAAAATTTGAAGCCGATCGCTGAAATACTTTTTGAGATATCGTAAGATATCTATCAAAAATAAAAAACTTTCGGAGAATTGCTGTATCTCGCCAATTTTTTGTAATATATCTTGACAAAAAATGATATATTAAGTTGAATAATTGTACTGTGAAATCACGCTCTGTTTTCGATAAAAAATGCATTATGGTTATGAAAGAAAATTCTTGAATTTCACCTATGACAACTGCATGTAACTCCTTAAAAGATAAAAATGTATACTATCGTTATTATTCCATTGTTTATATTATTTATGTATTTGTACATTTCGAAATGTGAAAAATTAATTATTTCTTAATGAGGTAAAACGGTCTCGTAAGAGAAATATAAACAGCTTGAAAGTACTGAAAACTTTGAACTGATACATCTTATATATTCTCATTCATTTCAATATTAATTCCTAGAATTTCTGTTAAAATAAGGTTTACATCAACCATCTCGTTAATTTCAGGTGTTCCTTATGATAACATGTGTGACTTGTGCCACGGTGAAAGCTTCAGATATTGCCGAAGAGATGCATCTGAAGACTATTTCGGACACACCGGGGCCTTCAGGTGTTTAGTGGAAGGTGGTGGTGATGTGGCATTCGTTAAACACACAACGATTGCCGAAAATACCGATGGAAAACGAAGGGAATTTTGGGCAAGGAACACCTTTACAAAAGATTTCCAATTATTATGCCCCGATGGAACGCGCCGTCCAAGTACAGACTACAAACACTGTAACTTGGGCAGAGTGGCAGCTAATGCAATCGTTACGCGTGGTGGCTATGGATATAACGAGACCGAGGTCAACGCTTTCATAAATCTCTTCATTTATGCCCAGCAATTTTATGGCAGAAAGGAACAGGATGAATTCAGTTTCAGCATGTTTTCCAGTGTTCCACCGTATAGCGATTTAATTTTCCAAGATGCGACGCAGCAGCTGATCGTCATTCCGCCCGAGAATAGGTACTTTAGTGCATACGTGGGGCCTGATTTCATGAGGGCTAGGAGAGTCGTAGACTGCAATGCAGGAGCAGCGGCTATCGAATACTCTTTGCTCGGCTCGTTCGCAACGATTATAGTAACTTTCATACTATCTAGATGAATTAAGCAATTGTTGGTTATTAACTATCATTATATCTTCATCGTGAGTCCATTATAGAACGTGTATGATACAGTACAATCGTGGCAGCTCATTTATCAACTGCCTTAACTTGTCGCTTACGTAGTACCTCTAGACATTTCTACAATGTATTCCTGACCACGCATCTACCCCTTTTATAATGGATGGGAATGGTTTATATGGAGATTTCGAAAAATCTTGATAAGTAAATGGGATATGCTCTATCGAATGATGATAGTTTCAACCTTCGGTACTAAACAGAAATAGGACATCCGTACTGGAAATCGAGTTTATAGTACATAGCATTTTGTAGCATTTTTCATATTTTTCCATCAGATTCCGTAATATTCCATTTCTATAGTATTTTAAATTGTTCGAGCTAGGTCCTGAAATTCTTCATTTTAGATTCTGAGCTTTCAAAAAGCGTAAAACATCAAAAACGTGCACGAACGACGACGTATTTGGTTCTAGTCCATTATTAATACATATGACCCTTAAGATGATATGAGAGTGGCTTTAAAGAGATTTCGTTCGTAAAACTTTTTTCCGAACTGGATCAATTGAATTGTTTAAAACTTTACAACGTGAAAATGAAGGCTATAAGGAAGGTCCCGACACCCATGGAATTTCAATTTCAAAAGAAATTGTTTATAGACATTTTACTGTATTTATTAGATCAAATGAAATGTCACGGGTGTCAGGACCTTCCTTATAGCCTTTACGTTCATATTGTAAAGTTTGAAACGATTCGGTACACCCAGTTCAGAGAAAAGTTTCACGAACGATTCGTCAGATGCCACTTTCATATCCCCTTAAGATCTTAAGACTAGGCATTTTCAGAAAATGTTTTCGAGATTATATTTTTGGCGCACAATCAGAAATTGCAATAAAGAAAACCATTCAATACCTGAAAATCTAGATTTGTGGTATGAATGTTGCACTCAGTGCTGCCAGAAATCCTTCATAATTGGAAAAATCTCATAGCGTAATTTTTTTATTATCTTCTATCTACCCTGCGAAACCCCTCATTTCACACCGTAGCAATGTAGGCAGGATTGGGTATTTCTCCATTTTTCGAGGTCTTTGTCCTATACTATGTAAACAAAGTAGTAAAATTACAGAAAACCAGTAAATTACGTTTCCAATATGAAGAATGCCGTATATGGACGATATACAGCATCGGCTAGGTTATAATCATTTTTAGCACATATGTACACACGGAAGTATTTTAAGGAACAATGAATTAATTTGGCGCGTGTGTTCAAAATTGTTTAGAATTTTACGTTTTCAATATCGCGGATTCCACAGATGCATGATATATGTATTCGCAAGATTAACGTCTTTCAACGGACATGTTAATATGTACAAATTGTTAAGGAATGATTAATCTGGCGGTTGTGTTTAAAATTCTTTTTGATTTAACCCGGTTTAATATCAAATTTATCCCTAGATTTATTATTTTATATTTAGAAATAGAAGGGCTTAATATACTTCGCGCTCACATAGGAAACCACGTATATTATATGACGTATTACATTTACCCAATCCTGAATGTAGGTAAGGAGAGTAGGAAAATGATGTAAGCTAAGAGGGAAGCTTGAGACGTACTAAGGGCATGGTAAGGGGAAGAAGTGTGGATAAATATCCCTCTTCTGGAAACTGGTCCTATTTCCATTTAGTACCGGAAGTTAAAATTACCCCTAATCGGTAGAGCATACCCGATTTACTCATCAGAATTTTCGAGGATTTCCGTATACACCGTTCCTCTGTATTTTAATAATAGGATTAGACAGGTGGCCAGGGACACCCTGTATACCTAAAGATTTCCAAGTACCAAAAACCATGATAGATCTGGAAGGAGAGAATTCAATTTTATTGATATTGTACATATTTGTCTCAAACGTCCCGAGTCTGAGTCGTTTCGGATAAACAAGATTTTTTTTTAAATATGTAACCTACTCATATACTTCCGAGAAAAGATATTTTATATCCGGATGAATATTTTTTATAGCGTTTTATGATAATACAAATAACGAACCACGAGAGCAATGCCCTGTATGTAAGGACGCACGCAGTGTCAGGGTGACAAATGCCTTTAAATGTAAAAACGTTACGTGTGCCTTTTGTCTCAAAGTGTTCGATGGAGCTCGAAAATCGACGTCCATTACTTTAATATAAATATAATCCAATCCGTCCATATTTCTTCGTTTAAGATATATTAGTTATTGTATTTATATATGTAATTATATGCGTCATTTTATAGCTTGTTAGTACTTGCAAACAAACAAAATGTACAGTTCTTTATACTTTTACAGAGTGGCGTTCCTCCACTAGATTCTAAAATTGTATCTTTTTGCCGAACAAATAAACTTTGAAGTATTTTACAATTTCCAAGACTACGAATAAATGTACTACTTTTTGCAGTTTTGCAACATTTCATTTAATGCTAATATTCAATAAGCTTCCGACAGAAGTCCGCCGACTTTTATTAGTGCGATTTGTGATCAGGTAAAAAAAGTTTTGTATTGTTTTGGTCGAGCCAGCAATTTCGTTCTCAGCGAACAAACAGCTTTCAAGGCACATCGACCATAGCCAAAGCCTCTAACTTTTTCCTCAGAAAACATCGAGAGGCAATAGAAATCCCCAAAAAACCTAATGACATAAATCGCGACAGAGGATATCAAGTGAATCCCATTTGGAACACTCTTCTCCCGGTTTTAAAAAATTCGATTGGCTAATCAAATTTCTCAAAACTGGATTAGTCGACCCCCCACCTGGCGGCCCCTCCCACCAGGCAACCCGAACCGGCCAATCGGGATGCACCTCAACTCTATAAGAGGGGACTCCTCAAAATTGAGGACACATTTGAATTTTCAATTTTGTGATCAATAGGTAGACGGTCGAATTTTTGGTCAGTCGAGTCATTAATAGTCCTAGCCGACCAACCGAGCAGGCAGGTCCCCTCTAGACGCTCAGAACCACTTTTCGCAAAATACGTTCTCACCGACCGCCAGAGGTCCCCAGGAAGAAAACCGCCCAACGATTCTGTAGAAAAAGCACAAGAAGTCAACGCGCCGAGGCCCGGCCCGGATACTTTTCGGCTGGTGCCCCCACTCGACCCATCACCACCAAATGTTGAGAGAGTCAAGTACCAAAAAATAATTAAAAATGAAAAATGATATAATTTTGGATAAAATTGCGTGATCTTTTTTATTAAATGTATGAAAAATTCATATTATTTTAAGGTAACTGAAATTATAACATTAATGTAACATTAATATAACATGTTACATAACATGTTACCTTACTGAGTGGGAAATAATAACCAACATCTAACTTCCATGTTACTTTTATGCTACATAACATGTTAGTTTCGAAAACGTAACATTTACCCAACAGTTATATAACAGTGTTCACTGGGAACGTGTTAATTTCGAAAACGTACCATTTACCCAATAGTTATATAACAGTGTTCACTGGGAAGAACATAAACGAACGTTGAAAAGTAAGAAGATCGAAGTCTGGAAGGAACACCACCAAAACATGGGACAGAAATGTCATTACGAGGTTGAAAATTAAAAATCTGGAAACGAACTCTTTTTTTAGGTTATCTTTATTTGTTAGAAACAAGAATAAAGTATAAAAGTAGAATACAAAATTCCACAGTTTGAAAGGAAGACGGAAACATGTACGGAAATTACAGATCTAAGAACTCTAGAATCGAGGAACTAGCTATGCCTAGAATCAGAAAAGACAACACTAGCAATGTTAATGCTTTTAAGGTAAACATTCTCAGGTTTCATAAACTTATGAATTGTTTAAAAACATCCTTATTAAAATATTCCAATTAGACTGAACCGTAGAAACGTTAAGTAATAGAAATGTTTTTTATTGGTCCTGCTTGCTTGCGCGGTTAAGGGGTTATATGCAGTTGTCATAGGCAAAATTAAAGAATTTTTTTTCATAACTAAAATGCATTTTTTAATCGAAAACAGAGAGTGATTTCATAGGACAATTATTGAACTTAATATGTAATTTATTTTTGTAAAGATATATTTAAAAATTGGCAAGGTATAGTAACTTTCAGAAAAATATTTTTTTATGGTAACCACGATATCTCGAAAAGTATTTCACCGATCGGCTTCAAATTTTTAGGACTCACGCTTCACATGGAGAACTACTGAATGAACGAAGGATTCTTTTTTTCCTATGAAAACTTGCTGTTTTATTAAGGAAAAACGAAAATGTTATAAGACGAAAAAAGTGATTTTTCAGTAAACCTGCGATTTTGGTCAAAACTGGAATTTCGAAAAATCCTTCGTTCATTCAACAGTCCTCCACATGTAGAATGAGCCCTACAAATTTGAAGCCGATCAGTGTAATACTTGTTGAGATATCGTGGTCACCGCAAAAAAACACTTTTTCGGAGAATTGTTGTACCTCGCCAATTTTTTAATATATTGTAACGGTTCAAAGTATCAGCGTGCGCCACTGTACCGCGACCATTAGTTCGGCGCAATTCAGGCATGCGCAGCAACATTTGCGAGTAAGTAGGGAGGCCCTGGGAGAGTGGACCGCGGACCTCGAGCGCGAAGCACCGTGGACCGTCTTCACTTGAATCGGGATTTTCAAATCTATTGGGTTGTTCGGAAAGTAATTTCGTTTTTTTTTATGAAAATGAAATACGATTTTTTTATAGCGAATAAATATTTTATTGAATTATATATTGACCATTCTGGTCCAATACCTTTTGCCATCTTTCTGGCAGTAGCATGATTCCACGCTCATAAAATGTTTGGTTTTTGCTGTCAAAAAACTGATCCAGGTGATTTTTGACCTCATTTGAAGTGAAGGTTTTATCGTCTAAAAAATGTTGTTGAGACCGGAACAAGTAATAATCAGAAGGTGCCAGATCTGGAGAATATGGTGGGTGTGGCAGTATATCCCATCCAAGCTGTAGAAGCTTTTGACGAGTTAAGAAACTTGTATGAGGTCTCGCATTATCTTGGCGAAACGCTACACCTTTTCTATTGATCAATGCTGGTCTCTTCTGTTTAAGTGAATCATTCAATTTGTCCAGTTGGGGACAGTACACTTCAGAATTGATCGTTGTGTTGTTCGGTAGAATCTAAAAAAAAAACGATTCCTTTGAAATACTACCAAACAGATACCGTCACCTTTTTTTGATGAATTTCGGATTTCGAAGTTCTTTGTGCCGGTTCATCTTCTTTACTCCATGATCTCTTGCGTGTAACATTGTTGTAGACAATCCATTTCTCGTCCCCAGGGATGATGCTCATCAAAAATGGATCATTTTCTTGACGTTTGAGAAGCAAATCACAGACGTCAATGCGATGACAATTTCTTTCCGTAAGAACATGAGGAATCCATATGTCGAGCTTTGAGATTAAACCTAGGCGTTTCAAATGATCATGAACGGTCGAATTCGATAAATTTAATCTCTCAGCGATTTCACGAGTTGTTATTCGCCGGTTTGCATCAATTAATGCCTTCATTGTGTTTTCATCGGCTTTAAGTGGCCTTCCAGAACGTGGAACGCATCTTCAATATCAAAATTGCCGGATCGAAATTTTGCAAGCCAGTTTTGACATTGGCGTTCTGTCAATACGTCTTCTCCATACACTCGGATAATTTGTTTCTTGCTTCAACAGCATTTTTACCTTTTCGATAGTAAAAAAGTAAATTATGCCGAAAATACCGCTTTTCACTTTCCATATTTGAAAGGGTACCAATCAAAAACTACTGCGTAGAATGAATCAAACTTTTTCACAAGCAAGCCTTGCTACATCAGCTGTCCAAATATATAATGATTATGCGGCTTAAGTGTGAAATTGGCCGTGAAAAAAAAAAAATTAAGTCCTCTGTTGGGAAACCGAAATTACTTTCCGAACAACCCAATATAAACCCATACAAATTCGGACGTTTAAATTTTGGAGTTCGAACCGTGAGGTACGGCCGAACATCGCAGGACGTGATAGAGCACGACGAGCAAGAAGACGCGAATGCCATCTCAGAGTGCTTTTAGTTATAGGACGCTTAAAAATGAGCAGGTCTGGCACAATCGCCATTCCTGCATCTCTCACACCTCACATTCTTACCAAATTGTTATTCTACCAAATCCCTTCGGTCTTGGTACTGCACCATCTCGCGAGCACCTTTGCCACACGCCAACCCTAATCACCGGTCAATATCCGTGACTAGCTAATTTAGAATAGGTCGTACTAACCCCCGTACAGCTAAGCTCCGAGAAGAATCAAAGACTCGCGGAACTAACAATAAGTAGTCTGCGACCCGGTGATAAAACTCAGTCATTAGGAATAGACTCAGTTTAGGCTGATCAGCTATATCCACAGTAGGGTTAGAATTCTCTACATGAGGTTCAAATCGGAACCTCAAATTCGTGCCTCTAGTATCCCTTCACTCCGAATAGAATTCGGCACGCAAAATAAGGAAAACGGGAAGTCAGCAGATTCAGTGTACGAATTAGGGACTAACAGCCTATAATTTTTAGTCTCTTCCAGAGCATATCCGATCACCCAAAATTCCACTATTCCATATCCCGTCGACTCAATGATGTATCATTAGAGCGCACTGCTGATGGAATAAGCCTTTCTAACTGAGAAGCAATTCCTCATCCTTTTCCTTCCCGAGAAGTAGAGACATAAATAAAGGAAGCGCCCATAATTGAATTAGAACTGCACCTAATTTAATTAAAGCAGTCCTAAAAGTGAAGAATATTCTTGGACAATTAAATCGCCAAACTCGTGCTAAACAGTTCAATTCCGGAACACCTGGCTACAGAAAAACTCACTGAAACCCGATTCGGTCGGTAGGCCTCCTGACTCTCTACAATATTTACGTGTTCAGCTGACCGTCGCACAACAATCTCCACACTCTCTCGCCAGTCTCAAATCTTTGAATCTTATATTTAAATTAATCTCAAGTCTTAGGAACCGTGAGGCTCGAACCCTCGAAGGCTGCAATTTTTCCGTAGCAGTGGCTCGGAATAAGTGCAGACCATTACAATATGTTAACAAAAAAATGATATATTAAGTTCAACAATTGTACTATGAAATCATGCTCTGTTTTCGATTAAAAAATGCATTTTAGTTATTTAAAAAAGTTCTTGAATTTCGCCTGTGACAATTGTATATAACCCCTTAATGTCAGCAGGTACGCATATTATTTCACATCATTATTCCATCGTATATCGCTCATGGTCGCAAAGCACGAGGTTATGTATCGCGGGTTACTATATTGTATAGTACCCTGTTACCCCACTGTCCTACAACAACGAGTGAGACTGGTGGCAAGAAATTTGGGCCAAAAACAATAAGCATAGCCTGACTCGTGGTACTTCGGATCAAATGTAAACAACACGAGCCTGGCTCGTGGTACTTCATTCAGGACAAACGTAAATAACACGAGTGAGACTCGTGGTTCAGTTGTTCTCGATATTTCCTTACATTAGTTACGTGTAATTATATGTTACGTTTACACGTTTAGGTATAATTCCCTAAAAGAGTTTGTAGAGTCTCACGCTCTACCTCATCCCTGTCACACGATAATTCACGGATTTCGATCTTTTGTAGATGTGTCCAGTTATCTATCATTTAGTATTTTATATATCTTTGTAAATGAATTTACGTTAATCGCGAAACATTTCCGCGCCACTTTTAATATCGGGTTTTGTATACTCCATTATACACTCATTGTAAATACCGTTGGGAGCTGTCGGCAGACGTCCTTTCCCTTTTACCCGCATGCATCCTACTTTTCCAGTCCCTTTTTTAACAATTTTTCCTTAATTTCGGATTTTCCCCCGTCGGTCACCTCCGGATGCACCCGATGCACCGTCATAAACGACGGGGACGAGGCGCGTACGAGCTGACCAACAAAAGTGACAATGCATGCCCATAAAGTGCCTATCCTTCTTCGGGTCCCGGTTTAAAATTTCCTTCTCCTTTCCTGTAGGTCATGTACGCACCTCGGTCGGGACTTCGTCTGCATGAGTTCGTACCCGACCAGTTCATTCCTTGTTCATAGCTCGCCTGATCCTCGTCGCCGACAGCTCCGAGTCTTAGAAAAATACAAATTCCATTTTGCATACTACAAATACTATGTCTTCCTTCCGCTCGCGAATATCGTTAATCGAACGCCGACGTTTGATCTCCCGAACACGATTCCCAAAAATTAAACAACCCTCATACCTATCATGTCAGTAAAAAGAAAATCTAATATTGATTATACTAGTGAGAAGTGTGTTATTATTGCGGATAGTGATTCGGTAGATCCTTCTAATAATTATAGTGATGGTAGCGATATTGTGTTTTCTGTACGAAAACGTCCAAGAAAGTTAATCATTGAAGATGCATAGCTATTTAATAATACGTTACTTAAGTCATTTTTTATTATGTACTACTTGGAGGCGTCCGTGTTTAATTGAAAATTTCATTTTATAGTTTGATGTTCGACTGTAGACAGGATCCTCTACAAAAGTATAGCATTCTCGTCTTCTTTAAGCTGTATTAACATAACCTTAAATCGTTGCAAATTGATAGTATAGGGACATTAATTGTAAAGTGTAGGGGCAACTTAAGAAACTAAAAAGGTGGGTTAAAATTCTATGAGATAATAACTCATAACCAAGTTTGTAAACGTCAGTTTCAACAAATAATATCTGTTTAATTTCAGTATTGAGAAAGGGTGCAGCTAGATAAATACGTGAAAAGTGTTCCTACGCCAAATTAAACTGCATAAATTAGTTATTAGTTTCATACCAATAAACAATATTTGCCAATTAAAGATTTTGAGCTTCCGCAGTCTGAATTGTTTCTGAAGTTGTAGGATTCAGATTGTTGTATTTAAGACCGCCGACATGCGACTGACGCCCAACGGATTTATGATTGATTGTTTTGTTGTGAGAAATAAACGAGCGCCTAATATTGTGGCGAAAACCACGTCACCCAATATATAAATGGCGCGAAACTCTGCCGAGTTTCTTAATATGGAATGTGATGATACTTTTCTAAGAGTCGAAATTATTTTTGGTACAGGTGAAACGAAGAGCATTGTCATATCAAATTACAGACAGTTTAAACAAATTGGCTCAGCCTAAACATCAGCGACATAATAACAATGAAATTTGCGCCTCAAGATCAACGAAGGAATCTTCGAATGGAGCAGGTAACCTTTAAATTACTGATATTTGTTAAAAATATAGTTTTCATTATCTAACAACGCACGTTAGCAGAAAAAAAACATGTTATAATTATTCAAATATAATAAAATAATATCAGTGCTCGAGGTTCATTTTATCATGTTGTAGAAACAGGTGATAATTTCGGGAATTTGTCATTTTTCTTGTAATTTGATATTTATTCTAATTTATCAGTTTACCTTCTAATTAGTAGTGTCCCAGGCACCGCACGAAGAAAAATATACGTATATTACTCGTCTACATTAGGTCAATAGGTATAATAAACGTGGATCGTCTATCATCGACCTAAAATAAATGGTTTTTGTAAATATACAGGATGTGACAGAACTCGTAGTCACGGCTTGTACAGCGTTGCCCTTGTTGAACAAGGATAGCGCTGTACAAAACGTGGCTACGAGTTCTGTTACACCTTATATATCTTACATTCTGTGACGTGGCAAAATTTTTGCCAGTCAGAGGGGGGTTTGAGTCAGAGCGATGAGGGATCCCTTTGGCAATCCTTTGGGTTTAAGTTGTTCGTTTTACTAATATTTTGTACAATTTCTGCGGTAAACTGTATCTCCGCGGAGATGCGGCGAGCACTGGAGCGCAATTTCCGTGTTTCCAGGACTAAGTTATGCGCCCGGGGTCCCGAATTGGGTGCTGTGTTGCCATTAGCCGGAAGCCGCACTAATTAAGCGGTCTATTGGCACCGGTACGACAGCAGAGATGGCAGGACGGAGCGCCTGGTTCTTCGGTAGCCACTAGGAGGAAGACAGCTCTAGCGAAGAGGGAGCACGAACACTACCAAAGGGACCACCGTTGAGTCTGCAGCCACGTTTCGTCGTCCCGTTTAGCGCGGCCCGTACCATCCCGTTCCTGTCGAGAGTCTTCAGCGCCGCATCCCGAAGGGCGCGATACCGCCGTAGATTCCCGAAGGGTGCCATACCGTTTCGCAAGGAGTCCTGACTGCGAGAACCCCAACGAGGAGCAACACCAGTGAGCCCTAACCAGCCCAAAAGCCTCATCCCGACCACTACGTGTTGTTCCGTTCCCGCTCCGTAAGCCGATTCCCTATGGATTTCCGATGGTTCTTGGCGTAATACCGATGCGCCCCCGCGGCTAAAGATCGTTCCTGTGCGTTGCGCCACGTTTCATGTCAGCCCCAATCCCTTATGTTTTGCCGTGTTTGCGCGGCCGCGTGCGAGTACTATTCTGGTCGTGGCAATTTTCTTGTCGACTGCATGGCGTATCTGTGTTCTGCGCCCTCCTTCTTCTATAATTGCTCTAAAGGGTGGCGTCCTAACTAGTAGTGCGCAATTTTCTATGATAGGGGACTCCCGCCCGCTCTCTTATTTCGTGCCCCGTACCGTGATTTTGCATCGTACGTACCGATATTGTGGCTGCCTGAGAACAGGTCGGAGTGGGCGGAAAGCCAAGGGCCATACCACAGGTCGGTGCCAAGTCCCCTTGCGCATCTATCGTGAGCAGCAGGCACTTACCGAGGCCCTTGTGGGCAAGAATTAGGTCCTCCCGACAGGGCATTGTGTCCTTTCCCTAGACTTCAACCGTGAAGTTCGGTTGTCGATCGCATACCCTTCTTCTCTTGTTCCGCTTTTCTTTAATTAACGTAGGGCTCCGTGCCCCGTCCTCGATTTCGAGCGTGGGGTATCACTTATTGTCGCGATGCGCCCCGTGTGTTTCGATCTCATTGTGTTTCTGAAATAAATATCCCGTAGGAACTAGTTACCGCAAGCTCTCGTTATATTTTATTTAATTATTATTCCTGTTCCGCGGACCCTGAACGACTTTGTTCGTATTGCTTTCCGTGGCCGAACCATTCAACTCTGCCGTGCCGTGAAGGGCGTAAGGTCCTCACGGGGCTGAGTAGCAATCGGTTGGGTACGTCCTGCCAGATCCCACGGTCTGGGCCGGATCCAAATGCTCAGGCAGTCGGGCCCCGGGAATTCCGCGGTGCGCGCGTATGCATCTGGCGCCTTTAACCCTTTCGTTACGAGCGCCGACTATAATCGTCATCCACGCGGCGACCAGTGTCTACGAGCGCCGACTATAGACGGCATCTGCGTGAAGATCTGGGTGTACGAGCGCCGGCTATAATCGGTACACATACGCCGATCTTTGCGTACGAGCGCCAACTTTAGTCGGTAACAATTTCTGTCATATCTGTAGAGTATCTTTTGATTGTACTAACTTGTATTGAATTAATTATTCTAAGAGTACATTTTGAACATACCAGGCGTATAAGCTTGAATCCGCTGTTTTTTAGTCAGAAAAACAGGTTTTTCTCGTAGAAAGCGAAAAAATAATTTATTCAAAGTACTGGCCGTCGCTAGCTATACATTTGTCCCATCTCTCGGGTAATATGTGGATGCTACGCGAAAAAAATTCCTTCTCTTTCGAGGCAAACCACTCATCAAGCCATTGTCGGACGGCTTCGTAAGAATCGAAGTGTTGCTCAGCGAGCGCGTGGCCCATTGACGAAAACAGGTGGGAGTCGGAAGGGGCCAGGTCTGGTGAATAAATGGCACAGGGTAGAACCTCCCAGTTGAGTGCCTCCAAGTAGTTTCGGACCATTTTTGACGCGTGCGATGGTCAGTTGTCTTGGAGGAAAATCAGTTTGTTATGTCTTTGCTGATAATCCGGCCTTGTTTCACACAGAGCACGGGGCAATTTGATTAGTTGGTGGTAACGGTGGGTATTGACAGTTTCACCAGGTTTCAACAGCTCATAGTAGACGATACCCTACTGATCCCACCAAACGCACAGCATCGTCTTCCGTTCGGAACGATGTGGTCTTGCGGTTGATTTTGATGGTTGGCCGGGATCAGTCCACGATTTCTTGCGTTTAGAATTCTCGACAAATATCCACTTTTCATCGCGTCACAATCCGATACAGGAACGACTTTTTTTTTGTCTGGCGAGCAAGATTTCGCACGTGTTTTGGCGTCGGTCCATCTGCCTATCGGTCAATTAATGCGGCACCCATTTTCTGATCTTTTAAACCTTTCCCATAGCGCGTACGCGCATGGAAATGACTGGTTGAGTAACATCCAATTGCCCGGCAAACATTTTTTGCGATTGGGTATCGTTATTGTCCAAAAGAGCCTGCAACTGATGGTCATCAACATTCCTGGACCGATTTTCATTTGCTCAGGTTTGCACAGGCTCAGCATTGTTGCTCAGGTCGAAATTGCCGTCTTTGAACCGACGAAACCAATCTCTGCACGTTGTTTCGGATAAAGCACTGTCACCATAGGTCTCCACAAGCATTCGATACGATTCGGCAGTCGATTTCTTCAAATTAAAGTAGAAAAGCAGAGCTTCCCGCATATGCTCTTCTTCTGGCAAAAACTAGACATGATTACCAAAGAAAAAATGTATGTTGTTGCATGAAATTACTGATGATGTGCACTGATTACTGTTGACAGATGTCAAATTCATACAAAACAAAAGTATGGCGTGGCCATAGTAACATCAGCGGTGCCTGGGGTATAACTATAATAACAAGATTTTCTCAACAGTAATGCAGCATTTTCATCTTATATTGATTAGGTCCTCTATATTAAATATTAATCTATCCAGCACTAGTGTACAATATGTCATTGTTTTGTTAACATAATGCTGCACCAATAGTTTGAATATTTAATGCTAAAAAATTGATATTTGTCTAGGTCAAAGCGATGAACGATCTACTGTTAAGAAAAAGAGAAACACCAAATCGAATCGATTCGAAAGAAGAATATTTTTGGATAACTATACAAAAATGGCAGCTGCAAGCCATAATCGAAAAATGTTAAGAGATGTTCCAAAACCAAAAAGAACTTTTACAGACGGAGAATGTTCAAACATCGATGAATATTATCACTCCGATAATCGGGTAGCTTCAGAAATGAAAACTAATCAACCAAGTGAAAGAAACATGAAACAAAGGGCGAACTATTCCTCCATTTTGAAGCCTCGTTGTACATTCGAATAATTAAAATAATAATAAATGAATGAAGACCAATGAATGAATGTATGTAATTTTTTATGAAAAAAGATACAGTAATGCGAAATAATGAAACAACGCTTTTACATTTCCTCGATTCTTTTTAATCAACATAAAGAACTTGAACAACGGTGACTTGATGTAACGTTAATAAGGATTCCCTACAAAATGTAAAATGCTTTATAAATATTTGTTCTTTGACTTTATTTTTGCCTAGGTTAAACTTTTTCCTGTTCAATTATGCAAACCAATATAAAAGATATGAAATAGAATATCCCTAGTAGCACAAAATATTTGTCCTATATTTTCTACATATTTAACGAATATCGTACATTTTGTAAATATTTAGCAGACATTTGAAATATTTGTAAAACGTTTACTTTAGAATATTATCTCTATAATATTTATATAATATTAGCTCCATGTGTTTTCATAATATTTTTCTACCAGATATACAAAACATTTCGTTTCATTTTAATACAAGTATTTTTTAAATATTATCTGCCGAATACATTATAAACGTTTTAAAAATATTTAAAATCAAAATCACACGTTTTGCTCCCATAATGAAATAGCGGAACGAAAATATTAGAAAAATTTCTCGTGTTTTTTGATACCAAATGAAGTGTCCGATAATAGTCGTGAAGTAAAAAATGTATTTTTATTATGTTAATAAGTTAAAAAATATAATTTCTCTATATGTTTATAAATTATTGAAACTAAATATGTCATTGAGATTTTCAAGAAATATTTCAAATATCTTCGAATGAAATCTACAAGAAATCTTAAAAAAATCTGTCGCTTGAGATATTTAGCAAAGATTACAAACAAATATTTAGAATTTATTCTATGCTCCTAGGGATATGACTTTGCCTCTGAAGAGTGCGAGGATGTAATTGCAATATTTTAAAACAAGTAACATCGACTTTGCAAAACTTCAGGGCGGTATAACTTTTAGATACATCATGGCGGTTTCTTAAATTTCGACCGAACATCTCAAAATGTTTATCCTCAGAATTCCAAATTTACTGAAAAAGTACCTAGACAATATATAAGAAAATAAAATGATACGTTTTGTTTCCCAGAAATCAAAATTTAAACTGTTTCAAAAGGTATTCCACAGAAAGTAAAACCTATCACTTGAATACCAATCACCTCATTAGAACGATTTTCGTAATAATAATCTTTACTTCGTTTTTCAGTGACCAAAATTAGAAAATTACGTTCTGAAGTATTAATACATAAATTATTATGTCTCCCAAAGTACCAGCAAAGGCAGAAAAGGCAAAGCCGAAGGCAAAGTATGTATTCAAAATCGAATAATATAGTATGCAAAAAAGGTTACTGCTTTTACGAGAAAAATAAAGTATTAACAAATGGTTTTGACCATAATTTTAATAAATAAATCAACCAGCAACGAATGGAATAATCATAACCTATAATTAATTTTCTTATTGTGAAAAATTAAATGTAATTTTCAAATTTTATGTATGTATAACGGCAGGGTGTATCAAATATAAATTATCCCTCAAAATATTTTGTACGATTCGAGTGTAGCTGGAAGCCTTCAGCTTCAATATGATTTCAGCATTAGAAAGTATGTTCAAATAATGTATTTTTCCAAGTTATAAAAGGGTTATGTCTTATGTGATAATTTATTCACTTTTAATTCCATAAGAAACTAATATATAACACGATGTAGCATAAAAAATGACGTGATCTTATTAAAGAAAAAAAAAAAAGATTATTGTTCTCACATTCTTTGCAATTCTAAAATATTTAAACGCACGGGATGTGAATACTTTGTTTATTATTGTATTACAGCAGGACGTGCTTTGCGCATAGATGTCCCTAGTAGCATAGAATAATTTTTAAATATTTGTTTGTAATCTTTGTTAAATATCTTAAGCGACAGATTTTTTAAGATGTCTTGTAGATTTCTTNAATATAGTAGTTTAATAATAAAAAGCAAATAAATATGTGTGGCAAATATTTGTATAAACGTGAACTTAATTAATGTTAAACATCTGATAAATATGTTACACTATGGTAACCTCCTCTGTGTGTGTGCGCGCGTGCGCGCGCATCGTTGCTGGTAATATAAAAAAGCACAAATAAATCCTTTCAAGAAAAGAATTTAAATATTTGCTATTAGTAATATGGTATATTGTTTTAACAGAAATAAAAGACAGAAGTTGAATCTGAAAGGATGGCTGAAGACTTCAGCGGATTGGGCAAGATTTGAAGCCTGGGCAAAAATAAATGCCCAACCACGAAAAATACCGGAACCCGAGCCAACAGTACGGTTTTAACTAGTAAAGTAACTCAAATAATAGTTACAAAAATAAATAAATGAGAAAATGTACCATTTATGAAGAAGTATAGAGGGTAAGTCGGTATTTCTTAATGTGCAGGTACGACCATCGAAGCCATTGTCCCAGCTGAAAAAGAGAATACTCGTATTGGCAATACCACATAAAAAGCAAGACCCTAGCAAAATATGTCGACTGAACCTCAGCGTCTCGAAAGCCGCTCTTCAAGTGAAACCTTCGAAAAGAATAAAATCCTTAGCCAGACCCAGGTTCTACGAAGTCGAACATTGCAGAGAATTTCCTATAAAAATAAGTAAAGCGGCATTATTATACGAAGCGAGTCCGAGGATTATAGAAATTAGTCAACCTCGTATATATGAGCCCGAAGAATGCAGGGTTTTAGAAATTTCCGAAAGTGCGTTAAAGCACAAGCCGACCCCTAGGGAAGAAAGATTAGCACTTGCAAAAAAAATAGTCGAGTGTCCGCATGGACTAACCGAAGAGGAAATGACCATTCTGATGACTCCATGGGGAATCAGGAGAAGCGCATTAATGTACAAGGTATTGCCATTATTACATAACGAAAATGAAACATCTGGAAAAATTTGCAGACTTACATTACTGTTACGTCAAAATTGTAATAATAATTAGATCCGTATATAGATCAACTTACCTGTACAACGGGTCAATCCCCTTTGAAGCTACGAACTCAATCGTAGAGCCAGGGACTGGGGTGCATAGAGCGTCAAGGACAGAAATGAAAAAACTAGGGGCGTTAATGGTTAATAACAGTTTATTACTAAATAACAAACTTAAAAGATAAATTCCGAATAAAACTTGGGCGTCTTCAATTGGATATATGTCGGTCGAGTATCTACAATTACAATTGAAATCAAAATGCGGATATGAAAATCGCGATTACGGGCATATACAATACAGTAAAATTTGTAAGGAGTTGGGTATTGCAATTACAAAGCTACTTTGACAGAATCACAATCTGGCGTACTTCATGTCTCGTTAAATATCATGCTAGACCAAAATTCAAGAACACCAGTTCAAGGTTAACTCAAGTTAATTACTCAATGAAATTTCTTACCAATACAAAATTTAGGGGTACGACTTCAATATAAAACAACGTTCAATTAATTGGGCATAGGATTTAATAAAAATTCATAGGAAACCAAAACTCTTTTTCAAGTTAATTAGGATTTACTCGATTCGAACGAAATTTTGACCGTTTGTGGATCCTACCACCACGAAATATATTCGTACTGTAACGGGGCGATTCGAAAGCGCCTGCGCGATACCGAAATCGACGGCAATCGACGCGTGCGCAATAACAGAGTAATTAGGCGGTGCGAGAAGGCCGAGGAGTAGGGAGAGGCTGCGAGACTTCGGGAGACTCCGAGTCGAAATCAAAAAGACAGAATCAATTCGATTTTCAATGGGAACAGACACTCAAAATTAAATAGCACTCGAGTAAATTCGAGTCCAGATCTAGACGAAAGTTTAGAAGCGCGATTAGGTAGAAGGAAAACCGGAGTAAGCCGGAATCCGTAAATCATTTATGAAATAAAAGGTTACAGAGGCGGAAAAATCCTAATCCAATCCTGAAAAACCAGCGGTCTCTGGCACAGTGGGAGCCATCGCATCCTTAATTCTCATTCCTTTCTGAGCCCAATCCTGGGACTGTGCTACTGCAGTATCTCTCAAAAACGAAGATTAGAACGCGAAAATAAAGAAAAAAGGAAAAGAAAGGAGCCATACCTTCGATTGACTGAAGTCAATCGAAACAGGTTCAGACAAAACGAATACAAAGGAAGTGTAGATCCGTACCTTCGGCCTTGTCAATGCGACAACCCTGAAGCAGGAGCTAACGCGATCTTCAATTGTGAAAGACAGCTCGGACTCTATCATTGTGATTGCCTCCGATCTGCCGAGCTTCCACAGTTGGACAAAAGAAACGTGGCACGGAGAAGTGCACAAGAACCTATCACGAAACATCCTACCGAACCCAAGAAACCCTAAGCCAGTGGATATCCGAAGCTGGATAACCTAAGTTAAGTTGGTACCAACACCTGTAGAGCAGTGCTCCAGGAATCTAATAAAATAAGTCAAGCCAATTTGAGAATTGTACAAAATAAGAAATTACGGGATTAACTGGATTCCGAAATACGAAGAAAAGCCAACTCATTTACACCCACACCTTGAATCCTGTCTGTCTAGATTCGATGATGAACATTTGGCGTACTCTTGTGAGATAAATCGTCAATCTCAGAGTTCAACACCTATACAAAATTAAATCCATCTCAACAAAGTGAAAACGATTAAATAATCAATAATCAAAGTTAATTAAGAATCTCAGAGAGATCGAGATATCGAAACACGAATTCGATTCGGAATGTCGGTCTCGACCAGCTGACCAACCGAAGCCGAGACGCATAAGAACACGAAACATTGTCTGCGTGGCACGAGACATCGCGATCCTGCTCTAATTCGTACGCCTGCTGCTCTCTTACTTGGGTTTTCGCATCTCACAATTAGAAACCGGTGATTAAGAAACTCGGTAGAGTTTCGCGCCAAATATATATATAGAGGCGTGAAACTCAGACCTAGTCATTATCTGCGATGCTCAGCCTGGCGTGTCAAATTGGACAATGAATGTTGTTTTTTGAACCTCTTGAATGTGGAAAGTCAACTTTAACGAGGCCATCGAGAGTGGACGATTGTTCTGCATTTTTTAAGCTATGAACGAAACCGATTGGTTCATTTAATACAGAGATGTGCATTTTTTAATATTTTACTTTGCTTGGGTCGCTTGAATTTTTCCGTCGACCGTTTCGGTGGCACCGCAGCGATCCAACCAATAGGCGATGGCCACGTGGCGCGGTCGTTTCGAATATCAATGTAAGGGGCTCTCGCTCTTGTTCTGGCCCTTGTCCTCCCCCTCTCGCCCTTTTGCATTGATTTTCGTCCTTCTCACTACACGCGGCGGNGACAGCGTACAGTGCAGTCTCAGGAGCGAGGCTGACCCGATTCGCAGGACGAGACCTCGAATCACTATAGGCGCGATTTCACATCTCCGGAATTAATAACGACAAGGGACGACACGAGCCGAATTTATATCGTGTCATTTCTCCGACCCCGGGAGTTCGAACCATAGAGTTTAGAACCTTTACTTGCAAATATATTAGTTCTCGTTGTATTCTATTAGTTTTAATTACGTCCTCGTTTGTATCCGGTCTAGTTCCAATGTTTTGCTTTCAGACACGAAGCTACTGATTCCGACCGGCAACCGATGTTAAGTTAAATAAACAGTTATCGTTATTAAACCTAAGCGTACTTTACTCCACCCAGGCATATTACCCCTCGGACACTCAAACGCTCCGAGCGGGCCACTGTCGCGGGAAGAGACCCGAACGTGGACCGCGGCGCGCGAGGTTACCACCTAACTCGCGTCCTCGAGTTCTATCGTTACAAGCTAATAAAAGATCTGTGTATTTTTTCTTTAGCTAATAAAAGAACTGAATGAACCCGAGAAGAAAGATTATTCGTATTTGGTGCATTATAATTGATTTCAGTTGTTTCGTGACGTATTAACATAATGTAACCGAGATTATAACAGAAAGGACTAGTGACGGGCACATATATATATATTTGGCGAAGTTTTTTTACACCTGAAGAATTTAATTTTCCCGGAAAATTTTAACGCGACTCGAACTCATAACAGTGTGGAAACGACGGTGCATGTTGCACGGCCTAAACCGTACCATTACAATACCGAGTTTCATGTGAATCCGTCTAGTGTTAATATAAAAAATACTACCTGCCCTTGATTAATATTTATAGTGTCAAATAGTGGTTTTTCGGAAAAAAACACGTAAACTCTTATTTAATGCAAGCATTAACGGCATGTAGTTTTTATTTCGATCGGACTATTTGTAGGCGAAAAAAAAGAAACAAATTATTGATAAGGGTAGTTTACTCCCGTCGAAGTGGTGCAACCGTGTAGGGTGGTATCGTTTCTAGATCCTCCTTACATGAGATATATTTATGCCAAGTTTCATTGAAATCTGTGGAGTGCTTCTATGAAAAAAACAAAATTGATTATTTAATCAAACCTTGAGGGGTTGTTTTACCCCCTAGATATCAATCTAAGCTCGTAAAAAAAAAATACGTGTTCCATAAATTTTCGAGTTCTATAACATATATAAAAATTATCAAAATCGGGGTGGGACACTTGGGAATGTTTCCTAGTTAGTATTGAATGGGATCCTAGTAGTCCCTTCGTGCACTTTGGTAAATTTTTTATTTGGTACTATCTCTCCCTTGGTTTTTCAGTCTAACTGCTCCCGAATTCAAAACGGTAATGAGCCTCCGACCGAGCTCCAGGTTTTCCAGGGCCTCCTGGACTAGGAGTGAAGGCTAGAGTCCCTTCAAGGTGGGGTTCATCTTTTGTTGCGTCTTCGGATTCCTGAAATTCGGCAGCGCCTTCCGGGTTATGAACTCGCTGCTGACAGGGGATTTTGGGTTATTTTTGGGAGGAGAGCTCATTTTTTGCACTTTCATCTCACCTGAGATTATTCACACGATTTTGTGTACTCCAGTCAAAACGCGAAATCTCTAGGCTGAAAGTATGGGGAGAAAAGGTTTAGGGCGGAAGAGTAACATATATTGTAACGGGTCCAAGTGTGATCGAACACAGTCGATAGTCACCATTAAGTCGGAACACTTAAGGCATACGCGGCGATATTGCAAGGAGAGTAGGGGGGCCTCGGGAGGGGAAACCGCGGCTTGCGAGCATCGAGTGCAGGACAGGCGCTCCTACGATTCTCAAACTTTGGTAAGTAATAGTTCGCAAAGACTTAACACGTGAATCTGTGTCTCATCGGTCGACGCTTTGTCGAACGGTGAATGTCAGGACAAACACGTGTAAAACGTTCAGATCGGGAATCGTCTAAAGACGCCGATGACCGAGCATTGAGGCTCTGATTCAGTCTTAGAGAGAGAGATATCCCAGTGTGACAGTCTTGAAACTGATGAAGTTATATTTCAGGACCTAATTCCAGTGGGCCCGGTGATAGAACTCAATCAGTAGGAATAGATTCAGTTTAGGCTAATCAGCTAATCAGTCAATCAACAGTAGGGTAATATTCTCATAACAAGGTTCAAAAAAGGAACCTAAATTTAATCTCATTCGCCTCGGCTAATCCTTCGCCCCGAACAGGATTCGGATCGCGAATTAAGGAGAGGGCGACAAACTTAGTCGCGGAAGTAGGCACTAATTGCCCATAGTCTTACCACCTTCCAAATCACATCCGATTACTCGAATTTCCGTTATTCCAAATCCTGTCAATTCTATGAACAATCAAAAGAATGCACCGCTGATGGAATAAGCCGCTCTAACTGAGAATATATTTCCCTTCCGGGAATTCGAAACATAAACTCGTGACAACATAAACTCGTCAACTGACGCAATAGTTACCACATAACATGTGTATATGATAACGTTCGCTGGTGTACCCTTTACTGTTGATGCATGTAGAAAGTAACATGTAGTATGGAAATAACAATCATCGAGGAATATTTTGGTTTATTCGCACGCCTTCCACATCGAACTGCACTCTGGACCAAAACACGGGACCTATCCTTCCGTCAACATAGTGACTACCTCAGCACGTCCGATCAATTTTCTAACAACAAAATCCAAAAACAAGGAAGCGGACCCTGTCCTCAAGGATAATGTCGTAAAATCCTCGGGCATCTCAAGGATAAAATCTCGTATAAAAGCGGTACCGAAAAGCAGCAGCCGTCAGTAGTATAGAAGAGTTTAAGACAGCGTACAGTGCAGTCTCAGGAGCGAGGCTGGAGCTCTCTGAAGAGCTGACCCTACGTTAGTAACAGTTGTGCGTTTCGGTACTCCGACATCCACGAGCCAACAGTGAGAAGAACAACGGCGCTGCGAATTCCGGACCAGCGGGAGCATCTTAGGAAGCTTCAACCCTAGGGCACGCCCCGGTTTGAAGGCGTTCACGTGCAGTTCATCGCAACCGGCAGGACGTAGGAGAGACGTCACCGGTAGTAAAGGCCTCTTCAAAGCCAAGGTACAGGTCCTCTTCGAAGAGTTCCACTCTTCCACTCTTCCACTATTTTACTCTTTTATCACTCTATTTCGAACCCTATTCCAAATTACTAACCCGTAAGAGAATTCGGTATGTACCTTCTGATAACAACTATCAAATTCTAACTCTTCAAGTATGAATCGCAACGCATTAGCCGCCTTGCTGAGTAAGGCAAAGCGCACCTTGCAAGCAAAGAATCCCGTGTCAGTATTCCGCAATTGATACGCGGACGTATCTCGATTACACTTCCGCGAGGCGCTAGCGCTCGGCCTACAACGTCCTTGTCTCGACTCGCGACGACATGCTTAGCGCAGCACATATTTGCACACCTTACCCCCATGGACATTGTACCCCTTACATCATAAATAGAACTGTCTCATTCAATACAAAACAACGACTTGATTCTCACGAAACCTTAAAACCCTCCTGTGTCCTCATTGCAACTTTCCAACACCCTTTAAGGACAAAAAAAACTATCGATCCCACCAAAGAGGTTGACCTAGCCGATCGGGGTATCCTCTTCATATCTCACAAATAATAAACTGGTTACGTGTGCATACGAGTTAATATCTCTACAAACAGTATACCGCTCCGAGGAATCTACAAAATTCCCCCGACCTCGCTAGCCATTAGGCCGCCACGTAACAGTTTTATGTAAAGCTTACTGTAGCTGTTATTACAATGTTTTATTGTACGACTGACTCTCCGACGAGCTGGTGCTCCCTTTTATTAGTACATTGAATGAATCTTATCCTACTTTGTGCGCACGCATAAAAGCTGATTCGCGGAACGTTCGAGCCAGGAGGGGGGGAGTGACCGCCAGCTGGGGCGGCCCAGATTTACCTAAAGGGTAACCTTTATGATTTTCGGACCCCGCCGGGTAGCAAGTGGATTCATTCAAGCGTGTAAGCGATCCATCTCACGTCTCTAGAAAACGGAGGCTCGATCTGCACGGGCCCAAGTAGCCTTAACGCAAGAGAGTGGGTCCGACACACCGGGTATCACAACCCTTGTCATTACAAGGGCTCATCCAACGGTTCCTCAACTCTACACGCCCTATCAGAGGAGGATGCCTTTCATTCCCCTCCGTGGGGGTCCCCGAGTGTCCTCGGTGCACTACGAGCATCCACCCAGGGGTACGTTTATCCTTTCAAGAGACACTACCCGTCGGTGCCTCGGCTCACTGGAGCTATTACAAATTCACGCAACTTATTGCACTACAGCTTATTCAGCTATGCTACAACTACGGCCTGTTATCCGAATTTTATATCTTAACGGCAACACTTACTTTGGAACAATTGTTCTGGTTTTCTAACCTCTACTTTTGAAGTTCATTTTTTACAAAGTCATCCATGTAGTCACTTAATCAAACTATTACAATGAATTGAAAAAATAAAACTCGATCTTAAATTAGATCGAAAACTGAATTTCGAAGAGGACCAAATGATGCGGCTACCGAAGTTACAATGAATCTAACGGTTCGCAGGACGACGCAACTAATGCATGTCACAACCCGAATGCTTCTCGCTCTGTGTCTTAAACGCACAATAGGAACAATAACAGTTCACGCTTGTAAAAATTACTAGTGCTACGGTATATTATACGGTTTTCAATGGAGTTCTTGTTTTTAAATTTTACAACTGTGATGGCCATTTTTACATGTGCCTTTATACGTGTAATTTTTACTTTCCAATGTTATATATGTAACACTGTCAGATGCAAATATAACAACAATTTATTTACAAGAATCGTGCAGTTGGTGCTAGAGCCGCAATGGTTAAAAGGACAAAAAATTGTAATTACATTTACAATAATTGTTGTTAAGGTTACAACGATACTTTGACCCGCGAGCACATGTAATGAATACAATATTATTTTTCTGCGTGTATGTGGTAGAATCAATTATTATATAACCGGACTAGAAAGTATAATATTTCAACGGAATAACCACGGTTAATCCTTCTTTCATTCAGTAGAAACATTATTTGTCCCTTCGTAACTGATACTAAACGAATTTTTTAAAATTCTTGCCATTACCTCTTATCAGATACTTTTCGTCACACTACCAGTTTTTCATATTTGAAAACTTAATTATTGCAGAGTACCCCATGGGTCAAGTTTTTAGCAATGCCATCGTATCGATTCTTGAAGGATAGAAATGATAGGAAGGCACGCCAGTGGAAGAAAATGATACTCGATGAATCCGAAACACGAGGGAAAAAAGCATTTGAGGAGAAACGAGAAAAAGAGCGCAGAGAATTATTAAAAAAGAAAGCCGAAGAGAAAAAGGAGGGCGCAGAGTCTGCCGAAAAGGGTGATCAAAAGAAAGATGCATTGAATGCTAAAAAAGAAACAGTCGATGAGGAGAAAAAGAAAGCGGGCGAGGGAGATGCAATGGAAGAAAAAGAAGAAGAAAAAGTAGAGGAAGCAGGAGAAGAGGAAAAAACGAAAAATGCAGATGATACTGCAGAAGATGCGGACGCAGCAGAAACAGCGGATACTCCAGAAAAAACTGCAGATAAAGAAGAAACTGGTGATAGTCATGTTAAAGAAAATGAAGGGGAGGAAGCCGTGGAAACTGTTAATTTGGGTGAAGGGCATACAAAGACTGCCCTATCGGCAAAATCTGCAAAAAATAGGACAACAAAACCCGCCGAGGAGAAAAAATCAGAGGCAGACGGAGAAAAGGAAAAGAAAAGAAAAGCGGAGAGAAATGCTTGGAGATTTATGCCTACGCCTTGTAAAGATAAACCATTCAAGATATCTAAGGCTGCTTTGAGTACCACAGGTTTCTATGTTACACATTTATGTTTTATACATTTATTGCTTCTAGTGATATCAATATCTTGCACTTGAATGACACCACTGTAACTGTTTGACTGGAGAAAGATAACATTCAAGTGGAAACGGTTAAATATAATTATTTGTAGGATAATCAAGTATGCCCAAAATTCGTAAGTCCCATTTAGAAGGATTTTGAAGGAAATTTGTTATGCCATTAAGAGAGCATTAATGATTCGTAGATCGATATTAAATGAAGGCAATATTAATTGAGTAGAAATTGTGCAATAATTTCCTAAGTTGTATGAATCATTTCAACTTTTATTTTGAATATCAAGAAACTTGGGAGAGTTTTACGCTAAATGTATTTGAGCCGACCGATTGTTGCTTACGAGACGTTACCGAGTTCCATACATCACTTTCCAGGGATGCGATCCTAGCATTCTGTTTTGCCAGAGTTAGCTTCCGTTTCAAAATCATAAACTGTCACCTGTGACGATATACTGGTATAAGAGTTTGCAATCGAAATAATTTTTATTTGCGTACCTGTTGAGTGCCAGACCAGGTCACCGCTAGGTTACGGCGCTAGGCGCCCCCTACGCGGCCAGATACATCATAACACCCCCCTCGGGGGTTCGGGTTCGCTACCTGGGCTCCGCAACCGACAATCCATTGTAGGGTCATGTAAAAAATTACCTCAGGATTAGTAGGGTTTTATTTCGGTCCCGCGTTACGCAGCAACGCGCCGCGCTAATGCGAGTCCTTCATTATTTTGATGCTCTTGCCATCGAGCTCCAGCTATGGCACATGGGGGTTGTTCTTGGCATCGAGCTACAGTTATGGCACATGGAGGTTGCTCTTGCCATTGAGGTACAGTTATGGCACATGGGAGTTGCTCTTGCCATCAAGCTACAATTATGGCACATGGACCATGTCGCTATCCGACCGGGAGAGAGGCCCGACTGTGTGGCCCCTCATCTCCGAGTTTCATACGTGGACAAATGTGAGCAACGGGCTCAGTCCGACGCAGGTCACGCCACATACCGCAGAGCCTGAGTATACACGCACTCCTACTGCCTCCCGGTCCGTCGGATAGTCCGCAGGGGACAGACAGCAACCCACGGCAGCCCCGATGGTATCGAGCACGGATGACCCCCCCCCCCCCCCATCCCAGCGGAGGACCAAACTGCCCCGGCCGGACCTGCACGACATTTCACCCTCCCTAAATTCGGTCACCTTTGAGACGAGTTATCTCACCGGGTTCTGCAGGGTTTCGTGCTTCCTCTTATTGGTCTCCGCAGTCCTGCTTGAAGCCAGTCTCCCTGATCCGCTGTTCATCTGGTCAAAGGCAACCGTTCCAGTCCCGTAGCTTCCACTGTTGCTTCTTGATCTTCATGCTTCTTCGATAGCACGCACTTCACACCTTTTCGCACTTCTACTTCCCTCGCATGATTGTTCGACACACACGAACGACTCGTTACGACTGTACCGCACTACTCGAATGAAGCGCTGTGACTGTCTCGGCATAACTCGACTAGTTATCTTTGTTCCTCGTCATATATACGATTTTTCCGGCAATCCCGGCTAATTCTTCAGATAAGTGGTAACTTTACCCGAGGTGAGGGCTGCTGGCCAGTCCTCGCGTTTTGTGGTTTTCCGGGAAAACCCACAATCGGTGGGCGGAAATCATCCCGTTGGTAACATAGACCTTGTGTTCCACGCTGTTGGCGTGGTACCGGCTGTAACGATTGACGGGCACCTGTCGTGGGTTGTTCTGTTAGTTAATTACGTTCCGTTCAGTGAGACGATAACAGAGTGGAGATCGAGTAAAAATATAGTAGGAAATGGAAAAAAGGGAGTTGGGATTCGGGATACCGTGTATTGAAAACGCATTACCATCAAAAAGGGTATAGATGAATTTTACTTTATCGACGCAGATTAATTTTCTTAGCGTCTTTCATATCCTCTTAAGATAGGTATGAATAGTAGCCAATTCCAATTCTAAAGAAAATGGGTTTATTATAACAAAAGGAAACAGTAATTTAACAAAAGATATATAAATGTAAAGAAAAGGTAAAAAGATTGAAAACAATACAATTTTAGTCAAATTAAAGATACATACTTAGAGTTAGAGAGGTAGGATTTTATTAAGTACCTTGTTGAGTGCTTCACCAAATTAAAAGGACCACCTGGTGGTTTCTATCACGCGCGACTTGAATTTTACTCGCTTAGTCGAAACGCACATGATGAATTCAGAACTCAGAGGAAGCTCTAACCGTTGAGGTCTAGCCCTTTTTAAAGGGTGCTAGTCTTTCTTCTCCATGTAGCCTGGATAGTGGAGGGAGATTTGAAGAGGTCTAAGCGTCGGTACACTTATTTAAGTTATTCGATTGATTAGATAGTTTCGGATCTCGCTCTAACTGCGCTCTGCGAAGGTAAACGTGTGATAATTATGGCTATCGATATTTAGGAATTAGTACTATATGCGTATTCAAACAGAAAAAACTTCTCTAGGCGGGTTACGTGGGGCGTAACAGTACTGACGTCATGTGTCAAAGTTTTAGTTTGGTCTGAAACTTAAAAAAAAAGTTTCTTATTCGAATTGATTGACTTGAGAGGGGATTCACTTCATCTTAACAAGATACGACTATCCAGTTTAAAGTTATATAATTTATTAACATATTTATTATTACCTATTTTTTGTACTTGGGGCCAAAAATGTACGATTTTAAATTATGTTTATTACATTTTGTCAGTATTATCACCGACCTATTCGGAGTACATATCCATATATAACATTTTTAAGAATTCATACAATAATGGTTAATTAGAGCAGGAATCTGCACTACATAAAAGCTAGTCAGTAAATTAGTACATTTTCGTTAGTTTAATCAGTGCTTTTTTTTTATTTACTTTTATAAGAAATGTCGAGTTCACTTACCTGATAAAAAACATTTTTTTCGTTTTAGCTTCAGCTAGGATGAACGACTTAGCTACTCCCCTAAAACATGACAGTAAGTCATGTAGGGAAAATCCTTTCAAAGTGAAAAAGAGCGCTCTGAATTATCAAGCTTCACCACGTGTTACGGAATTATCGAAGCCTCAGAGTCCTCGAGACCCTGTCCAAAGGACACCACCTCGTCAAAAGGATGATTTTGGTCGCCCAATATTCCCTATGCCAGTAAAAATGAACAATATCTATTATATAATAAGAACATTTAGAATTATTTCACTGTATTGACGTAACTTTCATACATAACGTGAACCCTTTCAATTTAAAGAAGTCATTTGAAGTGAAGTAAAACCCATAAAGAAACTTAATCGTTACGTATTACTTATCGTCAGTAATACCAAATGTTTTACCTGATATACTATCTAAAACTTTGCTGCACTTTATCACAGATAATTTAATTGTTGGCAATGTTCGTGGAATCGCGAACGTCAACGTAGAGAACGAGGTGCCGGGTGCCAACTGATTAACCGTGACAATAAAGTTTATTAGAAGAGAACTTAACAACCGAATAATAACAATCTTACATATGACTAAGAAAAACAATAGTACAAGATTTTAACTTTACGTGGAGCCGATACAAGATCGTGATACGGCAGTGGGACGATGAGAACGTCTGTTTAGGATACGCTCCGCGGAGAAAGTCCGTCCGCCTGGACCGCACATGTCGCTCGAGGGTTTTCCGAATTTGGCTGTCTTTTGGGCAAGGGCGGCCATAAGTTAACTCCAATGACCAACATAAATCAGTGAGAGTCTTCGAGGAGGGTTAAACTCAGCGAGGGTCTCTTCACTGGTTTATTGCTTGATGACGGAGATGTGCTCGAAAAATTCTACGGAGTTGTAGGCAACCCTCTTCAGGGAATTTACGGGCGCATTTCTGCGAACTACCCTGCAATCGGAAAACTGCTCGGCGACAATGTTGCTCCCCTCCCGAAGGCAAAACGCAAGGGAAGCGTCTTGTTTAACAACAAAAAAACGCCAGTTCAACTCAGGCTTCGGTTGACTCAGGACGTCACTCGGGGCGCTCCTTTACTTCGGCTTTTCACGACTAGGCTCATCAAGCTTTGATAGCCTCTCTCAACTAGTTAGCTTAAATTCTTGCGCTAGTCCGCGAACAAAGACGGACACTCGTTGGTTTTGAATCACCCGCGTGATCGATAATTAGAACATTTCATTTCGCGGATCCCGATCGAGTCCACGTTCGGTAAGGATCTCGCCCTTTCGGTCTTGTACAACCTGGTACAGAACATTTTTGGTCCTTCGAGCCGGATCGAGCGCGAGTGAGTGAACCATGGGTGTTCCGTCAGACGGTTTTTTGGAACAATAAGTCCACGGGTGAGAACTTCGGACTAAAGATTTTTGGGGACCACCCTCAGTGTAGTGCAAAAGGTGCCGTGTGTGTTGATCAGCATCATGGAGGCGATTTTGAGGCAACAACAAGAAGCCATCGCTTATTTCGGCCGCATCCCCGAGAACTTGCGGAAGCTGACGACCAGTCGACGCACACCGAGCTACCTGGAGCCACGACTGGGGTCACTGGAGGAACAATCGCAGGCTTTTACAAGGCGCCACTACGAGCTGGTGGCATTACGGGACCCGAGGGCAGACCCACCAGCCTACGTGACGGAAAATCACTTCGAAACGGCCCAAGATCTATACTGTGACGCAAAAGGGGCACTCACGGAGATGATCAGGACATTAACTCCTCGCCGAGAGAACCACGCGGCTGGTGGAAGCCACGAGGGTTCGGTGACGGCTCCTACGCCTACCCCGAGCATGCCACCGGCATCGCTGCGCCTGGCACGCATTGATGTCCCACATTTCTCCGGGGACTACCTCAAATGGGTGCACTTCAGGGACATGTTCACGTCCCTAATGCGCGAACACTCTGACTTAAGCGAGGTCCAGAAGCTCCACCACCTAATGGTCAGCCTCGAAGGGGAGGCTAAGGAGCTGCTGGTAAACCTGGAGATCACGGCAGCCAACTACGAGACGGCTTGGGATCGGGTGGTCGTGCGCTACGAGAATAAGAAGGAACTCGTTGAGGCCAACCTCTACACGATTACCAGCCTCAAAAAGATGACATCGGACACCCCGGCGGAGTTGAAGCGGATTTCAAATACATTCACCTCCGCAGTGGATGCGCTCGCCAACCTGGGGCAGCCAGTGAACCACTGGGACGCAATGTTGGTGCACCAGATGGAGCAGCGGCTGGATGAAGCGGCGATGGCGGATTGGGCCGATTCGCACTCGAGCAGCACAGAGGTACCCACTTTTAAGGCCATGCATGGCTTCCTCGAGGCTCGCATCCGGGCGCGGGAGTCGGTCACGCGGGGTCGGGACGCAGGTTGCAAACCGCGTACCGGGGGTCCGATCACGGGAAATCGGAAGGCGCGCGACCCGCCGGGGGTCCGCGCTCATGCGGCAGTGGCGAAGGACTCTAAGTGCCTTCTATGTTCGGGCGTGCACGCGCTATGCACATGTCCGTCTTTTAAGGATCTTTTCGTAGGACAACGACGTGATACCGTGGCACGAAATAGATTATGCTCCAATTGTTTAAGCGCAAAACACCCGATGCGCGCGTGCCCATCGCAGGTACGCTGCCGCACCTGCAACGGGGTCCATCATACCCTTCTGCACGAGGGCAGGGGATCAGCGGTTCGGACCGACGGCCAGCCGGCCGTGAGGGACATCCCAGAGGATGCAGATAGTGCACAGACGGTTGCGAGTGCCAGCCAGGTAACGCACGGCGCGACCAAGGACAACACCGTGCGGGCGCGACCGGTTTTGCTAGCCACGGCCATCGTGACCGTGGAGGCGGCTTCGGGGCGACAAATGCGCGTGAGCGCCTTAATCGACCAGGGATCGGAAGTCTCGTTGATTTCCGAATCGGTGGCGCAGCATCTGCAGCTACCGCGGAAGGCCACTCGTATTTCCATCGTCGGCGTGGGGGGTAGCGAGGGATGCGCCCTAAAGGAGTCGACGACCCTTCGAGTCCGATCGCAGGTAGACCCAGGGTTCACGCTCGAACTGCGAGCTTTGGTCCTACCCCGGCTAACGGCGCACCTCCCGACGCAGCAGGTGGCCATCAGGAATTGGCCTTATTTAGTGGGATTCACCCTGGCCGACCCGGATTACGCGGCGCGGTCAAAAATCGACTTGTTGCTAGGGGCCGATGTCTGCTGGGATATCCTCCTGGAAGGCCTACGGAAGGGCTGCTCGGGCGCCCCGCTCGCGCAACAAACAGCTTTAGGATGGGTGCTGTCAGGACCGACCGGCGGGACGACGCACGAGACGACAGAACCAACGACGGCTCAATCCTTTCAGTGCGCCTCGCAGGAAGGATTGCACAAGGACTGCAGCGGTTCTGGGAGTTAGAGGAGGCTCCCACCCGCCAGTGCAGCCTCACCGTTGAGGAGACCGCCTGCGAGGATCACTACGCTCGCACGGTGAGAAGGGACGCGGATGGACGGTACGTGGTCCGGCTACCATTCAAGACCCCCCCGACGAAGGATTTGTGCACCTCGCGATACGGCGCGATGCGGATGTTGGAGCGTAATGAACGACGTTTCATTACCGATCCCGGGATGGCGGAGTCATACCGTCAATTTATAGAAGAATACCTCCGGCTGGGGCACATGGGACCGACGGCGGGCGGCATTCGGGGGTATTACCTGCCGCACCACGCGGTCATAAAGGACTCGAGCACGACCACCAAACTGAGGGTCATGTTCAATGCCTCGCATGCAGCGCTGAATGGGAAGTCGCTCAACGACTTATTGCATGCGGGGCCCAAACTACAGGCCGAACTGAGCGACGTCTTATTACGTTGGCAACGACACCCAGTCGTCTTCTCGGCCGACATCGAAAAGATGTTCCGGCAGATCTGGACGCACCCGGACGATTGTGAATTCCAGCGAGTGCTATGGCGGGCGGAGGGCGCCACTCAGGTAGCGACGTATCGCTTGCGAACCGTTACTTACGGTACCGCTTGTGCGCTCTACCTGGCCATTCGCACCTTGCGGCAATTAGCCCAAGACGAGGAGGCTCGATACCCGCTGGGGTCGGAAATCGTCCGGGAGGATTTCTACATGGATGACGTCCTTTCGGGAGCAGACACGGTGGAAGGGGCCGTTGACCGACGGCAACAGCTTCAGGGACTCATGACCTCAGGAGGGTTCACCCTTAGGAAATGGACGTCCAACCAGACCGCTGTACTAGCGGGCGTACCCCCCGAACTTCGGGAGACGGGAGTGGAGCTCCATTTGCAGGAGGACACCACGCTGCGGATGCTGGGGTTGAGATGGCAACCCGTTAATGACACTTTCAGATTCCAGGTGCATCCACGACCATCCTGTGGCGGTGGACGAAGAGGGCGGTGCTTTCGGACATAGCCCGACTCTTCGACTCCCTAGGGTGGCTGGCGCCGGTCATGGTGACCGCGAAGGTGATCCTGCAGCGGCTGTGGCTCACAGGGATCGGATGGGACGAAGCGATCCCGCCGACAGAATCCACGGCTTGGGAGGTGTTCCGGGGGCGGCTGGTGGATATCGAGGCGATATCCTTCCCCCGGTGGATCGGAGCTACGTCCGTCAAGCTGACGACGCAGTGCGAGCTGCACGGTTTCTCCGACGCTTCGGAACGAGCCTACGCGGCGGCCGTCTACCTGCGCGTCACCAAAGGAGGTGGCGCGGCCCAGGTTACCCTGTTGACGGCCAAAACGAAGGTCGCGCCGGTCAAGAGGGTGTCACTCCCACGCCTGGAGCTGTGCGGGGCCGCTCTTCTCTCCCGTCTGGTACGCCATCTGAGGGGGACCCTACGATTGGAGTCGGTACCAATCCACCTCTGGACAGTCTCCACCATCGCATTGGCTTGGCTACGGGGACACGCGTCGCAGTGGAAGACGTTCGTGTCGAACCGAGTTGGAGAGATCCAGACCGCGCTGCCGGGGTCAGAGTGGCATCACGTCCCAGACGAGGAGAACCCCGCGGACTGCGCCATGCGAGGCCTGACGCCACGCGAACTGCGGGAGCATCACCTGTGGTGGAGTGGGCCAACCTGGCTTGCCGAGGACCCGACTTTATGGCCCGGCGCCAACGTGACGGTCGAACCGACCGACTTGGAGGCTCGGCCGGCACCTGTCGGCGTCAACTTCGGCCGGGTACCTGCCA